AAGAAGACTCCCATCACTCCTGGTGAGGTCAAATTGGCCTTAGAAAGCACTGCTAATAACAAGGCCAGTGGAAGTGATGGTATTCCAGCTGGACTATTTAAAATTTTAAAAGATGATGCTGTTAAGGTGCTACACTCAATATGCCAGCAAGTTTGGAAAACTCAACAGTGGCCAGAGGATTGGAGAAGATCAGTCTACATCCCAATCACAAAGAAGAGCAGTGCCAAAGAATGCTCCAAATACCACATAATCGTGCTCATTTCACACGCTAGCAAGGTTATGCTTAAAATTCTACAAGGCAGGCTCAAGCAGTATGTGGACCGAGAACTCCCAGAAGTGCAAGCTGGATTTCAAAGGGGCAGAGGAACCAGAGACCAAATTGCAAACATGCGCTGGATTATGGAGAAAGCTAGCGTGTTCCAAAAAACATCTACTTCTGCTTCACTGACTACACAAAAGCCTTTGACTGTGTCGACCACAGCAAACTATGGCAAGTTCTTAAAGAAATGGGAGTGCCTGATCACCTCATCTGTCTCCTGAGAAATCTCTATGTGGGACAAGAAGCTACAGTTAGAACTGGATATGGAACAACTGATTGGTTCAAAATTGGGAAAGGAGTACGGCAAGGCTGTATATTGCCTCCCTGCTTATTTAACTTATATGCAGAATTCATCATGCGAAAGGCTGGACTGGATGAATCCCAAGCCGGAATTAAGATTGCCGGAAGAAATATCAACAACCTCAGATATGCAGATGACACAACCTTGATGGCAGAAAGTGAGGAGGGATTAAAGAACCTTTTAATAAGGATGAAAGAAGAGAGCGCAAAATATGGTTTGAAGCTCAACATCAAAAAAGTAAGATCATGGCCACAGGTCCTATCACCTCCTGGCAAATAGACGGAGAAGAAATTGAAGCAGTGAGAGATTTTACTTTCTTGGGCTCCATGATCACTGCAGATGGTGACAGCAGCCACGAAATTAAAAGACGCCTGCTTCTTGGGAGAAAAGCGATGACAAACCTAGCCAGCATCTTAAAAAGCAGAGACATCACCTTGCTGACAAAGGTCTGTATAGTTAAAGCTATGGTTTTCCCAGAAGTGATGTATGGAAGTGAGAGCTGGACCATAAAGAAGGCTAATTGCCAAAGAATTGATGCTTTTCAATTATGATGCTGGAGGAGAGTCCCATGCAAGAAGATCAAACCTATCCATTCTGAAGGAAATCAACCCTGAGTGCTCACTGGAAGGACAGATCCTGAAGCTAAGGCTCCAATACTTTGGCCACCTCATGAGAAGAGAAGACTCCCTGGAAAAGACCCTGATGTTGGGAAAGATGGAGGCTACAAGGAGAAGGGGACAACAGAGGACAACATGGTTGGACAGTGTTCTTGAAGCTACTAACATGAGTTTGACCAAACTGCGGGAGGCAGTGGAAGCCTGGAGTGCCTGGCGTGCTCTGGTCCATGGGGTCACGAAGAGTCAGACACAACTAAACACCACCACCCTATGCCATGCTACTCTGGTGCTGATTGGAGCTGGAGGCACACAACACCTTGAGATCACCTGGGATGTTTTGGAGGAACATTTCGGAGCCAGGTATTGATTCATCTCAGCAATGTCTACATTAACTGGCAGTGGCTTTCCAGGAATTCAGGCAGGAGTCCTTTCCAGCCCTACCTGGGGATGCTAAGGACTAAACATGGCACCTGTTGCATGCAAAGCGAGTGCTCTACGACTAGCAGAGTGCCCTAGGCCATGTTGCCAAAAACTCAAAATGAACCTTGCTAGCTGCAATATATGAAATGCACTACATGGGCCCATAGTATCACATACAAGCATGTGCGTTAGAAATAAAATGTCTGTCACTCCATACTTTCCATCCCAATATATAATTCCTTGGGAACTAAGTGTGGAGACTGCTATCTTCAGGTTTAAATCTAATTATTTTTAAAGGGCTTATTTCAAAGGCAAACAAAGGAGCAAGAATAAGGCTGTGTACAAACTATACATTTTAAAGCACATGTGAAACATATTCTTTTCCTCAAAGAATTATGGGGACCTACTCTTACAATTCCCAGCAACATTAACAAACTACAGTACCCAGAATTATTTGAGGGAATGTTATTTGAATGTGTTTTAAATGTAGTGTGTGTACACAACAAAAAAGAAAGGGGGAAGGGATCAAGCCCAGGACAGCATGACTATTAGATGTTGGGATTTATTTTTATTTATTAATTTATCTGCCTTCTCACTTTTCATACAGATATTATGATTCCCAGAGCAGCTCACATTTCTTTATTTATAGAGAGGCTGCGTCCTAAGGCTGACAAGCTAAAAAACCAAAAAACACAACAGATCGGAAATGGAAGGAAAAGGTAGAAGAGGAGTTTGAATAAACTATTCCTATCAGGCAAGAACATAATTTCAGAATAAGGCACATAGAAAGCTGAAGGTTTTCCCCCTGCAACAACAAAATGAATTTTGTTAAATGAAATACTGGGTTTTTTCCTCCAATGTGGCCCATGCCAGAGGGGAATAGGATAGTCTTGTTAGTCTGCTGTAGGGAAAATGGCAGCAGTCTGTGACAGCTCACAGTGTAATATTGCTGGTGTAAGCTTTTGCTAAGCCAGAGCCCATTTGGGCAGATGCCACCTCTGTGAAGTTACAAGGAATTACCACTGATACATGTCAGCAGGAGCAGATAAGTGGAAAGCCATTTTCCAGATGGGTAGCCCTGTTAAGTCTGTTACAGCACAAACACAAAAGGCATCTTCTTGACGTTACAGGAGCCAGAATCTAGTACCAAAAGGGTTTTAGAACTGATTCAAGAATTTGGTCAAGTTGCAGGATTTAAATTGAATAAGTTAAAAACCAAGGTTTTAGAGAAAAATTTGACACCAATGGAGAGAGAGAGGTTTCAGAATGAGACAGGTTTAACGGTGGTTAAGAAAGTTAAATACCTGGGGATTAACATGACAGCAAAAAACGGGAATTTATTTAAAGACAACTATGAAAAATGCTGGGCTGAAGTGAAAAAAGATTTAGAAATCTGGTCAAATTTGAAGCTTTCACTGTTGGGTCGTATTGCTGCGGTAAAAATGAATGTATTGCCTAGAATGTTGTTTTTGTTTCAAACATTGCAAATTGTGGACAAAATGGATTGTTTCAAGAGGTGGCAGAGAGATATTTCTAGATTTGTCTGGCAGGGCAAGAAGCCTAGAATAAAATTTAAAATATTAACAGATACAAAGGAAAGAGGTGGATTTGCCCTGCCAGACTTTAAACTTTATTATGAATCAGCAGCTTTTTGCTGGTTGAAAGAATGGCTGCTTCTTGAAAACACTGACATTTTGGATCTAGAAGGTTTTAACAATGTATTTGGATGGCATGCATATCTGTGGTATGACAAGGTCAAAGCACATAAAGCGTTTAAAAATCATATTGTCAGGAAAGCATTGTTTAATGTTTGGATAAGATACAAGGATTTATTGGAAAACAAAACCCCAAGGTGGCTGTCACCGATGGAAGCGAAAGCTCTGAAAAGGCTCAATATGGAGGCCAAATGGCCGAAATATTGGGAAATTTTGGAACAAGATGGGGATAGACTGAAATTACAGAGTTTTGAAAAATTAAAAAACAAAGTGCGAGACTGGCTTCATTATTACCAGATAATGGAGGCATATAATTTGGACAAGAAAATTGGCTTCCAGGTGGAAAAATCAAAATTGGAAACAGAACTGTTAGAACCCAAAACTAAGAATTTGTCAAGAATGTATAACTTGCTGTTGAAATGGAATACTCAGGATGAAACGGTGAAATCTGCTATGATTAAATGGGCACAAGATGTTGGACATAACATAATGATGGCTGACTGGGAACAGTTATGGACCACAGGTATGAAGTTTACGGCATGTAATGCCTTAAGAGAGAATATTATGAAAATGATATACAGGTGGTACATGACACCAGTCAAGCTTGCAAAAATCTATCACTTGCCCGATAATAAATGTTGGAAATGTAAAGAAACCGAAGGTACATTTTTTCACCTTTGGTGGACGTGCCCAAGGATTAAAGCTTTCTGGGAGATGATTTATAATGAAATGAAAAGGGTATTTAAATATACCTTTCTGAAGAAACCAGAGGCCTTTCTCCTGGGCATGGTCGGCCAAATGGTGCCAAAGAAGGACAGAACTTTCTTTATGTATGCCACAACAGCAGCAAGAATACTTATTGCAAAGTATTGGAAGACACAAGACCTACCCACTCTGGAAGAATGGCAGATGAAGGTGATGGACTACATGGAATTGGCGGAAATGACTGGCAGAATCCGAGACCAGGGAGAAGAGTCGGTGGAAGAAGATTGGAAGAAATTTAAAGACTATTTACAGAAATATTGTAAAATTAATGAATGTTAGAATGATGTTGGAATGAAGCTAGGTGGTTTAAGCAGTAATGTTATAAAGGTGTAGGTAAAAAAGGACTGATAACAGATGAAAATTTAAAGTTATAGTATATTAAGTTAAAGAATCATGAGAAAACAAAGAGGGAAAGAAATTGCTGACTTAACTAATTGAACTGGAATACAAAAAAGGGAGGTATGAGGAGGTCAGGGAAACAAGGATATGAATGTAAGTTATGGAAAGATTGATCCATTTTTCTTTTTCTTTTTTTTTCTTTTTAAGTGTCTTTTACTCTTTTTCTGTATTTTGTATTTTTTTGTATTTGTATTTTTTGTTTTTGTGTAATTCTTGTATTCTTTGAAATTTTAATAAATACCATTTTAAAAAAACAACAAAAGGCATCTTCATGGGGCAGTAGCGTTAAGTCTGCAACAGCAAAAGAAATGAAGTCTCATGGCACTTTAAAGACTTGAATTTATTGTGGCATAAGCTTTGGAGGACTGCAGCCCACTTCACAGCTTAGTAGACTTATTCAGGCACCCATTTGTGGACTAGATCCTGTTTTCTCAGCATTTGATTCTCAATTTGGTGCATTTGTGTTATGTATACGGAAGCACTCTCCACCAGTAGCAGATGGTTGCATCAGCCTATTCAATGAATAAAGCACAAGAAACCAGTAATTTGTAAACTAAACATGCTTCTTTACAGGGGCATCAGCTTGAATAAAATATGGGGGGGGGGGTAACTCCTGCCCCACATAATCGACCACATGACACGGTGCACACACATCAAGGGGGGCTCAGCCCCCTCAAATATTATATGGGGGGGGGCTGAAGACCCCTAGGAGTCGGCTCCCACGCTTCTTTCTATGTGCAATTATATATATATGCAATATAGAAACTCTCTCCCCGAGCGTCTATCAAGCAGGATTGCCAGCATCCTCAGCAGCCTTGAACCAAAGCAGAACCACCATTTGCAGCTCCCCCACCAAGTTCCACGCGCAGGTCTCCGTCACCGGAGCAGACGCACCTCGGGCGGCAGAGCAGGAGCGCGGAGCCCCGCGTGGCTCTGGGAAAGGCGCCTGGAGCAGAAGGAGGCCCGGGAGCACAGCGCCGCGCGCCCGGGTACAAGGAGAGAGAGCGGCGCCCGGCGTCTGGCCAGGCCCTCCGAGCGCGGCTTTCCTCGCGGCTCCAGCGGCGCGTCTCCTAGCAACCCCGCTTCCCTTCAAAATGGCGGCCGGAGGGAGGGGAAACCCGGGGCCGCAGCTTCGTCACGTGACCCAAGGCACCCGCTGCGCAGGCGCGAGCGAGGCCAATCGGAAGGGGGCGGCGGGCCCAGGCCGGGGACTGGCAGGGTGGCTGGGCGCATGCGTAACGGCGCTGGGGGCGCGCTGGCGGGGGCGGGCGAGGGGGTCGCCTGCGCCTGCGCGCCAGGCGCCGAGAGACGGCGGCCTTGACAGCTTGCGCCTTGTGTGCCGTAGAAGGGGCGGGGGAGAGCGAGCGCGCATGCGTGGTAGGGGCAGCTTCGGGGGCTCGGGTGGAGACAGCCGCCGCCGCCGCCGCCGCCGCGGCACTGAGAGGATTCCCCCGTCCGCGCCTCCCTCCGCCCGCCCGCCCGCCCGCCCGCCCGCCTGGGCCTGCTCAGCCGCTGCCGTTGCCGCCGCCGCCGCCGCCGCCGGAGTCCCGGCCCCTCCCGCGGGGAGGCACGAAGGTCCCGGGAGCCGCGACGGGGCAGGCGGGACCATGTCCGGGCGCGCCCAGAGCGGCAAACTGTCCACGACGGAGCGCATCGTGAAGGGTGAGGGGCCGGGGGCTCCGGGGGGGGGCGGACTCGCCGCCTCCTCGCCCCGTTTTGGCCGGGGGGCATTTGAGGGAATGGGAATAATAAGCCGGGATTAATCACAATAATCGTTCGTGAGGAGCTGCAGGATCCTGTGGCGATGGGGGCGGAAGGGCGGCCCTCGGCCTGCGCTGTGGGGCAGCGGGGAAGCGGGCGGGCGGGCGGGCGGCGGCGGCAGCAGCTGCTGCCAAACCCCCCTAGCGATGGGGCGGAAGGGCAGCCGGTCCCTCGCCCCACAGAGCTGCAGTTTCCCCATTGCTCAGGGTGGGGGATCCTGGATGGGGGTACCCTGGATGTCGAAGCCACGAAGCAAAGAGATGCGGGGGTGGGAGGTCTCTGGTGTCCCTTCACTCTCAGGCAAGGGAGCTGCAAGGGGGCCGAGGAAGGGGCTGGGTGGAGGGAAAAGGCTGCCCGCCTGCCTCCCTCTGGGGAGTCCGGAGTGGTCCACTGCGAGGATGCGTGGAGGAACAAGGAGGTGGAGCTGTGACATAAATTAGGGGGGCAGGAAGGGCTGATGCAGAACTAGGACTGAGGGCTGGTGGTGACACCCTTGTGTGACAGTGACATTTCAAAGCCCTGTGCTACTTACAGCAACCTTTTTCTTTTTCATGTGCTTGTGGGGTGTTTGTGCAGCTGTTAAATGGGTACATAGGAGCAAAATGTGAAAACAATCTGTGTGGCAGATAACAGCTGGGATGGGTGGGTGTGCGTGCGCTCAGGCGGGGTCATCAGGTCCCCATTACCAGTTGACTATGGTGCTTACAGGCATACTGCAACCTTTCTTTGCTGTTACTCTTTAAACCTTCCAGCTTTTCTTCAGCATGCTTGTTAATTTAATGGTCAGTGACCACCTAAACCCCCCTCCCCCATTTGTGTGCCTGAAACAGCACATGCTGTTTTAAAATAGCCAGTGATACTGGAAACAGTTAATAAGCAGGAGGGCAAAATGTTAATCGAGAAGCTGTTGGATTAGTGGGAGGCTTTTACAATGTAGATTTAGCTGTCCTAATTAATCTGATTCCAGCTATCATACCCCACGTATTGGGAAAAGATCTTTCATACACTCATTTGTTTAAATGTGCATGCTGCACCCTGCTAGCTGTTCAAGATAAACAACTTCAGCAATGCAGGTACTAGGAGAACTTGGACATCAGAAATTGTTATGACCAGCCAGTTTAGCTTTGATCTCTTCTGTTGCAGGTGTTAACTAGATCTCTGCCATGTTGTCTTGTAAGTGTTGTGGTTCATTATTCCAAGACTCCTATTGTTATCTGTTTTTCAAGTCCCAGTTTGAATGCTTGTATTGTATACAAGGTGTTCACCTCTGGTAAACAGTATTTTGAAAGATAGTTGATTGTTATTGAGCTGATGGGGTCTTGCAGTAATGATGTAGTTGGCCAATAGGTGCAGAATTCCAGATAAAGGACCCCCCCCATTCCACTTTTATTTCTGATCCCATCTCCCCTCCTTTCCCCCTTCCTATCATATGCTTATGAAGATTTTTTAACACTTTTTTTACACTTTACTTTTTGTGCTGCTGATGAGTGAGTAGTAGAAATTCAAGACTAATCTTGAGTATGTTCATTTGTTCTTACCATAGAATTTGGAGCTCTCACTTCAACATTCATTGAAAGAATTTAGAGGTGGGGAGAAAGAGAAATACTACCATTGAGCCTTGTTGTATTCACCTTGCTTGTGTAAACAGAGGATGGCTTAAGAGTGGCAAGAACTAACTACCGTACTTTTCCGTCTATCAGGCACCCCCATGTATAAGACGCCCCTATTTGGGGGGACTCAAATTTAAGAAAATGGGGGGAGATGGCACAGAGTTGTTGAACTTTTTTGTAGAGGATTGCCCAGAGTTGTTGAGCTTTTTTTGAGGGGGGATTGCCGAAAATCGCTCACCCGCACACATTGCTAAATCCGCCTCCTGTCTTTCCCTGACGCAGCAACCAATAACACACACAATAGCCGCTGACAGCCGTGGCAGCAACCAATCAAACGTCCAACCTATGCACCATCCATGTATAAGACAACCCCCACTTTTTAGCATGATTTTTAAAGAATAAAACATAGTCTTATACACGGAAAAGTACGGTAATTGCTTTGATGTGACTCTGAGAGCTGTTTTGTGTAAGACCATAGGAGAATATAATACCTGATAGCCTGGTCCTATGCATTCATGCTTGGAAATAAGTGTCAGTGAATGCAATAGAGGTTACTTCAAAGTTAGCATGCACAGGATTGAGCTCTAAGGATGTGAACTTGGAGCTGGGAAGCCTCTTGTGTGGTGTTGGGGAGACAGAATTTTGGACTTGGACCAGAGATATATGTGTTCAAATCCCCACCCACTTACCCACTTGGTGGTCTGGGGTAGTCGACAACTCTTGGCCTAACTGCTTGTAAAAGGAAAATGGAGAGGGAAATAGACTGCAGTATAATTAACTTTAGTCAATAAGTTTATGACCAGTTGTGGCCTGATATATGTCTAATGCAGGGGTCAGCGAACGTTTTCAGCAGGGGGCCGGACTATATTTTTTGGGGGAGGGGAATGAACGACTGAGGCTAAGGAGAGATGGCGGCTCCGGAGGAGCGGCACCAGGTGTGTGTGACTGGACTTTGGCGCTGGGTAATCCCTGAGCCACCACCAACACAGGTGCCTTCTTGCAAAAAGGGAGGCAGACTCCCAAGTCCCCCAGAGACCCCTTTGACCATATCCACCCCTGACCTTTACACACTCAGAAAAAGGAAGAAAAAAACTAGGACTTTTTTAAAGCTGCTGCAACATGGGACTGCACAGCTCCTTCTGCAAAAAGTAGATGAGGGTGAGAGAGCGGCCAGGTGAAGCTTGAGGCAAACAGGGGAAGGTGCTTTTAAAAAAGCCCCAGTAGAGAGATCCCCCCCCTGCTTGCACACAAGTAGGAATGGGATTGGGGCTGCTCTGATAGGCAGCGCGAAGCCTCCCTTCCCAGCTGAGGGATCCCAACCCGAGAAGCCGTACGCACATCTCCGTCTCCTGAGACGGCAACAGCTAGAGCGGCGGTGCCTGCAATGTTTCCTGCGACGGAAAGGGACTTGGGGTCTCTGGCGCTCACCTGCGCACAGCCCCTCCCAGGAAAGGCCCTCCCCGCCCTGAGTAATTCCTGACTTCGAGGCCCTGAGCCAAAACGACTGCACCCCCGCTGCTCACTCCTCTGTAGCACCTGGGCAATTGCCGGGCGCCAGATTTAGAACCCTGCTGGGCCTGATCCAGCCCGGGGACCATAGTTTGCCGACCCGATCTAGTATATTAAGTAGTTCCAGAATTCAGTGAGAAAAAAATCACTATACAAGCGTACAGTGCGGAATGAGTGAAGCAGCATTTGAGATATAGAAGCATCTTAATGTTTTTTCTGTCTTCATCATGAGTTCCAATGTGATGAGTGTTTTGGTTCACTCTCCTTCCTTCCAATGTTGGCAGCAGACCCTATTTGAAGTAATTTTGGATGCCCGGGGCTCTATTTCTTTTAAGGCAAAATGATTGCAAGGTAATTTACTGTATCCGCTAAACTTATATTTGAGTTCTGGGGAGAAATCCAGACTTTGATCACTTTCTGGACTGAAAATGTCCGTCTTATTAAATATACAAGACTGTATTTGCTCCATATATTAATTTTTGCAAGTGACTTTGCAAACATTAGATCTTCTTTAAGCTATGCTATTTCTATCCTTTATTAAACCAACCCTTCCCCCATCAATTTACTTGGGCCCCTTTTCACATTTCTCATTCCAAGCACTGACCTTAGAAAATTCCATGCTGAGGATCAGTATCTTGTTTTAGCATTGTCTTTATTTTAAAAAATATGAAGGAATATCTCTGAGGAGGTTTTTGGGATCTGACTCTTACAGAACTGATTCTACAACCTTGATGTAATTCTTGCAAACTTGACACTAAAAATATCTGACTTGCTGAACACTGAATAGAAGAAAGCAGCTCAATAAGAAACTTAGTGCTGATTTCTCCCTTCCCGCCATTAGTCCCGTGGACACCTAAATCTATTTCTACATCCAAATCATTTGTGAAATTTGGTGGAACCTTAGCACAGTTGCAGAAACTTGCAAATGCAAAGGACTAGCAACGTATGTAAGCCAAGTTAAAATAAGTTTAGTAATGCCAGATGATAAAGCCACTGTCTTCATTCATTCATCCATTCATTTCAAACATGGGGCTTAAAAACTGAATAGACCATGAGTATGGAGTTTCCTCCCCAGTTGATAACTGCCCTCTCCAGGTGAGAAAAGAACATCTCCTTATGGATTGTCTTATGACAATCTCAGTGTATGATAGCCATGGTTTTAGGTTAGTGTGTGCTGAATTCCAGCCACATTGGTGCACAGCAAAACTGTCTGAAAGGGCAGGGTTTAATCCGTTTGACTTTTCATGTGTTTCTACAGGCATTGTCCTTGACCCAACTGTCTGCAAATCAGAGATGATTGCATGAGGAGACATTTACATACAAGGTGGACAAGAGCACAAGATAGAGCAATAAGCATTACATCCAACCTGGGAATTGTGGTTTGTTGCACTGAAACCACAGTTGAAAACCCCAGAACAACCCCTGGCTTCGCATAATGGTTTGTTTAGAAGGAAAGAAACCATGATCTTCATTTCAGATGTACTGTAATACTAAGTTAGGAATTGTGGTCTGTTAGGGGAGGAGCAAAGCAGGAGCCATTTTGGCACTAACTATGGTTTACAGTGACATGCAGACATAGTCACTGGTTCGCCAGAAATGGCTTAGTCATGCTGGCCACATGACCCGGAAGCTGTACATCAGCTCCCTCGGCCAGTAAAGCGAGCTGAGCACCACAACCCCAGAGTCGTCCACGACTGGACCTAATGGTCAGGGGTCTCTTTACCCTTTACCGTAAAAGGGCACTTTTGTGTATAACTCCTTCGCTTATAAAACATGAGATATATTCTGCAAATTAGATTACTCATGGTATTGGTTTTCATATGCAATTGTGCAAAAGCGGATGAGAGAAGATTAAAATTCCATCCATGCTGCAACATCTCAAAGCAGTTTTACTTGTAAGTTTTGTAAACTTGTAAAAGTATTGGGTTTTGCTTGGTCATAGCTTAATTATCGAAATATGAAAGGCTTGATTCTTTATCAGTTACAGTAGGCTTCCAGTAATTCATTGTAAAACACTGGAATTTGGCTGCTATAGCCAAATGCTGTATCATAAATTGATGTTATAAGACATCTACTGTAACAATTACGTTTGAAACCAAAATTATTCCAAGTGCCACTACTTAGCTAGTGAGTTTTAGTTTTTAAGCTTTTCTGACGGCCTTTTCTGTAATCCAGCAGACCTTTAGTGAGCAAATCACCTAAAATATAGTTCCATATTACAATGGAGCTTAAAAATGGCTTTTTTGGAGCATACTTGATTGAGCAATAACACCAAGTTTCCATTTGCTGTCATTTCAAATAACCAGTGAGGGGCTCTTGATTGAGTTGGGAGAGGGTTGAGAGTCCCAGATATTAGAACCAATCAAAGAATCATAGTCAGAAGAGATATTGGAGATCATCTAGTCACCCAGCTGCTTGCACAGCACAGAGCTGGAATCTTTTTATTGTTTGATTTATTTGAAGTATATATACACTGGTCTTCAGTCCAAAAAGAGCCTTAACAATGATCAATAAATAGACGTATGGTCTTGAGTTTATAATCTAGGCACAACACAAAGGGATTTACAGAGGTAGCAGGTACAGTGGTACCTTGGGTTACAGATGCTTCAGGTTACAGACTCCGCTAACCCAGAAATAGTACCTCGGGTTAAGAACTTTGCTTCAAGATGAGAACAGAAATCGTGCTCCGGGGGCATGGCGGCAGCGGGAGGCCCCATTAGCTAAAGTGGTACCTCAGATTAAGAACAGTTTCAGGTTAAGAACAGACCTCCAGAACGAATCAAGTTCTTAACCCGAGGTACCGCTGTATAAATCAGATTTAGACTCTACTTCTTAGTTTTGCTTCATAATTTAGAATGCTATAGGGCTAGACCACCCTTTCTAGGAACATTGTGGCAAAACTGAAACATTTTGTGATACGGGTTAGTGGTGCCAAACTGAGGGTCATTGAAAATCAAAAGGGATGCCCAAAGGCCCATTTCCTGCCTTTTCCCCTGACAGGGACTCAAGGTGGCTTACAGAAAAAAATAGGAATAGCTATGACAGAGGGAAGGGGAACAATCATTAACAAACAGTTAAACATTAATAAAATTAAAATCATCTATCTATCAGATCTATCTATCTATCTATCAGATCTATTAAAACATATACATATGGTAATTACCAGCCCTTTCATTAAAAGCAGTCAGTTCCGAAAAGCCTTTCGGAACAAGAAAGTCTTCACCTGCTAGTGGAAGGACAACAAGGAGGGAGCCTATCAAACTTCTCTATGGAGGGAACTCCAAAGTCCAGGAGCAGCCACCGAGAAGGCCCTCTCCTGCATCCCTACCAAGTGTGCCTGTGAGAGTGGTGGGACTGAGAGAAGGGCCTCCCTGGAAGATCTCAGAGCCCAGGCAGGATCGTATGAGGAAATAAGCTCTTTCAAATAGCCTGGGCCTACGCTGTATTCTTCTTTTTCTTTGGTGATCACTTGTAGCCGAGTAAGATTGTCTTCTATGAACACAGTCTTAACGGTGTGTCCGCAAGTGACTGTGGAGGCCAATTCTGGATCCACATGTCCTTCCACAGTGGAGACATAGGTGCCTTCAACTTAGCTCCTTTCTTCCTTTTGTCCTGAATTTGTGCTTCTTCAAAGTCCATGATGCCTTTGGTAGAGGCTGTTCTCCAATTGGAGCACTCACAGGCCAGTGTTTCCCACCCAATTATCTGTGCTTATACTTCAGTTTTAAAGATTTATTTTTATTTAAAGACACTTGGGAGTGTCTTTAAACCTCTTTTGCTGTCCACCAGCATTTCACTTTCCATTCTTAAGTTCAGAACAGAATGCAGTTGTACCCAGGAGCTTCCTTCAGCCACTCAGAAGCTGCGCTTTGGTTTTCGAACGTTTTGGAAGTTGAACTGACTTCCGGAATGGATTCTGTTTGCCTTCCAAGGTATGACTGTAGTTGCTTTGGAAGGCGATAATCAGGCATCCGAACAACATGAGCAGTCTAACAAAGTTGATGTTGAAGAATCATTGCTTCAACACTGGTGTTCTTTGCTTTTTCCAGTACACTGACATTAGTTTGCCTGTCTTCCCAAGTGATATATAATTTTTTCCAGAAACCCCGTGGATGGAATTTTTTGAGGAGTTGGAGATGGCATTTATAAGTGGTCAGTGTCATAACCAGCACTTTAAATTGTTCCTGGAAGCAGACCAGTAGCCAGGGGAGCTGTCGTACTGAGTGACTGGGATGCTGCCTACAGCCAGCCCTGGCTAACAATCTGGCTGCAGTTTTTTGAGCCACTTGAAGTTTCTGAGCACTTTTCTAAGGCAGCGCCAGGTAGAGTGTGTTTCAGTAATTCTAACAGGATATAACTAAGGCATATGTCACTGTGGCCAAACTGTTTCTATAACAGTGTTTTTACATCACATTGTTAACCATTCACCCTGGTGCAGATCTTAGACCCTAGATTTATAGCTAGAAATGAGGACAGAATTGCGATTATATATTTATAGTCATATATAATCGCAATTCTGTCCTCATTTCTAGCTATAAATCTAGGGTCTAAGATCTGCACCAGGGTGAATGGTTAACCAATGGTTAACAAGCAGTACTTTTAGGGCTTGAAGTTGGAAAATTACATATAAATGTTGCAAAATACAGAACAACTTTGTGTATTTGGTCCCGTCAGGCAATGGCTCAATTGCAATGGCAAGGATATAACCAACATGCTACCCTGCTGTCGAAAGAATTGCATTGGCTACCAGTTAGTTCAAGGTATTGGTTTTGGTGTATAAAGCCCTACACATCTTGGCACCAGATACCTGAAATGTTGTTTCATTCACCCCGAACATACTCAGTTGATCACTGCATTTTAAAATAAAGGCCTCTTGCAGGTGCCATCTTATAAGGAGGTCTGTTCTGCACAAGGTTAGAATCAGTCCATTAGTGTTGTGGCATCTATCCTTTGGGATTCCTTCGCCTTGAATATTAGTCATGTTCCATCTGTGTTGTCTTTTCAGTGCCTACTAAAGACCTTCCTCTTTCAACAAGCCTTTTAAGCTGTGATCTTTTCCCAGTCTGCATCTGTACTGAATTATTCTTAAGATTTTTTGTGTTTGTTTGTTTGTTTTTTATTGCTTATAACAAAATCCGTTTGGAGGAATGGCGGGAAAGAAATAATCTGTCACTCTCTCTCAGCCCAAACTAGAATGCTTATGAAAATAAAACGATAATGGAGAGAACCACAAGTTATTGAAAGAGGAGCAAGATAAATATATTTGTGACAATGAAAAGAATAAAAAAGTTTTGGCCATGATTGATAATATGTAATGAGATGGATTGGGATATAAATAAAAAATGGCTTCAGGATACACTATTTTGTCTAGTTAATGACATTTGCTGTGTATGATTATCTAGTACGTATTGAAGAGGTCAGTGGTGATAAAACTTAACCAAATATCTATGGATATATTGCTACTCAATTGCATGAAAACCTTGTTTATTTCTGGGGGTTTTCTGTTTCCATTAAATAATGTTGAGGGTACTGAAAATCCAAAAAGCTGCTTTAGTTCTGATTTCTTTTTTATGTTTTACAAATTCCTTGGGATGCAAGTTCCTGTGCCATATGACATAATGCTTTTAGAACTTTTTTTGAAACCAAGAAGTTCTATAAGCAAAATGCCGTATGGCGACTCAGGTGGAGGGCAGAGATGGAGGAGACAACTCACTTTTAAAAAAACCCCTAGACTTCCTTAACTGTGAAGGACTATTTCTGTGATGCTTTGAATTCTGGATAATAAAACTTTCCTTTTGTTTGCTATCTTAAAAGATGACAATAGAAACCATCATTCCCCCCCCCCCTCTATTTTCCCAGCTGGCAAAAACAAAGGCATCATTGGATTATCTTTAAACCACAGCAGTTTGCAGCTCTATCTCTAACACTGGGTATATATTTAGTCATTATTTGAATGTAGTTTTACTTTTAAATTTCATAAATATACCACACAGTACAATTTTATTTGCTACCTCAGTTACTACTTAAAGTAGTAGTTGTGGTTTGATAAGAAAGTTTTGCTTACACTTCAGTTTTTAACAAAATGTCTGTGTTGGGTCCCCCCCTTATTATTATTATTTTGATATTTGATATATTTATGTGTAGTACATTAAAACTCCTCATCACCACCACCTCTGACTACTTGACATGCTTCCCAGTGTGCTTCAGATTATTATCCTGGGTCCAGAAAAGAGATTTTTTACTTGCACTGTGAAGCCAAAGTAAGAAAGAATTTCTGCATGATGCCTTGAATTTAGCATTTCCTGGAAAACGTATCGGGTACAAATTGGAAGCTTCTAACATAGCCTTCCCAAACCTGATGCCCTCCAAGTGTGTTGGAATACCATCCCTAATCATTGGATGTGTTGGCTAGGGTGGTGGGAGTTGGAATACAAAACACCAGGAGATGCCAGGCTTGGGAAGGCTGTTCTGAACTGTATCTAGTGATGCTTGGTGAGCTGAAAAGAAAATGCCAAAAGGGCAAGCAGCTGTAATCTTTCATTAGCTGAAGGAAAAGGGAAGTCCAAGTAACCCACTTCAGCTGCTGAGAAGAAAAGGAGTAGGAAATGCCCCCAGGGGAAACTGAAAGCCGTAGTTTTTTTGTTTGCAGATAACACTGATTTTGATGTCTATAAGAATTCCACAAACATGGTGTAATAAAGGCAGAGTATAAACTTAAAAATATTCCAGTAATAAAGGGCTGTGGGCTTACCCAATATTTGCACCGATCATCAGACGGCAAGGCTGGTACCCTGTCAGAATGGTGTAGAACAGGCTGATGTTGGAACAAAAACAGTCTGAGATTATACTGTGCTATTCGACAGTGGAATTTGCTGCCAAGGAGTGTGGTGGAGTCTCCTTCTTTGGAGGTCTTTAAGCAGAGGCTTGACAACCATATGTCAGGAGTGCTCTGATGGTGTTTCCTGCTTGGCAGGGGGTTGGACTCGATGGCCCTTGTGGTCTCTTCCAACTCTATGATTCTATGATTCTATGATCAAAAGAAGAAAAAAGGTTGGATAGATTTATTAATTAAGTTAGGTTTTATCCTACTCTTCCACTGAAGGACCCGAAGGCAGCAACAAAAGAACAATAAAAGCAATACAAAATTTAAGAACAAACCAAAAATATTCACAAATATTATGTCAAAGTTGTTGGAAACAGTATATTCAGCCCTAAATACTGAATAAACTGGAATCTTTGTAGAACAGTTGTTTCAAAGACTTGGAATGTTAGGGTGAGCCCAGAATACCCCTTCTCTATTCAGGAGTGAAATAAATAAATTTCCTGGGTGATATTGCCATGTAGGAAAAAGTCTATTTATAGAGTATTATTATTAACAACAGTAAGTAATAATAAATAATAAAGAAAGTGCAGGGGAAATTAAATGTAATGCTTGCTTCATTTTTTTTAAGGCTAAAGCACTGTGTAAATGTGAAAGGTATGGGCAAGGACAATCCAGGGGAAAAACTTTGAGGAACTGGAAGGTTAGCTGAAAAGGGTTTAGAAAATCTACAGCTTTGGTAAAAACATGAATCAGGATTTGGATTAATGTTCACAAATTAATGTATGAAAGAGAAGTTTAATCTTACTAGAGTTTTAATGTTAAACAAGGGATATAAAAAGAAAGTCCTGAAATTGGGATATATTCCTGGATATGTAACTTGATGTGATTTTGTAACTAAACATATCATAAATCCAAAACAGGCAGTAGAAGACACTGATACTCAGTTTTCTAACAAATTTAACTGGTATAAAAAGACAGTTTCATGTTTGTTGAAAACTGGAAAGCATCAGCACTGAATAGGAAACAAGCTTATTGTTGCAGTGGTGAAGCTAACAGATTAGATAGAAAAATAAGAAGGAACACAAAAGCAGACAGATTTGTGTGAGCTTCGTGTATCAAAATAATTGAGTGCCATTTAATGATAGCCTTAAACATTTGTAATAACTTTTTATCATATCTATATGCAGTATATTAATTAGTGTACCACAAGTGTAGTATAGAACTGATGACTGGCTTGATTTTTAGTTTTTAGGAATGTTGGAGTAACGAGCCAAGCTCTGTAAATATTAAATTTATCTATACTGGATTAATATTTGTATATTTACTGTTCTGTTTGTGAAACAGAGAACCAAGTTGTATGGTCAGTTTCAGTGGTAGTGAAATGAGATATGGTTTGATTGAATTGGTGCTACTTGAGCAAGAAGGCTGGTGTATTGGCGGGACTCTGATAGCTGTGTGAACACAAACGTGATTTTTTTCAACTACAGTCGTATCTTGGAAGTCAAACGGGATCCATTCCAGAAGTCCGTTCGACTTCCAAAATGTTCAAAAACCAAAGCATGGCTTCTGATTGGCTCCAGGAAGTTTCTGCAGCCAATTGGAAGCCCTATTGGACGTTCGGCTTCCAAAAATAGCAAACTGGAACAGTCACTTCCGGGTTAGCGACGTTTGGGAGCCAAAACGTTCAGGACCTAAGCTGTTTGACTTCCAAGGTACAACTGTACCTTTGAGAGCCAGTGTGGTGTAGCGGTTAAGAGCGGTAGTCTCATAATCTGGGGAACCGGGTTCGCGTCTCCGCTCCTCCACATGCAGCTGCTGGGTGACCTTGGGCCAGTCACACTTCTCTGAAGTCTCTCAGCCCCACTCACCTCACAGAGTGTTTGTTGTGGGGGAGGAAGGAAAGGAGATTGTGAGCCGCTTTGAGACTCCTGAAGGGGAGTGAAAGGCGGGATATCAAATCCAAACTCTTCTTCCTCCTCCTCTTCTTCTTCTTCTTCTTCTGTACAACATAGAATGCCAGCATGAATAATGATAGATCTGAATGTAAATGTGTACAACAGATTTCTTCAAAGTGGAACTTTTCAGATGTTTTGAACTCCCAACTCCCCACCAGTCCCAGTTAGCATAGCTATTGGTCAGGGATGGTGGAGTTGTAATCCAGCTGTCTTTGGAGGACACCATGTAGGCAGAGGCAGAGGCTAACAAGGCCTGTGGTGAGAAAGAAAGTGGTGAGACTGATTTACAGACCAAGAGAGTGTCTGTTCTTAATACATTAGTTGCCAGTAGGGCATCTGGAAGGCACATGTGTGGCCTTCCCTAAATCCTGAAGGGTCAGCTCCCTGCCCCCTCCCAGCTGAAGAGAGGCTTGAAAGTAGTACAGCATTCAGTTTTAGGGCAGTGTGTGCATGGGGCCCACAATAGTAAACTGTGTTTTAACAGCCAGCTTGTTTTAGCTAGTGCCATAGCTGTCAACGTTTTCCTTTTTTTAAGGGAAATTCCCTTATTCCGAACAGGATTCCTCGCAAGAAAAGGGAAAAGTTAACAGCTATGGCTAGTGCTTGTGCCCATGCTTGATGAGACCATTGAAGAAGTCAGGCTGTCCGCTGCCATGTTTTAAGCCAGCTGGAAGTGCTTCCTAAGACCCATGCAGTAGTTTTTTGTAATAGCTAGCATCTTTCACAAACTGCTCTTGCGCGATATAATCAATGGCTGATTATCAAGACATTTTTCATGATGGACAAAAGAAAACTGTTGGTGGTTTGAAGGAGATATGCATTTTAATGCATTTAAAATCCACTATGTCAGAGACCATAAGATTTAGTTGGGGAATCTCCTAGGCTATTTAACTGTATGTAGTAACAACAACAACAACAACAACAACAACAATTTATTATTTCTACCCCGCCCATCTGGCTGGATTTCCTCAGCCACTCTAGTCTGCTTCCAACAGAATATTAAAATACAATAGTCTATTAAACATTAAAAGCTTCCCTAAACAGGGCTGGCTTCAGATGTCTTCTAAAAGTCTGGTAGTTATTTTTCTCTTTGACATCTGGTGGGAGGGTGTTCCACAGGGCAGGTGCCACTACCGAGAAGGCCCTCTGCCTGGTTCCCTGTAACTTGGCTTCTCACAGTGAGGGAACCGCCAGAAGGCCCTCAGCGCTGGACCTCAGTGTCTGGGCAGAACGATGGAGGTGGAGACGCTCCTTCAGGAATACTGGACCAAGGCCATTCAGGGCTTTAAAGGTCAGCACCAACACTTTGAATTGTGCTTGGAAACATACTGGGAGCCAGTGTAGGTCTTTCAAGTCTGGTGTTATGTGGTCTCGGTGGCCGCTCCCAGTCACCAGTCTAGCTGCTGCTTTCTGGATTAGTTGCAGTTTCCGGGTCACTTTCAAAGGTAGCCCCACATAGAGCGCATTGCAGTAGTCCAAGCGAGAGATAACTAGAGCATGCACCACTCTGGTGAGGCAGTCTGTGCCTCCATGGACAGCTGTGAGTCCAAAATGACTCCCAGGCTGCGCACCTGGTCCTTCAGGGGCACAGTTACCCCATTCAGGACCAGGGAGGTTTTTTTTACCATTTGTTTTTTTACATTTGTTTTTTACATTTTACTTTTTTACATTGTTTTTATTACATTTATATCCTGCCTTTCTTTCAAGGAGCCCAAAAGCAGCGTATGCTTCCTTCTCCCCATATTTACCCTCAGAGCAACCCTGTGATGTAGGTTAGGTTGAGAGGTATTGACTATCCAAGGTCTTCCAATTCACTTTATGGCTTATGTCAGGAGTGCTCTGATGGCGTTTCCTGCTTGGCAGGGGGTTGGACTCGATGGCCCTTGTGGTCTCTTCCAACTCTATGATTCTATGATTCTAGTGAAGACTTGAACCTAAGTCTCCCCCATTCTAGTTTGACACACTAACATTACACCACACTGGCTGTTTTAGTGAGCTAGGACTGTGTGAATGCTCAGGCTCTTCACACATAGAAGGAAATAGGGCTGGGCACCATTAATGTCATTTATTGGCACGTGGTTGGATGTCTCTAGTTTGGCCAAGACAGGTATGGAATCCAGGAGTCTTGCTTTCTGCTGTTGCCTGGTCTGCAGAGCAGATCTTCTGACTGCTCCAGCTCAAGCCCTCAGTTCAGTGGCTGATGGAGGGACTTTGATTGTGCTCTGACATGATCTTTCGCTTCTGAGGAAGACAAGGCATCCCTTAACAGTTGTTTGGCAGCTAAAGGGCAAACTTCTTACATGTTCTGCATGGCCCCGAAGTGTTTGAAGATTCCTTCCTAGTGCTGCCAATAATTTTAAGAAGCTCCTTTCTCGCTCTTCTTACAGTATTGTGAAAAAAATTGGCCAAGAAATTAAAATGCATTCCGCAGAAGCAATAAGGTCACATGATAGCCAGTGTATTCTAAAGGGTCACGTATTGGAATAGATATATGCTGCATAGCTAGTGCCAACTGCATATATAGGTGGAGTTGTAAAAATCCAGAGTGACCAAGAGGGATGATGTGTATGTCCAAACTGGTTTCTGGCTTGAGAAAAGAGGAAATACAGTGGCAGTAAAATACATAAAACATAAAACATAGAACATAAACATAAAACATAGAACATAAAAATCAGTATATATTTTTTCTGTAAGTGTGTGACTTCTATATCTTGTGTATCAGCTATAAATTAATTGATGTTTCTTGAAAACAAAATGATGAAATATTTTTTCCACTTTATAGCTAGAAAGGCCTTCATGACTGAAATTGCAGTACAGTTTCTAATGTTTTAGTTCACACAAATGGGGTGCTTGCAGATAAGAAGCAAAAATATTTGTTTGTTTTGTGAATTTATACCCCACCAGTATTGCTCCCAAAATCTCTCAGGATAACCTACAGAATATAGCATTCATATGAAGTTTGCAGTAGTAAAATACCATATATCTAGGTAAAACATATACCTTGTATACATGGTTGTAAAAGTCCCCGGCAGCAGCAATTTCCCACTGAAACCTTAATAAAATATTATTATTATTATTATTATTATTATTATTATTAATTTCTATACCACCCTAAGGTATCTTTGAGGTATATGTCTTAAAAAGAAGATATAACCTTCTTCTAAATGCTCATGGAAACTAGACTGACTTTGTAAAGACCAACAACAAACAGGTCTGATAAATCTTTCAAGGCAGGGACTTGTTGAATAAAGGTTCCACCCAGTGCTATTTTTAAAGAAAAAGAGGTTCCAGAACTCCCCATGAACACCTCCCTTGTTCTCTTATAATGGCAATGGCGCCCACTTGAGAGGTGCTGGAACCAGGGCTTTTTTTCTGCTGGAACTCACCAGAACTCAGTTCTAGCACCTCTTAGGTGGGCGCCATTGCCATATCGATGGTAAATCTCCATATCCAGAAAGATAACCCAAAAGTAGTTCATGTATTTGATATGGAAGATTTGGGGGAGAAAGCTGTGTACTGCTGGTGTTGGAGGTCTAAGAAGTTTCCATTGTCTGATGGGTCTCATACAAACCATAATGATGAAATGGGAGACAATGTGGGACCTCTGATCATCAAGAGAAAACATGCATAAATGATGAATGATCTGGACACCGCACAAACAACCATATTGCAGTGTTTTCTGCTCACTTGTAATTGGTGTAAAAATGAGGTCTTAAGTCATTTCACTGAAGCTTTTTACATGTGGTATGCTGCAACTGATGTAATTCATGGTGTTTGCCTTGTTTAAACACTACAATGTATGTTAGGAATGAATACTTGTGACCTTGCTCTTTTTGTCTTGTAAAATGTACATTCTCATTAAGTGTTTTTTTAAAAAAAGACCTTTAGAATGTACAGCCGCCCAGAGTGGCTGGGGAAACCCAGCCAGATGGGTGGGGTATAAATAATAAATTATTATATTATTATTACAGTGGTACCTCGGGTTACATATGCTTCAGGTTACAGACTCTGCTAACCCAGAAATAGTACCTCGGGCTAAGAACTTTGCTTCAGGATGAGAACAGAAATCATACAGCGGCGGCGCGGCGGCAGCAGGAGGCCCCATTAGCTAAAGTGGTACCTCAGGTTAAGAATGGACCTCCGGAACGAATTAAGTTGTTAACCCGAGGTACCACTGTATTATACAACCCAGTGCCAAATCAATCCCATCACCTGTTTTTATGACAAAAGTAGCTGTGCATGGGGCAACTAAGTGGAGATTTATTAGTTTTTAGCTGGTCCATATTTAGCTGCTTCTGTTGAAAGCAAGAAGGAAGGAAGGCTCCTGGCTTAGGAAATGAACCTGTAGGAAGTAGGGCAGGGTGCTGGCTTAAAATAGTCTTGAAGACTGGCCTGTGTTTATGATGAACTGATCTATTTAGGTAAATCCTGGAGTCATTGTGGGGGTAGAGCTGTATGCTAATCTAAAGATATTAGCTAACAGACCAGTACAGTGAAGGCCTGGGTTTATCCCTGGCTTGCTTCCTGTTGAAGAGTTTCCAGTTCACCCAGGAGTGTTGGCTGCTGCCAGCTATGTTTTCTAGTTATTCAGCAAGGTCTCGAATAATAATGACATTAGGTATTGATTAAGCAGCTGAAGCAAAAGGATCAGCCTATGTTAAGGCAGCAGCAGCAGCAGCATTAGTTTATAATGCATTCCCTTTCTGCAGGGCCAGACTGATGGCCCAGTGTTGAAGACTGTGCAGGCAAAGATTGTTGCAGGGGTACCAAAGGGGAGGGGTGTGCACTGCTTGCTTGCACTGCAGTGGAGGCCTCTGGCAGGCAAGCCAAAGCTTGGTGGGATAGCAAGATAAAAAGCACAAGTGGGAGGGAATTTAATGTGGGCAGAAGATCGCAAAGGATGTGGCAGAAGTTGAGGGGAGGAAAGATAAAACACTTCTCTGCTGTTCTTAAATTCTTTAACAAGTAGTGGGCGGGAGCGTTCCTTGTGCCATCTAGATTGCTCTTCTGTTTTCCAGTCACTGAAGGGTAGTAATTCCCTGACGTGTCTAGTAACTTTTTCGTCTCCTACTAGAATGCTAGACTAGAGGTTGCTGGACTCCTCATGGTTCCAGTGGTGAATGTTAGTTATCTTAAATGCTGTCTCACTTGTTCATTTACCCAGACCTGAGTCTTTTAACTTAGGCCCTGTTTTTCCTTTTATATGTTCAAGGTCTTTCTGGAGAGCAAACATCAAATGTACACTGAAGATCCCTACAATCAGGGGTTCTGCCTCACCCCTTTTCTTTGTCCCAATTACAAATAATTGGTTTTTCAAATATTCACTTAGTCATTATTTCTCATATGTTGTATGCTAGTTCCTTTGGGCAGAGAGCACAAGCATTCCTTTGGGCAGAGACTGAGTATAGACTGAGTATACCTTGCAACTTCAATGACCTTGGAGTGAGCAGGATGTCAATAAAATACTGGGGCATCTTGTTGTTTGCATCCATCTTTCTTGAGAGACAATAGAAGAGTGCGCCTTCAGGGGGTGAAGTCAAACCATTGGAAAGTTACAGCACCTGCTGTGGCTGTAGAGATTGATAAGGAAGAAACATGTTTTCTTGTAGGTGGAGCAGATGAAGGCACCAGTTTTGCTGCTACAGTTGCACCGTGGCTTTTATTCTCTGTATGGAGTGCTGGCAACAGCTAGGATATTGGTCTTCGTCAGGCTGATGGTGCAGCCTGAGCAAAATGGTTGATGAGTCTATGTAGAGCTTCCTTGGATCTTGTCAGGACTGTGTCATCTGCAAGCAACATATCTCGAATAAGCACCCGCTACACTTTTGTTTTGGCATGGAGACATGCCAGGGTGAACCAACCCCCGTTGCTCCTTGAATGCTCCTTAGTACACACCGCCTTCAGTCAAGCTGAAGGCATAGGAGAACAGCAGAGAGAAGAATATGCCAAAGAGAGATTGAGTCCCATTTCACACCACACTTCATAGGGAAGGCATCCGAGGATGAGCTACCATACTGGGCATGTAGAAGAACAACATAAGCTCTCTGCAAGATTGGGCCAAGGGTCCAGCATCCTGCTTGCAAGCAATACCAACCAGATGTTTGTACAAAGGCAACAGCCCACCTTTGTTGCTTACCCCTTACCAGATAGCATTCACTGCCACTGGACCCAGAGGGTCCTATTTAGCTACTGTGACTAGTAATTATCAATAGACTTCTCTGCTTTGAATTTGTTCACTTTCTTTTTACAGGAGACAGTCATTTTGCAATGGGATTATGTTCCCAGCTCCCATGCGCGTCTGTGGAGCTTGTGTAAGCGCATCCTGCCCTGTTCTACCCTACCCCATTCCACTCCGTCCTCATTCTGCCCCCGTTCTTTCCTCTCCTGGGTCCAAAAGAACCACACATTGGCAATCGTGTCAAATATTGGCCTTGTTTGCACATAACACTAAACCCAAATTGTGGCTTCGTGTGAATGAGCAAGTGTGCTGGAACACAGTGAGAAAATTGTGGCAGTATTATTCCTCTCTTCTCTGCTGCTGTCCTGCTAGGAGGAGGTCAGTGATGGTTTGGCTTAGCGTTGTGTCTGAATCTGGGTTTGTGGTTTGACTTGGTTCCTGTTAACATGGCACCAGCAGGAGCAGGATACGAGTGAAGCAGCCAATATTTTCTCAGTGTTCACCTGCATGCGTATTCAAAATATGTAATACCAAAAGAATACAGAAGATACTTAAATTATATTACTAGATTTGAAAGGATCTCAAGGAATACCTTGCTTTCAGTGCCAAGAAAATGTGGACAGCTAATTTGAAAACTTCTGAGGTTTTTACAAGCAAGCAGATTTGCCCAGTCTTGCTATTTCACACACTGGCAGCCTCTGTACAAGAGGAAGAGAAATTGGGATGTCTGCCTTGGATATGCTGCATATTCAGAAATGGTTAGTGGAAGCACTCTATGCCACTTGTTCTTCGCAACTCTTCCTTCAAGGCTTGTTGACTGGTCCCTGCCTCCTTGTCTCAGATTTGGCACTGATCTCTGAAGTGCATGCTGTTGACTATTGCTTTGTTTAGGTTTTTTGTACAGAATGGGTCAGTGTATGTCTTCAAGCTGGCTTGGCTTTTATGGCAAGTACATTATGTGCAAAATCATCTTCACTTAAAATACCTTCTTTAAAAAGTGCTCTCTATTTTCCACATCCCCGTCCCTTTCCAACTCAGCTGCTGTGAGAGCCAGAATTGCATTTTTAGCAGGTGGGGAAACTCATTTAAGGCAACAAAATGTTCCCACTGTTGTTTTAATACATGTCACATATATATTCACACACACAATCTATTATTGGACTAGCAGTCACCTTGCTAACCTTATGATAACAGGTGGTGAGTTTCTCTGCCTGCTGACATCTAGGAATCCCCCACTCCTATCCTTTGGCTAGCTCCCTTTTATAAATTAGGTGCAGCTGTTTGCTGTAAGCATTGGGCACTATACCTCTCCGCCTCTTCCTGCATGTGTGCACACACAAACACATGCACGCACCAAGACCAAGGTTAGAAAAGTTGGCTGGGGCAAACATCCAATCTGATCAAACTGATGAAAGGAAGATGACGGATCTGACACTGATACTGGTTGGCAGACTGTTGAGTGATTGTTTTAGCGTGAGCAGTATATTTTTAACTGCGAAAAGGTCTTGGCACCTGTGCAGTCTCAAAGATCATTTAAAAGCTACACATCAGGTTTTCCTTGGCTGTTTCTTCAGGGTAGGTGGCAGTTTGAGATCACAGTCAAGGCTTTCTGATAACATATTCAGCACGGCCAGAATCTTACCATTTACTAAGAAAGCTTTGTCCGAAAGGTTAGAATGGTATTCTTTAAGCTACTTAGAGTATTAAAAAATATGAGACAAAATAAAGAATAGCACAGTGCAATCTTAGACCCTTTGTGAAAATCAGACAAAAGAAATACAAAGATCTTCTGTATTGATTAATTAAATTTATATTTTGTGTTTTCTTCTAAGGAGCTTAATTTAGTATACACGGTTCTGGTCCAAGGTCACCCAGTGAGTTTCATAGCTGAATGGGGATTTTAACCTAGACCTCTTCAGTCTTCATCATACTCTAAGCACACCAGCACACTGACTCCTTCATGTTTCCCTTTTCCTTTATGACTTCTCCTTGGATTTCTAATGCCAGAACAGCAGGCAGGGGCTTCAGGTGCCTCTATGTCTCCTGCCACACCCTCCTGTGTTGCTTTTTCCTGACCTTGCTTCTTACCTGTCTCCCACTTCCTAGGCTTTTCTTTCCTTCCAGGCTCCCCAGTCCTTGCTAAGCATTTTCTGCTTTCTTCAAACATATGTACTTGTGTTTCTGCCACAAAATTCTGTTGGCCTTTAGGGTGCCTCAAGGCTCTTTTTTGTGTATGTGTTTTTGCTGCACCATACAAAGGAACTAGCCCTGTGGAATATGTGCTTTTCTGTAGCTGAAGTTTTTCAGATCACCAAAATGGGTTTTCCTGATGGAGAGAATTTTTTTTATTACCAAGTATACATGTCCCTTTAACTGTGTTTCAGGCCCTTTGGAGTCTTCCCTTCATGAGAGAAAGAAGCTTTACATTTTGTGTGTTTTGGGCATGTCCTGACAACCAAACTTTCATAAATTCAAGAGGTGGACAAGCCAGAGTATGAGGAAGCTATTGGGGAATATTATATGTTTCTTTTCCCACAAGTGTGGTGAGAGAAGTAGGTGTTTTTCTGGAACTCTCTAGCTTTCTCCATAATCCAGCGCATGTTTGCAATTTGGTCTCTGGTTCCTCTGCCCCTTCGAAATCCAGCTTGCACTTCTGGGAGTTCTCGGTCCACATACTGCTTGAGCTTGCCTTGTAGAATTTTAAGCATAACCTTGCTAGCGTGTGAAATGAGTGCAATTGTGCGGTAGTTGGAGCATTCTTTGGCACTGCCCTTCTTTGGGATTGGGATGTAGACTGATCTTCTCCAATCCTCTGGCCACTGCTGAGTTTTCCAAACTTGCTAGCATACTGAGTGTATGGTTTTCATTGCTGCCTCCTGTATAATGTTATGAGCCTTCATCCATAGTTCTTCAGGCACTCTGTCCACCAAATCTAAATCCTTAAAACTGTTCCTCACTTCCACTGTGTATTCATAAGGGATTTGACTTAGATTGTATCTTACCGGCCCAGTGGTTTTCCCTACTTTCTTCAGTTTAAGCTTGAATTTTGCTATAAGAAGATGATGATCTGAGTCACAGTCAGCTCCAGATCTTGTTTTTTGCTGACTTTATAGAGCTTCTCCATCTTCGGCTGCAGAGAAAATTATCAGTCTGATTTCGATGCTGCCTATCTGGTGATGTCCATGTGTAGAGTCATCTCTTGTATTGTTGGAAAAGAGTGTGATGACCAGCTTGTTCTCTTGACAGAACTCTATTAGCCTTTGCCCTGCTTCGTTTTGAACTCCAAAGCCAAACTTGCCAGTTGTTCCTTTTATCTCTTGACTCCCTGCTTTAGCATTCCAATCCCCTATAATGAGAAGAACATCCTTCTTTGGTGTCATTTCTAGAAGGTGTTGTAAGTCTTCATAGAATTGGTCAATTTCAGTTTCTTCAGCACTGGTAGTTGGTGCATAAACTTGGATTACTGTGATGTTAAAAGGTCTGCCTTGGGTTCGTATCGAGATCATTCTGTCCTTTTTGAGATTGCATCCCAGTACAGCTTTTGCCACTCTTTTGTTGACTATAAGGGGCACTCCATTTCTTTTGCGGGTTTCATAGAATCATAGAATCAGAGTTGGAAGAGACCACAAGGGCCATCGAGTCCAACCCCCTGCCAAGCAGGAAACACCATCAGAGCACTCCTGACATATGGTTGTCAAGCCTCTGCTTAAAGACCTCCAAAGAAGGAGACTCCACCACACTCCTTGGCAGCAAATTCCACTGTCGAACAGCTCTTACTGTCAGGAAGTTCTTCCTAATGTTTAGGTGGAATCTTCTTTCTTGTAGTTTGGATCCATTGCTCCGTGTCCGCTTCTCTGGAGCAGCAGAAAACAACCTTTCTCCCTCCTCTATGTGACATCCTTTTATATATTTGAACATGGCTATCATATCACCCCTTAACCTCCTCTTCTCCAGGCTAAACATGCCCAGCTCCCTTAGCCGTTCCTCATAAGGCATCGTTTCCAGGCCTTTGACCATTTTGGTTGCCCTCCTCTGGACACGTTCCAGTTTGTCAGTGTCCTTCTTGAACTGTGGTGCCCAGAACTGGACACAGTACTCCAGGTGAGGTCTGACCAGAGCAGAATACTTCCCTTGATCTAGATGCTATACTCCTATTGATGCAGCCCAGAATTGCATTGGCTTTTTTAGCTGCCGTGTCACACTGTTGGCTCATGTCAAGTTTGTGGGTTTCTTGCCCACAGTGGTAGATATGATGATCATCCGAACTGAATTCGCTCATTCCCGTCCATTTTAGTTCACTGATGCCCAGGATGTCAATATTTATTCTTGCCATCTCATTTTTGACCACATCCAATTTACCAAGGTTCATGGTTCTTACATCCCAGTTTCCTATGCAGTATCTTTCTTACAGCATTGTACTTTCCTTTCACTTCCAGGCACATCCGCAACTGAGCTACCTTTTGGCTTTGGCCCAGCTGCTTCACCAGCTCTGAATCTACTTGTACTTGTCCTCCGCTCTTCCTCAGTAGCATGTTAGAAGCCTTCCGACCTGAGGGGCTCATCTTCCAGCATCATAACTTTTATATGCCTGTTGTCTTTGTCCATGGAGTTTTCTTGGCAGGGATACTGGAGTGGCTTGCCGGTTCCTGCTCCAGGTGGATCACATTTAGTTAAAACTCTCCACTATGACCTGTCTGTCTTGGGTGGCCCTGCATGGCATAGCTCATAGCTTCTCTGAGTTATTCAAGCCCCTTTGCCACGACAAGGCAGTGATCCATGAAGGAGGCTACATACATAGCTTAAGTTTTTTTTCTTCTTCTGTGGTGGCTGTGAGAGTCAGTGGAGATACAATTGAGTACAGTATCATGGGGATACAGCACATCTAATCTCAACCAGATGATAGGCAAGTGCTTCCTATATTTCTGCATAATGAGATGGTGATGGAAATTGTTGGTGGGAACTCTTATAGGACCAGATGGGAATGGGATTGAGTCTGTTAGGCTGCAAACTGTAGTCGCACTGCAGTGCTATTGCTTCCTGCTCTAGAGAGCAACTATCAAATTGTGTCCAAAGCAATCCCAACAGAAAACAGTTTTGAACATCTGAAGTGTGATGAAGCTGAAAGAAGCACTTTGGGGCACAGTAGAAAGCACTTCTAAATTGAAGGTAAAATACAAAGTAGCATTGGTGTCTGGCAGTACTGAAAGGTTCCTAGAGAAGCAGAAAGCCCATTTGGAAACCTGGAGAAATTGAACAAGAGAATTCAGGACTTCAGAAATAAAACTTAAATATGATAACCCACAGTATTTCAGTGCACACTTTCTGGTTAAACTTTAGCTAAGAATCCTTTTAAGTTTTATTCTGTTGGTACCTTGCCTTATTCCAGAATAATAAAATTCCTTGAAACTTAACACATACCAATGATAAGAAAAGCAGTAGAACCAACAGTAAAATCAGCAGTAAAATCAAAGGGCCAGCAATAAAATAAGCCTCACAGCATTTTTGGAGAGTAGGGAGGACTATAGACTCATGCTCTTACTCTTGGACTAATCAAAATGCACGGGAAACTGATCTTTGGAGTTCTGTGAAGAGGCTGAATCTTTGCTGACCGGATAAGGGTAGCCTGCTTTCCACTTCTCAAACTCCACTCCAATTTACTGATCACATTTCTTCTTCTTTTTCTCCCCTCCAATTTGTAATTGGTATTTTGAAGTAGTGTGCCAATTTTTCATTCTAGTCATATTCTTAATTGAATTTTGCAAAAATTGTGAGTATGTATTAACTTTACCACTTAATACTAGATTGGGCTGCTGATGCATTTTACTCACCAAAAATTTGCCTTCTGCTTCACGTGGTTACTGTCAAGTTTACACTGAAATGCAATATATCCGCTGCGCATGAGCAATTTATATTTCAGTATATACTTGACATAGCTGTTGTACAGAATTCCTTGGCTTTAGGGCTGTGGGGAGGATCTTAGTGTCACTTAATGTTCTAGGCAGAAGAAAGACTTGGCAAGGGATTAAGACTTTCAAGAAGGTTGTTGCTGCTGGCAGGGATTATTTATACCCAAATAAAGAGTGATGGGAGGATCTGGCTTGTAGGTGGATCTTAATTGCTGCATTACAGCCTACTGGAGGGCAAATGCCTTGCTTTTATCAGTTTCAGGTGGTTCAAAAGCCATCAGTTGGAGGGCCTCAAAGTGCAAGATTGGCTTAATACTTTTAAAAAGCATGCTTTCTGAATTAATGGCATGCAGTTCCTGTCATTGTCGAGTTACTTTCCACAGTGCAGCCATGAGGATTAAAAACAGATTTGGAAATAGCTGTTTTCTCAGTCACCTGAGGCAAGTAAGAACCTGCTCTAGGCTATCAGGTAAAGAATCTCCCCCCCCCCCACACACTTTCAGCCCATCAAGTTTCCCTAAATGGCTGCAGACTCTTATGGACCTGTATAGCTACACTTAAGGTTAACAAAAGCTGTGGCCAGGCAGAGTGTCCCTGCATTCCTTCATGGCACATTTTATATGACAAGTCTCTTCCATAATGTGTATCTGAGATGATAGGTTGTACACTAAGGTGAAGAAATCTAGGGTACATGATAGGGGATTATTGCATTAGTTTTCCTGGTTATAATGCTAGTGCCTCTGTTCCAGTTTCTAACATTCCTTTTAATACTGCATTACCTGTTACATTATGGAACTATGGATTTTTCATCAATATACAGGCAACTCCCCATTTGCGTGTGATTGGCACGTGTATGACTTCTGATGTGTGTGCCATTTTCAGCACTGCAAAGGAGTGAGGCGGAATGGAATGGGCTTACACGCGTCCTGCCAACGCATGCAGTGCCTCAGAATGCTAGCCCTGCGTAAATGGGGAGTTGCCTGTATTGCCATGTTGCCCTAAATTTCATTCACACTAGTGGGCATGGTGTGACACAACGCATGCTTCTGCTGCCATGTGGGAATCCCTTGCAGTTGATTGTAGTGCCTAGAGACAGACAGTCAGGTTGTGTATCCACAGCAGTGACCAGAGGGGAAATGACCACTAGGAGGCGCACAGAGAAATGCCATGGTGCAACAGCAAAAGCAGACTCCTTCATCTGTCCCAGCTGCAACAAAACATGTCTCTCCCTTATCACTCCACAACCACAGCAGGCGCTGTAGCTGTCCGAAGGTTTGACTTCACTCCCAAAGGCACACTCCTCCATGGTCTCCTGAGATGGACGGATACCAACAACAACAAGCGTCTTCTGCTTCCCCATGATTCACCCATGAAAACAGGGGGGGGGGCGACTGTAGGCCAGAATACGCCCCAAATTTCTTACCATGTTTTTCCATGTTAACGGAGTTGCAAACATATTTTTTTCTGGAAGCAGTTAACATGGACATAACTTTCACTAGATTCCACTAGATTTCCATAAGCGGCTTTTACCTCATATGAAACATAAAAGTTACAAGGTAAAGAAACATCAAGAAAAAGGAATAAAGTGCTGCATGTGAAGCTCTAGATTTGCATCTTGACATTATTTATGCATTTAATGCATTTATCAGTCAAACCAACTTACACAACTACAAATCCATATATAGTTCTTGGACTGATGGGCATGTGTTAATAGCGCTATTCTTCAAAGCCCTAGATGAAATGGAAAGCCATTAATGAGTTGGGAAGTGGTTAGAACGCCTTATGACACCATGGACTAATGGTTGCTTCAGAAGGTAAAGTTTATTCTTGGGATAGGGGACTTTAGCTATAAATACAGCAGCAAATTAAACACAGGTTTGAATTTGACCAGCTTAAATGTTCAGGGTCAGACTGGGTTCAAGTCATTCATTCAATCTGGCAGCTCTAAAGAATTTAGCATGGTTTCAAGTTCTGCTTTAGCCTGTAGGCCTTGTCAAGCCATTGTCTGAGAATCAGTTGAAGAACAGCCTGTTAGAAAGCACTTTGTTGCTTTTTTTTCAATCAGCCTGTTACACATAGCTTTTAGGATGTAATCCTCTAGTGAACTTCATGGAAATTCTGAGTAGACATGCATAGAATTGCACTGTTCACCTGTTGCTGTTTTTCCATTTTTTTTATTTACAGAGTTAAAAATATTACAATATTTAATATTCACAAGTAACAGCTCAAATTAGTAGCTTGAAGTAAGCTACGCTTTCAGTATAAAGAGAATGAAATCCAGCTGGTTTATCTAAGCATGTGTCCTCAGAGTTGCAATAGTCAGAAAGGTTCTGCCTGCTTTTGCTTCTTGTCACTCCCACCCCTGGCATTTGGCTTCCAGGTGGTTGTCCAGAGGGGCATGTGGTGCTTGGACCAAAAAAGGTCCTCCATCATGGCCAAATTGAGCTTGGGTTTAAATCTTTAACTTTTACACTGTATCTGAGGCATGACTTGGGAGTTTCCCCTGGCAAAATCCCACTTGATGTTCCTCGCAGATTTAAAATTCCTGTCTTGTAAATCCTCCTGTGTCCATCTGATTGGCGCATACAGAGACTGTCAGACTAGGACCTGGGAGACCTGGGTTCAAATCTTCACTCAGCCATGAAGCTCACTGGGTGACCCTGAATCAGTCACTGCCTCTCTGCCTAACCTACCTCACAAGGTAGTTGCCAGGATTAAATGAAAAGGAGGAGAAAAATGTACGCTACCTTGAGTTCTTGGGAGAAACAGTGGGATATTAATTAAATAAAGTGCCAGGAGCATGATTCTCTTTTGGTTCATATGCAGCTTGTTGCTTTTGTATGTGACCAACTTGCCCCAAAACATTCCTCGATGCCTGAGAAATTTTTATCTTTCCCATCCTGCAGTCTAATCCATGCATAGAGAGCCCTCTGCTCTGCCTGGGCGGATAACAGGTAGCCTTTCTGAAAAAGCCACCTTGGAAGTTCTGGATTTCAACTTCCTATCTTTTGCCAGACCATACATTTCCCCATGTCATTGGTTCCAGTGCAACAGCTTGCTGTTCCTCACCACTGCCTGCATGCCTAACTAGATGAAACTTTTGCACAGGAACAGAAGTTGTCATGCAGCCTACCTGTTAAGCTACAGAAGATGGAGGGAGGTGGCGTAAGCCTTTTTCCATCATAGCTTTCAAGGAACAATCCTCACAACTACAGTTGTTTGGCTGTCTGAAGTAGCTAGTCAGATGCCTTCCAGAGAATTACTAGTTTAGTAACAGCCCTCCCTTATTGTTTGTTCCCCAACAACTGCAATTACTAGTATAATGCTTCCAAACAAAGGACGATGAGTCGGTGACAGTTACAGTCGTACCTCAGAAGTCGAATGAAATCCGTTCCAGAAGTCCATTCGACTTCCGAAATGTTCAGAAACCAAGCCACGGCTTCTGATTGGTTTCTGATTGCGCAGGCTCACTGGAAACAATAGTGGAAGCTGCACCGGACATTTGGCTTCCAAAAAAAGTTCGAAAACCGGAACACTCCCTTCTGGTTTTCAGTTGTTCAGTAGCTGAAATGTTCAATTCCCAAGGTGTTCGGGAGCCAAGGTATGACTGTACTGGTATTCAGAGAAGTAAGATGGCTAGAAAGTCTTGTTTTAGTAGATATTAAAAAATGGTGGCGTATGAAAATAAGAGAATATATTGTTTATGTATATTTAACAATATACATTGAATCATAGAATCCTAGAGTTGGAAGAGACCACAAGGGCCATCGAGTCCAACCCCCTGCCAAGCAGGAAACACCATCAGAGCACTCCTGACATATGGTTGTCAAGCCTCTGCTTAAAGACCTCCAAAGAAGGAGACTCCACCACACTCTTTGGCAGCAAATTCCACTGTCGAACAGCTCTTACTGTCTGGAAGTTCTTCCTACTGTTTAGGTGGAATCTTCTTTCTTGTAGTTTGGATCCATTGCTCCGTGTCCGCTTCTCTGGAGCAGCAGAAAACAACCTTTCTCCCTCCTCTATGTGACATCCTTTTATATATTTGAACATGGCTATCATATCACCCCTTAACCTCCTCTTCTCCAGGCTAAACATGCCCAGCTCCCTTAGCCGTTCCTCATAAGGCATCGTTTCCAGGCCTTTGACCATTTTGGTTGCCCTCCTCTGGACATGTTCCAGTTTGTCAGTGTCCTTCTTGAACTGTGGTGCCCAGAACTGGACACAGTACTCCAGGTGAGGTCTGACCAGAGCAGAATACAGTGGCACTATTACTCCCTTGATCTAGATGCTATACTCCTATTGATGCAGCCCAGAATTGCATTGGCTTTTTAGCTGCCGCGTCACACTGTTGGCTCATGTCAAGTTTGTGGTCAACCAAGACCCCTAGATCCTTTTCACATGTACTGCTCTCAAGCCAGGTGTCCCCATCTTGTATTTGTGCCTCTCATTTTTTTGCCCAAGTGCAATACTTTACATTTCTCCCTGTTAAAATTCATCTTGTTTGTTTTGGCCCAGTTCTCTAATCTGTCAAGGTTGTTTTGAAGTGTGATCCTGTCCTCTGGGGTGTTAGCCACCCCTCCCAGTTTGGTGTCATCTGCAAATTTGATCAGGATGCCCTTGAGTCCATCATCCAAGTCGTTGATAAAGATGTTGAATAAGACCGGGCCCAAGACAGAACCCTGTGGCACCCCACTAGTCACTCTTCTCCAGGATGAAGAGGAACCATTGATGAGCACCCTTTGGGTTCGGTCAGTCAGCCAGTTACAAATCCACTGAGTGGTAGCATAGTCAAGACCACATTTTACCAGCTTCTTTACAAGAATATCATGGGGCACCTTGTCAAATGCCTTGCTGAAATCAAGGTAGGCTACATCCACTGCGTTCCCTTCATCCACCAGGCTTGTAATTCTGTCAAAAAACGAGATCCGGTTAGTCTGACATGACTTATTTTTCAGAAATCCATGCTGACTATTGGTGATCACAGCATTCCTTTCTAGGTGCTCACAGACTGTTTGCTTAATGATCTGCTCCAGAATCTTCCCTGGTATTGATGTCAGACTGACTGGGCGGTAATTATTTGGGTCCTCTCTTTTCTCCTTTTTGAAAATAGGGACAACATTTGCCCTCCTCCAGTCTGCCAGGACTTCGCCTGTTCTCCCGGAATTCTCAAAGATGACTGCCAGTGGTTCTGAGATCACATCTGCCAGTTCTTTTAATACTCTTGGATGCAGTTCATCTGGCCCTGGAGACTTGAATACATCTAAACTAGCCAAGTATTCTTGTACTATCTCCTTAGTTATTCTGGGCTGTGTTTCCTTTGCTGAATCATTTGCTTCAAATTCTTCAGGTCGGGCATTGTTTTCTTTATCGGAGAAGACTGAGGCAAAGAAGGCATTGAGGAGTTCAGCCCTTTCTGTGTGCCCTGTTTGCATTTCACCATCTTCTCCTCTGACTGACCCCACTGTTTCTTTGTTCTTCCTTTTGCTACGAACATACCTATAAAAGCCTTTTTTGTTGCTTTTAACCTCTTTAGCAAGCCTGAGTTCATTCTGTGCTTTAGCTTTTCTGACTTTGTGTCTACACGTGCTGGCTAGTTGTTTGAATTCCTCTTTGGTGGTTTCCCCCCTTTTCCATTTTTTGTACACATCCTTTTTAATCTTAACTCAGTTAAAAGTTCTTTGGATAGCCACCCTGGCTTCTTTAGGCACCTTCCATGTTTCCGTCTCATTGGTATTGCCTGACGTTGTGCTTTTACTATCTCCCTCTTAACAAACTCCCAGCCATCATGAACTCCCTTTCCTTTTAGTATTACTGTCCATGGGATCTCACCCAGCACTTCCCTAAGTTTTATGAAGTCGGCTTTCTTAAAGTCAAGAAATTGAGTCCTAGTATGCTTGGCTGCTCCTTTCCGCTGTATAGTAAACTTCAGAAGAGCATGATCACTCGCGCCTAATGATCCTTCCACTTCTACCCCACTAACCAGGTCATCAACATTGGTTAGGACCAGATCTAAAATGGCTGTTCCTCTTGTTGCTTCTCCCACTTTCTGGACAATGAAGTTGTCTGCAAGGCCAGTGAGGAATCTGTTTGACCTTATGCTCTTGGCTGAGTTTGACATCCAACAAATATCCGGGTAATTGAAGTCCCCCATTACTACTATCTCCCTTCCTTTTGCATGCTTGGCCATCTGTTCCAGGAAGGCATCATCTATGTCCTCCGTTTGGCTTGGGGATCTATAGTAAACTCCCACAATGAGGTCACTGTTATTCTTCTCTCCCTTAATTTTGACCCAAATGCTCTCACTTTGGCTTTGAGGTTCTAAATCTTGGATCTCTTCACAGGTATACACATCCCTGACATATAACGCCACTCCTCCTCCTTTCTTGTCTGGTCTGTTTCTCTAAAATAGATTGTATCCCCCCCATTATTACATACCAATCGTGGGACTTATCCCACCAGGTTTCAGTGATGCCTATTATGTCATATTTAGTTTGCTGTACCAAGAGCTCAAGCTCATCTTGTTTATTTCCCATGCTTTGCGCATTAGTGTACAGACATTGAAGTCCATTACTCATTCCCCGTGTCTCTTATTTAAGGATTTTTTCCTCCCACCACTAGGTCTGCGTGCTGTTTGCTCCATTTGGTCTATGACATTTGGATGATCATCTTCATCAATTGATAGACTCCTACCTTCAGGAGCACTGTCTCCCTACCCCACATTAGTCAGTTTAAAGCCCTCCTGATGAGGTTTCTGAGATTTTTGGCAAAAACATTTCTCCCAACTGTTGTGAGGTGCAGCCCATCGCTTGCCAGAAGTCCGTCTTCAAGAAACTGCAGTCCGTGATCTAAGAATCCAAACCGTTCCTGTTTACACCATTTGCAAAGCCAGCTGTTCACTTCCACTATTTTTCCTCTCCCCTGGGCCACGTTGTTCAACTGGGAGGACAGATGAGATGACAATTTGTGCATTTAATTGCTTCAATTTCCTGCCCAGAGCCTCGTAGTCTCTTTTTGATCTTCTGGAGGCTATTGCTTGCAGTGTCATTGGTTCCCACATGAACCAAGAGGAAGGGGTATTTGTCAGTGGGTTTTATGATTCCTTGCAGTCGTTCAGTTACATCTTGGATCTTAGCCCCGGGGACAGCACACTTCCCGAGACATCTTGTCAGGCCCACAGATCACTGCTTCTGTTCCCCTCAGTAGGGAATCCCCTATCACCACTACACGCCTCCTCTTAGGTTTGGTCGGGGTTCTTCCGTGAGCTGTCCGTTCCAAGGTCGCCTGCACATTCCCTGAGGACTGACTTTGCTGCTCGTCTTCATATACCTGATCGACTGTAATGAGGGAGAGATCCTCAAATGGAGTCTGCTCTTCGTCTTCCATGCTAGGGAGAGGACCTCAAAGCGATTGTGTATTTCTAAACAATCAGAGCGAACCCTGGGCCTCCTACTTCTTTGAGTCACGTTTCTCCATATATCTGGCTCCTGTGTTGGTGAACTAGCCTCCTTCTCAGGGGAGTCCTCTGTCTCCTCCTTGGTGGAGACGGTGTGCTCTGTTGCTTCCAAGAAGAGCTCCAGCTCTCTAATTCTTTGGAGCGTAGCTACACGTTCCTCCAGTTGCTGGACTTTGTCTTTTAAGAGGGCAATCAACATGCAATTGCTGCAGGTAAAGCTGCCTGCAACCTTTGGCAAGATGGCAAACATTGCGCAGGAACCGCAGGCGACTGCAGCTGTTCCCTCCCCCTCCATCTTGAGAACGTGTCGTTGGGCGGTGGCTACAGCGGTCCTCCATCATAAAAAGCGTGAAAACAGGACAAATAACTCCCCCCACAAAAAAAACTTAGGTCTCCCCCAACAAACGTTTGAGACTAGCTCCCCTAAATCTAAAAGATGGATCAAACAGCTAATCAGCCACAAAGAAACACACACACACAAGAAAACCCTTTTTGCTCCTCCTTCAACTGCTGCCCTGCAAGTTCTGATAAGCTCCTCCCACAGCTAATCACTTGCCTCAACAGAAACCCTGCCCCCTCTGACCTTTGCACAGGGAGAGCAGCTAATCAGCCACAAAGAAACACACACACACACACACACACACACAAGAAAACCCTTTTTGCTCCTTCTTCAACTGCTGCCCTGCAAGTTGTTTAGCGTTGACTCAGATCCCTGCCTATAAAATGGGCATAAGAGTAAACGGTCTCATGTGGCCGATGAGAGAGTGAAAATCATCGCCACTCTATAAATACAGTGGTGCCTCTGGTTACCAACTTAATTTGTTCCAGAGGTCATGTTCTCACCATGAAGTAAAGTTCTTAACGCAAGGTACTATTTCTGGGTTAGTGGAGTCTGTAACCTGAAGTGTTTGTAACCCAAGGTACCACTGTACTCTATAAATACTAGCTCGTAATGGAAATGTTAACTCTGTCAAACTGTTGTACCAAAACTTGCCATCAAAGTACTTGTTCAATATTGTGGCTTTGTGTGCTACTAAGACTTTACGCTATTGCCAAAACTGCAAGGGACTTTTGTCATCATTTCAGTGCAAATTAAGGTGTGGGGTTTGGGTTACTATGTTTCAGCAAGTTTAAAAAGATTATTTCAACTGTTGATTGGTGAAATGAAAGCTGGAATGTTTGGAAAAGGAAAAAATCTCAGGATTCAGTTCCTTTTTGTACTAGCTGTTCTGTGTGATGACTTGCAGTGCTACTTTTCTTGCAGAGAACAGCCATCTGTTCAGGCAAGCAGCTGTAGTTTCCTCACTTGTACAGTCTAGGGAACTGTTTTAGAAAAGCACTAGAAAAAACAGTAGATGTATCTGATAAAGAGGCTAGAATGAGGGACAAGCAAATGAATTTGGCACATGCCTTCTAACGCACAACATGTAGCAGATTTTGCCTTTGTATAATGAGTGAGAATGGAGCAATTAGTCAAGTAAGTTAGTGTGGAGTTTGCATCCATGGTGGGTTCCACACAATAAAGGCATTTTCTAGCTGTTGCTGTTCTTAGTTTTCTGGCTAAACCTAAGTAGCATCTCCAAAATACATACTCCCTTTCCCTGGGATTGCTCTACCCTCAGACTCAAACTACATGAGGAGAACGGCTAAGGGAGCTGGGCATGTTTAGCCTGGAGAAGAGAAGAGGAGGTTAAGGGGTGATATGATAGCCATGTTCAAATATATAAAAGGATGTCACATAGAGGAGGGAGAAAGGTTGTTTTCTGCTGCTCCAGAGAAGCGGACAAGGAGCAATGGATCCAAACTACAAGAAAGAAGATTCCACCTAAACATTAGGAAGAACTTCCTGACAGTAAGAGCTGTTCGACAGTGGAATTTGCTGCCAAGGAGTGTGGTGGAGTCTCCTTCTTTGGAGGTCTTTAAGCAGAGGCTTGACAACCATATGTCAGGAGTGCTCTGATGGTGTTTCCTGCTTGGCAGGGGGTTGGACTCGATGGCCCTTGTGGTCTCTTCCAACTCTATGATTCTATGATTCTATACATGTTCTGTAGAATTTCATGAGTCATGCCTCCATATTTTTCCTTTTAAAATTTGTAGTGACCTGAACAAGATTACCATATTTTTGCATGTATAAGACTAGGTTTTTTACTTTAAAATAATGTCAAAATTAGGGGGCGTCTTATATACGAATACATCTCCCCCCCATTTTCTTAAATCTGAGTCCTCAAAAATAGGGGGTGTCTTATACATGGGGGCATCTTATAGACGGAAAAATACGGTACATCTGAACAGAAGGCTGAAAAAGACTGCTTAACTTTTTTACCTGTAAAAGAATATCACACTCTCTAAGCTATTCACATCCTAAGGCTCTGGGTTGATGAGGAAATAGTGTTCTTGTATTTTCCCCATTTGTTCCCCCTTACTTTTGAAAACCAAGGTACCACTGTACTAATATTAACACATCATCATGTTTGAAACCTGGTGGGGGAAGCATGATCAGAAGGGTGATTTAGCCAAGTTTTTATTACATGTGTACCACACATGTAGGTAGGCCCTTGGTGTGAAAGCTGGCATGTTCCCATTTTGAGTCTTTCTTTCAGGTATGAAATCTTATGTGGCTTTAGATAAACTACAATATCTCAGCTTTCTCTTTACTCCTTCTCCTGTCCTTCAAAAAGGGGTGATAATATTTAGAGGAGGGATGGAGAACCTGTGCCCTTTCAGAGGTCTGCCCCAGCCAGCATGACTTGATGGTCTGGGATCATATTAGACCTATTTGCATATCTAGCAACCAACTGATTTTTTTTGTTTTATCCCTATAAGTCACTTTGGGTATAATTCATCACTGAAAAGATTTGCTGGTGGTAGTCGTGATGGGAGTTGCAGGCTAACAACATCTGTGGGCCTACAGGTTCCTTGTCCTTGTCTTACAGTGTTTTAAGAATTTCTGAAACAGTGTGTGAAGTGCTTTGGACTTAGCATTGCTCTATGAATACTAGTAAATACCTGTGAAGTGCTTACCTTCCCACCTGAGTTGTAAAATATTCTCCTTAGTAAAAATGCTACAGGAATTCTTGTCAATAAAATGGCTTATGTAAAATTGGTATCTGAAGAAGTGTGCATGCACACGAAAGCTCATACCAAGAACAAACTTAGTTGGTCCATAAGGTGACTTATGTAAGTTTCATAGAGCCGATCCAAATGTACAGGGAGACGTGTGACCCAGTCCTGCGCAGGCTTTGCCACCTTTAAATTGTAGAGGCGCTACAGTGCCTTGCAGGACTATACTATGAATCAGTACTAACATTTAAATTGGCTCCTGTGTGGTGTCACCAGCATGCTCAGAAATAATAATACTGAAAATGTAAGATAAGCAAGTACCTTCAGGAATAGATATTAGGAGTAACTAAAGTTCTTTAAAGGACACGGGTGGTGCTGTGGTCTAAACCACTGAGCCTCTTGGGCTTGCCAATCAGAAGGTCGGCAGTTCGAATCCCTGCGACGGGGTGAGCTCCCGTTGCTGGGTCCCAGCTTCTGCCAACATAGCAGTTCGAAAACACGCCAGTGCTTCCAGCGGGAAGGTAAATGGTGTTTCTGTGTGCTGCTCTGGTTTTACCAGAAGCAGCTTAGTCATGCTGGCCACATGACCCGGAAAAACTGTCTGCGGACAAACGCCAGCTTCCTCAGCCTGTAAAGCGAGATGAGCGCTGCAACCCCAGAGTCGTCTGCGACTGGGCTTAACTGTCAGAGGTCCTTTACCTTTTAAAGTTCTTTAAGTCTGAAAGTCACCTTTCAAGATCTTAATATGTTCAAGAGTTTCAAGAGGCATCCTGTTGTCTCACTTGTTGATTCTACCTGTCCTTCCACTTAACACCTTTCAACCATAGACACTAACCTTGCATCCCTGGCCTGTCCTGTGATTGCTTGCACATCCTTACTTTGAAACACCCTTGCACATGCTGCCTCCATTGAGTCTTGCTCCTCCCACAATCCCTGTGTCCCATCATGTTCATTAACTTCTTCTCTTCACTTTCTTAAACTATTACAGTTGAGTTGATGTTTGAAGAGCCACATTGGGTCATCCTGTGGGTGTATGTAAAAATTTATCTTATATTGATTTAAGTTGTCACTTAGTTCCCCTGTGTCTTCTGGTAGATGAAAATATGAGAAGTGCAAATTAAGCTCCAATGTATTAAAGGAGGTTTGTGTATTAAAGGAGGTTTATGGATTTAGTGGATTCTGGTAAAGGCTAGAATCCTGATGAACAATCTTATGTTCATTCATGCAGTGTTTTGATGCGAAACCTGTAGCCTTAGTCAATATTCTACATAGTGTTCCCAGGGCTGGAAAACTCTTAGTGCCAGGAATTTATTATTCCCAGTACATTTCTTTTAGGGTTTGCTTGTTTAAAGCATTTTGTCCCACTATTTTGCCAAAAGGTTACTAGAGCAGCTTCAATTAGTAGTAGCACATAGAATCATAGAATTGTAGAGTTGGAAGGTCCCAAGGGTCATCTAGTCCAACGCTCTGTAATGCAGGAATCTCAACTAAAGCATCCATGACAGATGGCCATCCAACCTCTGCTTAAAAACCTCCAAGGAAGGAGAGTCCACCACCTCCCATGGGACCTGTTCCACTGCTGAACAGGTCTTACTGTCAGAAAGTTTTTTCAAATGTTTAGTTAGAATCTCTTTTCTTGTAACTTGGAGCCATTGGTTCAAGTCCTAGCCTCCAGAGCAGGAGAAAACAAGATTGCTTCCTCTTCCATGTGACAGCCCTTAAGATATTTGAAGATGGCTATCATATGTTCTCTCAGGCTCCTCTTTTCCAGGCTAAACATACCCAGCTCCCTCAAGTACTCCTCATAAGGCTTAGTTTCTAGACCCTTTATCATCCTGGTTGCCCTCCTCTGCGCATGTTCCAGCTTGTTAACAGTATTCCAGGTGTGGTGTGACCAAGGCAGAATAGAGTAGTGCTGTTACTTCCTTTGATCTGGACACTAGACTTCTGTTGATGCAGCCTAGAATAGTGTTAGCTTTTTTTGCAGCTGTAGCACACTGTTGACTTATGTTAAGCTTGTGGTCCACTAAGACTCCTAGATCCTTTTCACATGTACTGCTAGTAAGCCAGGTGTCCCCTATCCTATATTTGTGAATCTGGTTCTTCCTGCCTAAGTGCAGAACCTTACATTTGCCCTATTGAAATTTGTTAGCTTGTGCCCAGTTCTCCAAGGTCATTCTTCTGCGGCATTAGCTACACCTCCCAGTTTGATGTCATCCTGCAAATTTGATGAGCCAGTCTCTGTTCACAGGCTTATAATCTAAAAGAAGGAAAAGAGGATGGGGAAAGAAGAAGGAGAGAGACACAAATTCAGGCACCAGCTGGGATGGAAACAGTTCAGAAAGCCTGATAGTATGGCTCTCATTGGGTGACAGTTGAGAGAGGACGAAAGCCAATTGATCTCTCTGCATAGGCAATGGAAATAACCTTGTTTCACTTATCTCCTTCTCTGCAAACAGGTATAAAATTGCAAGCAGGTGTACAGTTAATTCATATCAGGTTTACTACAGAATATATTTGCTGTTACAAATTACAAGAGTCATTATCTCATGCTTATCTCTCTTAAACTGGTGAAAGGAATTACATGCTTTATACAGAGTCAGGCCACTGGTCTTTCGAGCTCAGTATTGTCTACAATGATCGACAGAGGTGCTCTAGCACTTCAGAAAGGATTTTTCTCAGGCCACCCTGGAGATGCCTAGAATTGAACCTGGAACCTTCTGCAGGCAGCACATGCTTTCTACCACTGAGCTATATAACCCAAAATACAGCTGATTATACATATCAAGCCAATTGTCTATCATATTTTGGCAGAAACCAACCATAACCCTGAATTCTTGCATAAGTCAGCTTGTTTCCTGGCAGCATGGCAAGAGCAGTGAAGAAGTGAAGTGACTGTGATTTCAGCAGTGTGCACCTGTGCACTATGTGTTCACATTAAATACTAGTTTATTTTAACTACTGTATAGCTTTAGTGACGCGGGGGGCGCGACTGGAAGGTCGGCAGTTTGAATCCCCACGATGGGGTGAGCTCCCGTTGCTTGGTCCCTGCTCCTGCCCACCTAGCAGTTCGAAAGCGCATCAAACTGCAAGTAGATAAATAGGTACCGCTCCAGCGGGAAGGTAAACGGTGTTTCCATGCGCTGCTCTGGCTCGGCAGAAGCGGCTTAGTCATGCTGGCCACATGACCCGGAAGCTGTATGCCGGCTCCCTCGGCCAGTAAAGCGAGATGAGTGCCGCAACCCCAGAGTCGTCCGTAACTGGACCTAACGGTCAGGGGTCCCTTTATCTTTACCTACCTTATAGCTTTAATGTAATGTGTGAATGAGAAAGATGAGGATTGCTGAAGGGAGAGGCTAAGTTGCTTTCACGGCTAACTTTGAAACATAGCTGTGACACTATCGTGTCCCAAGGCTGAATTAAGCAGTGGGGAACCAATGAAATTACTTGTCCGTAATCTTCAAGAGAGAAAAATTATATAAAAACTATGCATTAGTGCTGAGTTACCCAGGACTTCAAAGCCTGTCAGTTTAGGATAATTAATTGGTTGATGTTCAGTTTTGGATAGGAAATAGAAAACCTGTTTGGGGTGCATATGTGTGTCCCACATGGGAAAGATCCATATCTCTGTCACTTTTATATGCTGAATCTTTTATTGGTATTGAATCTCTATTGACTGCATTTTGTCATGTGTTTGTAAAGCCACCATAGCAAATTCTTTTGAAATGCACGTTGTAAATCCATTCAGTATGTAATTTAAGAAGGATGAGTATTTGATGTGATGAAATGTGATGCTTGCACTAGGAATTTGAAATATTTGTTTAGCTATGTCAAGGGCTGCTGTCTTAAAAATATATATTTAAAAACTCTGATGATGGATTACAGGAATTTGTATCTGGTGCTTGGCATTTGAAATTATTTTTTCCTGCCTTGAATATCCTCATGATGCAATTCGTACTTGTATTCAAAATATACTGCATGTTACGTTTCTTCAAACTCCATCTAGATCTGAGCAATTTTCAGTATGGTCCTTAACTGATCATTCTCTCTCTTGTTGCCCAGGTTAGAGAAACCTTTGCTGAAATCCGATTATAAGATTTATTGGTCTTTGGAGGAACTCCCTTCTTAATGTTTGTGTGTTTCTGTCTCTCTCCAGCTGTCCCTTTCCCTCCTACGCAGCGGTTAACCCTGAAAGAAGTTTTTGAGGATGGGAAACCCAGGCTGGAGGTCTTAAGAAACCACTTGGTGAAAGAAGGGCGTTTGGAGGAGGATGCAGCACTGAAGATAATCAATGATGGAGCCTCCATTCTGAGGCATGAGAAGACCATGATTGAAGTTGAGGCTCCAATCACAGGTCAGAGAATGCTTTATTTTGTGGCTTGTTGTTTTCTGAGGCTCATCTGGAGTGACTGACTGCTAAAGCCAGCAGGTTTCCTGTTGCATGTTCTTTCCACTGAAGTGTGCTCAAGATCAGAAAGCTTTCTATACCTCCAAGGGGAAGAAGTGTTTTTGTAGATTGGAGATTTGAGTACAGGAGCTCAGTATAATCCAACAATTTAGACTGAAGCAAAACCATGTTCCCTATTGGTTCTGTGACCTTTCTCTTCTTAGCATGTAATCCTGTCCCTCTTTTTGCTGTCCTTCCTTCCCTAGTGTGTGGTGACATTCATGGGCAGTTCTTTGACCTGATGAAGTTGTTTGAAGTTGGAGGATCACCCAATAACACACGCTACCTCTTCCTGGGAGACTACGTGGACAGAGGCTACTTCAGTATAGAGGTGACAATTCAACTGAGCCTTTGGGGATTACACTTTAAAGTTTGGGCTGAGCCTATGGAACCTTTTCTTCTTCCGCTTTGGTAGTTTATGCAGCCTAGTACAATTACAGAGAGTTAATATGCAACAAGGCTTATCTTTAAATCAGTACAAATTTATTTTTATGTTCATGATGGCGAAGTGGCTAGATTGCAGTGAAGGACATTATGGGTTCAGGTCTGCCAAGCCTCATTCCTAATGCTGCCATGTTCTTCCCCCTTCCCACAAATAAAAATAAATTATGATGCACAAGAGCAACTGACCTGTCAGTTTGCTAAGGACAAGTAAAGTAGTCTGTGTTGAAACTTGTTTCTTTCTTTGCATGTTATTTGTATTAAAATATAGAGGCCAATTTTCAACCAAAAGGTGTCCCAACTACAGAATACAATAAAAATGATAAGCTGTAGACATCTGAATACCATTATGGACTGCTTCAGTTGTGTAAAAATGTGTGATAGCTAAACAAAATAAAAGTTTACCTCTTCTGTTCTCACCTGGACATCTTTATGAGCTCTAGTTGCCCTAATGCATCTTCAGGTTTATCTGGGCTTAAATACAGTTTATTAATATTTCACTGCCTAAATGTTTCTGTGCTTTTTTGGGGTCCCACAGGCCAGACAACATATATTCAGAATTCATAGTTGACTCCAGTCTGCTAAAACAATCCTACAAAAATGGATAATTAGCTAGGGATGGGTGAGCAGAGGAGGAAACAATCACTTCACCAACTCACTTATCATTCAGATGGAAATAATACTTCTGCTCTTACTACCAGCTGGCATTCTGAAGGGTTGTACAGGAATGGATCCTTAATTGCATTCAGACTGGCTCCTATTGGGTGGGAAATTGTGATAGCCAGGGAACTATGAGGGTGTCCTGTTCAACAGAGGATCCCAATGTGCCCAGATGCCTTGATCCACGTTTACAGTTTTTTAGCGTCATCTGAAGTCTGCTGTTTATCAGCTTGAATGCTGGGTCAGCTGTTCAGATGGCTGCTTGCCTTCTTTTAAAGTGGCATGTGTATGTTTGCTTTCATCCTTTGTGTTGTTCTTTTTTTAAATTAAAGGGTAACATTTTTTAAAGTTGCAGAACTATTGGGAAGGAGTAGGGGGGGTCAGGTTAGTGAACTCCAGTAGTGCTAGCCATATGACAGCATTTACAGCAAGTGTTTGCTGCAAGCTTGCAGAAACATTTTTTCCCTTCCAAAGCTTGGCCCAGAAGAGGAAAATACATGTTTTGTTTTAAATGTATTGAGGATGTTTCCAAACTCCCTCCCACTGCTCTACAATGATATCCCTCTTTTCACCTTAGCAATTGTGAGTGGTAAAATGAGTTAGGGGTATATTTGGGGTATTTGGTGATTGGAAAGAATTGGACTTGACCCTTAATTATTTTGGCTGCTAGCTTTCTGTTAAGTGGAGCCAGTGTGTGGCTATTACCATTGTGTGGAGTATTCCTGTCAGCTAGTATGATTAGTGGATGAGGAATTGTCTCCTACTAGTAAATGTTGCAGATCCCCTAAGTGGTTGTGATCTTTGGGTGAAATGAAGTTGGCAAGTACATGTAGGTCCCCCCCCCCCAAATGTTATAGTCTCTGCTGTGACACTTGAAAATTTCCAAAGGGCATACCACATGGCAGGGCTACATAGGCATTGTTTCACAAAGGTAGAGGAATGGATTTCGGAAGCCATTTCAATTAATGAAAGATGTAAAAGTGAAAGGGCACCAAATGGAACAGAATGGTCAGATCCAGAAAAACTGAGGAACTGGTGACAGTCTATGAAAGTCGCAGGAGAATGGAGTTTCAGTAATCCAGAGGAGGACGCAGTAAACTGTTTAACAAGGTAGCATAGTCACCTTTTCTGATTCCATCCAATGCTTTCTTTGTCACTTCTAGGGCTAGCCATGTTTGACTCTCACAGCAGAAATAGCAAAGTGTCTTGTGGGACTTTAATGCACAACTGGGATGGCAAAAGCTTTGTAGGCCCATGAAATCTGGTCCCTGAGTGCTTGATGGTACAATTAATTTGTTAGGCTGTAACCGTGCCACAAGACTCTGAGTTCTATGCATTCTGCTTGAGGGAAACAGAGGATGAAGAATTACAAGACATGATCACATGTTAAAGGCCGGGATTCTGAGCATGGACCTAGTGGACCATTGCTGTAGTGTTAATTCAGGAGTTATAGTGTGGAAAAATTGTGAGGGTAGAGAGGTTGCTACTTTCAGTTGTTAATAGGCTAATATTCATAATCTATCCCAACAACCTTTTGAGAAAGTTTCTCCTTTGTCGAGGAGGAATTCTGTGGAATCATGGCTCTGTTATGTTTTATGTTACCTTCGTAGAATCATAGAATCATAGAGTTGGAAGAGACCACAAGGGCCATGTTAATTTTTAGATTTCAGTTGCATAGTTTGAGCATTGAGGGAACAAGGATTAGCCTCCCTTGGCCACTTCTGCTATTGATACAGAGCACATCAATGAGCAAAGAGAGCCACCTCCATGGGCCATCACTCAGAATAACAATTGGCAGCATCAAAGGGGGAGTACCAGCCCCCCACTTCCCATTTTGTATCATTTTAGTAATTACTTTATGAGACGCGGGTGGCACTGTGGGTTAAACCACAGAGCCTAGGACTTGCAGATCAGAAGGTCGGTGGTTCAAATCCCCGCGACAGGGTGAGCTCCCGTTGCTCGGTCCCTGCTGCTGCCAACCTAGCAGTTCGAAAGCCCGTCAAATTGCAAGTAGATAAATACCGTATTTTTCGCTCTGTAGGACGCACCGGAGCATAGGAGGGGGAGAACGGGGGGGGGGAATCTCCCCCTCTCTGCTCAGCGCCCCTTCAGCGAAGTGGCAGGAGAAACAGAGCCCATTCCATTTCTCCTCCCGCTTCGCTGAAGGGGCGCTGCGCAGAGAGCGAAAACTGTGCAGCGCCTCTCCAGCGAAGCGAAGCCTGGAGAGCAAGAGGGATCGGTGTGCACCGACCCCTCTCATTCTCCAGGCTTCAGGCGGCTATCCGCAAGCCTTCGGAGCGCAGCAGGAACTCCTGGGGGCTTCAGGCGGCTTCAGCGAAAGCAACGCGAAGCCTCCGGAGAGTGGGGGGAGCTCTCCCTCTGCGCTTCAGAGGCTTCGCGTTGCTATCGCTGAAGCCAAGGAGCCTGCATTCGCTCCATAGGACGCACACACATTTCCCCTTCATTTTGGGAGGGGAAAAAGTGTGTCCTATAGAGCGAAAAATACAGTAGGTACCGCTCCGGCGGGAAGGTAAACGGCGTTTCTGTGCGCTGCTCTGGTTCACTAGAAGCGGCTTAGTCATGCTGGCCACATGACCCAGAAGCTGTATGCCGGCTCCCTCAGCCAGTAAAGCGAGATGAGCGCTGCAACCCCAGAGTCGGTCACGACTGGATCTAATGGTCAGGGGTCCCTTTACCTTTACCTAGTAATTACTTTATACAACTTTGATGAGGATGGGATTTAGGCTAATTGTTAACTAGTTAATGATATATAATAACACTTAGAAAGCATCTGAAATTTTCTGTGCGATGGTCTTTATGACGCTTTACCTTCATAGGAAGCAAGAAGTTCAGCTGCCTCAGAAGCTTGCTAACTTCTTTATGATCTCATAGTTGCATTTTTTATTTTGCAGCCTACCTTTAGCATACTAATGGAAAAGTGAGGTGTACAGTTAAGAAATATAAGAAGGTGATTGGTGACAGGCTACAGGCATTTAGCTTTATTCATTTAAATACAGTGGTACCTCAGTTCTCGAACGTACTCTGTTTCGGAAGACCGTTTGACTTCCAAAGCCGTCAAAAACTGAGGCGCAAAGAGCTGGCTGCAAGTTCAATTGGAAAAATGGAAAAACACGCAGTGGAAGCCGTTCAACTTCTGAGGAGCGTTCAAAATGGAAACAATTACTTCCGGGTTTTCGGCATTTGAAAACCGAAACGTTTGGCTACCAAGATGCTCGAAAACCAAGGTATTTCTACTAGAGTTTTCCTCAGTCAGCTCGAAAGGTTAACGAAACAATTTGAAGCAATTAACAATTTAGCAATTTTAAAAGTTACAGTAACAATCAACAACACCACTAAAGTAGTTGTTGGTTTGATATTTTCCTTCACTGAGCAATTAAATCCAGCAGATGTCTGAAAAGTCTGAACACTGGTATCGTTGGAGTTTAAGATAAGTTCAAAATATTAGAATCATAGAATCATAGAGTTGGAAGAGACCACAAGGGCCATTGAGTCCAACCCCCTACCAAGCAGGAAACACCCTCAGAGCACTCCTGACATATGGTTGTCAAGCCTCTGCTTAAAGACCTCCAAAGAAGGAGACTCCACCACACTCCTTGACAGCAAATTCCACTGTCGAACAGCTCTTACTGTCAGGAAGTTCTTCCTAATGTTTAGGTGGAATCTTCTTTCTTGTAGTTTGGATCCATTGCTCCGTGTCCGCTTCTCTGGAGCAGCAGAAAACAACCTTTCTCCCTCCTCTATGTGACATCCTTTTATATATTTGAACATGGCTATCATATCACCCCTTAACCTCCTCTTCTCCAGGCTAAACATGCCCAGCTCCCTTAGCCGTTCCTCATAAGGCATCGTTTCCAGGCCTTTGACCATTTTGGTTGCCCTCCTCTGGACACGTTCCAGTTTGTCAGTGTCCTTCTTGAACTGTGGTGCCCAGAACTGGACACAGTACTCCAGGTGAGGTCTGACCAGAACAGAATAAAGTGGCACTATTACTTCCCTTGATCTAGATGCTATACTCCTATTGATGCAGTCCAGCATTGCATTGGCTTTTTTAGCTGCCGCGTCACACTGTTGGCTCATGTCAAGTTTGTGGTCAACCAAGACTCCTAGATCCTTTTCACATGTACTGCTCTCAAGCCAGGTGTCCCCCATCTTGTATTTGTGCCTCTCATTTTTTTGCCCAAGTGCAATACTTTACATTTCTCCCTGTTAAAATTCATCTTGTTTGTTTTGGCCCAGTTCTCTAATCTGTCAAGGTTGTTTTGAAGTGTGATCCTGTCCTCTGGGGTGTTAGCCACCCCTCCCAGTTTGGTGTCATCTGCAATTTTGATCAGGATACCCTTGAGTCCATCATCCAAGTCGTTGATAAAGATGTTGAATAAGACCGGACCCAAGACAGAACCCTGTGGCACCCCACTAGTTACTCTTCTCCAGGATGAAGAGAAACCATTGATGAGCACCCTTTGGGTTTGGTCAGTCAGCCAGTTACGAATCCACTGAGTGGTAGCATAGTCAAGACCGCATTTTACCAGCTTCTTTACAAGAATATCATGGGGCACCTTGTCAAATGCCTTGCTGAAATCAAGGTAGGCTACATCCACTGCGTTCCCTTCATCTACCAGGCTTGTAATTCTGTCAAAAAATGCGATCCGGTTAGTCTGACATGACTTATTTTTCAGAAATCCATGCTGACTATTGGTGATCACAGCATTCCTTTCTAGGTGCTCACAGACTGTTTGCTTAATGATCTGCTCCAGAATCTTCCCTGGTATTGATGTCAGACTGACTGGGCGGTAATTATTTGGGTCCTCTCTTTTCCCTTTTTGAAAATAGGGACAACATTTGCCCTCCTCCAGTCTGCCGGGACTTCGCCTGTTCTCCAGGAATTCTCAAAGATGACTGCCAGTGGTTCTGAGATCACATCTGCCAGTTCTTTTAATACTCTTGGGTGCAGTTCATCTGGCCCTGGAGACTTGAATACATCTAAACTAGCCAAGTATTCTTGTACTATCTCCTTAGTTATTCTGGGCTGTGTTTCCTCTGCTGAATCATTTGCTCCAAATTCTTCAGGTCGGGCATTGTTTTCTTTATCGGAGAAGACTGAGGCAAAGAAGGCATTGAGGAGTTCAGCCCTTTCTGTGTGCCCTGTTTGCATTTCACCATTTTCTCCTCTGAGTGACCCCACCGTTTCTTTGTTCTTCTTTTTGCTACGAACATACCCATAAAAGCCTTTTTTGTTGCTTTTAACCTCTATAGCAAGCCTGAGTTCATTCTGTGCTTTAGCTTTTCTGTACACATCCTTTTTTAATCTTAACTCAGTTAAAAGTTCTTTAGATAGCCACCCTGGCTTCTTTAAGCACCTTCCATGTTTCCGTCTCATTGGTATTGCCTGAAGTTGTGCTTTTACTGTCTCCCTCTTAACAAACTCCCAGCCATTATGAACTCCTTTTCCTTTTAGTATTACTGTCCATGGGATCTCACCCAGCACTTCCCTAAGTTTTATGAAGTCGGCTTTCTTAAAGTCAAGAAATTGAGTCCTAGTATGCTTGGCTGCTCCTTTCCGCTGTATAGTAAACTTCAGAAGAGCATGATCACTCGCGCCTAATGATCCTTCCACTTCTACCCCACTAACCAGGTCATCAACATTGGTTAGGACCAGATCTAAAATGGCTCTTCCTCTTGTTGCTTCTCCCACTTTCTGGACAATGAAGTTGTCTGCAAGGCCAACTTGGAAGAGCTGTTGTCATGTCCTTAACTCAAGTCACAGGTGGACAGTCTGAAGTTCCTGACCTCATTTGATGGAGCCCCTGAGACAGCCCTGTTCTTCCATCCCATCAGAATTCCTACTTTCCTTTAGTTTCTTCCTCATTTTTCTTGGCTTTTTAAATAATCTCCCCTTTCTGTCTAGTTTCAGGATAATTGGAAGAGGCAGTATTATTATTATTATTAATAATAACCATCTGGCTGGGTTTCCCCAGCCACTCTATTTAATTTGATAAAATATGTGTTGCTTTTTTTAGAACTCTTCCTAGAGCTGTCTGTGAACAAATCAGTAGGCTTCTGCCATGTGTGTGTGCATATATCACACTGATGTCAGAAAGGAATTACTTTTACTTGCTTTCTAGAACCATAGCTGTATTGGTATGTTGAACTAAAAAAATCCTGGTATATTTGAGAGTAATCCCACTTAATAGGGTGATACTAACTCCTGAAGAGACCTGCATAGGATTGGGAATTGCAGTCTGAGGTAACTATGGAAAAAATTGAGGCAAGGTGGTCTGTGTATCTGATTTAGTTAATTAGCAACACATTTGCCTCCAACTCCATGAAGAATGCAGCCCTTCACAGAAAAAGATGTCCACTCTGTCGTAACTTTTAGCATCCTATAGTTTTGACTTACAGGTGTCTCCCCACTTGCGCATATTCAACTTGTGTGTGATGCTGGGAAATAATTAAATAAATTGATTTAAACTTCAGAAAAGTGTGAAAAAGTGTGGCCCAAAAAGAGCTGGAAAACAGATTGCCTTTGTGTTTGCAGTCCCATGAGGTTTGGAGGGAGTTTTAGGAGGATTTTTTTTGAGATGACACCCAAACGCAAGGCATCATCATCTTCCCAGGCGCTGAGAAACCCAAGAAGCAACAAGTGATTTAGAGGATGTTTACAGGCTATTTAGATCATGTTCCCACTAAGCACGATTCCACATATGTACACAGTACCTGGGAACGTAACCCCCACCTGTACGCTTGAGCTTTGTTGAAATTAATGTACACTCTTCAGGCATTAGCAATCCAGTGTATGAAGAACATGAAGGAGGCCTTGAGGACAAGCAGGGTAGCTCTGCTCTCAAGTCACAGAGTGAGGAGTGCCTGGTATCCCTTGAGGCTCACTGCATGTTTTGGAACACTGATTTTCCAGAGTTTTAAAATGCACAGGGAACCTCCATGGATGGCAGGAAGCTTTCCTGGTGGCGCTTTCCACAAGTGAAGATTGATGGAAGAGATAACAGGACAGAGACAGTGCTAGCACACTTGTCCTCACTGACTTTCTTCAGAATTTCTCTCAGATCTCAGATTTTAGAATGTTGTATTATTTTATTGTTGTTAGCCGCCCTGAGCCTGGCTTCGGCTGGGGAGGGTGGGATATAAATTAAAAAAAAAAATTATTCTTATTATTCTTATTATTATTATCATTTATTTGCCTCAAATTTTGTTTTATGCACAATTTCATTGCCAACACCATTTGTGACTTTTAGAACTTTTATTTTTTTAAAGAATTGAAAGCTGGAATTCTCAAGATTCAAAGGGAGCTGTAGGCTTCACAAAGGTCCTCTGAGGAAACCTTCATGTTTCCTACCTCTGTATTTAGTGAGAGAAGGTGGCTTTAATGAGCTGCTAGGAACTTTGGAGGGGTGGTGGTGAGGGAGATAAAATTGTGCTGAGCTGCTGGGATTTGTGGAGGGGGTGGAGATGATTGTGCTGAGATGATTGTTTGAAGTGCCACTTGGAAATTATATGCAGTATGGTACAAGGAAATATTACAGGGACATGCTGCACAAACTAGTATTTGGAATCCTTGGGAGTTGCTTGAAATCGCCATCCTTTGTACGCTGTCAGCATGCGGCCCTTTCATGCTATTCTTGGCCCTCCTCCTCCCCCCCAGCCCAGAATGGAGAGAGAGCTGTGAAAGGCTTGTTCCTTTTCTACCAAGCAGGTATTCATCTTTCACAAAGCAAGGTGGGCTTTGATTAGTACACGCGGGGGCTGCTCCAAATGTCACTTGATAAAATGGAATTGAGAAGCTTTATTTCACTTCTGTGCATGGAGATATGCCTTTTCCTCCTGCATCCTGCAAAATAACTTCTCTCTGCCTTGAATGAAAGATTTTCTGCTTAGGTGTGTTTAGCACTGGCTTCTAATATTGAGATGGAAGCCAGACAGTAGGCTTGGAAGAGAGAAAATGTATTGGCAAATACAAGGCAACATTACCTAAGTATTTACGGTTTTTGTCAAGGCTTGTAATACAGGACCTAACTGCCTCAAAGAAAGAAAAGAAACTAGCTGGGGCAATCTCAGATATGGAAGAACCTCATTTTTGTGGACAGGCATGATCTCTTATCACAGATTTTCAAGAGTTTCTGTTATACTTGGCTCCTGCTGTTGCTTGTTCCACTTTGCAACATGGGTGGTGTGTGTGAGAGAGCTTTCATGGGCCTTGGATATCGCAGTTTGAGTTTGTACAACTGGGTTGGGGAAATTAGGGAGCATCTGCCTGAGCAGTTGATGTTAATGACCAAACAAAATAAAACAGGATGTAATTTTTATAATTGCACCCTGATGCAGGCAGCCAGGAAGCAGGATGCAGAGCTGGGAGGGAGGGAGGGGCAAGACCAGTGTTGTCAATGCGAAGGAGTTACCTGCACTGCTATGAACATTTATAGTAGAGTATCATGCTCTGATAGTTGGACTTGCACCTGGAGGACTCAGGTTCAAATCCCTCTTGGCCATGAACCTCTCTCGGTGGCCTTGGACCAGTGTCTCTGCCTTTGTTTGGCTTAACAATCAACTCTGTTGGCATGTATATTGTTCTGAACATATATGAGTGTATTAAGTGCTTTATGCTTAGTCAGATCATTGGTCCATATAATCTAGTATTGTCTACTTCATAGCCAGTACTAAACACAGACATACAACTTACAAATGAAGCATCTTACCCAGTGGCCAAGGCAGCTGACTGCAGATATTCTGTTGCAGGTAGTTCAATGAAGCTGGGATGTATTTTTCAGCCTGTTTTGGATTGCCCACCCCTACCCTTCCAAAAGATCAGATTTGCAGCTTGGACATATTATTAGATCTGGCTCTGTCTTTGAATGCCCAAGTGATATCTGTGGCTTTCCATCAATATGACTCCTCCTGGACAGAAATAGTATAGCCACTTCTACCCCTTGCAGTGATCAGTGTCCAGTGGTGCCATCAGCAGAGGGGAGTGGGCAGAGGCCACCTGGTTGGAGCCAGCCAACCTCTGAGGGAGGCGGAAAGAGAAGGGGAAGCATAGAAAGTGGGGAAATAAAATAGGAGGGAGGGGAGGACAAAGGGGTAGTTGAACCTAGAGCAGAACATCTCACAAGCACCTCACAGGAAGGAAACTAAAACCAAACCGAAATAAATAAATAAATGAATAGGAGGAGGAGGAGGAAGCCAGAGAGGGAGGGAGGCAAGCAGCAAAGTGGAGCAAGGCGAGGGTGTGTGGAAACCTGGATAGGAGTGGCGACAGCAGGTCAAGGCTCTCGCAGTGTCCACTGCGCTCTGGCTCAAAAAAGCACTGTGCACTCATTTCTACTTTTTTGCAGAGCAGGAGGACATGATGCCCCTAAATCGCTGCATCAATGGAATCCTGGGTTTTATTTTGTCTTCTGTGAGTAGCTGCCAAGGTTACTACTCTAAAGTGAGATCATCAAAGCTTCAAAATTAAACAGGAAATCTGGTCTGTAAACACGGTTGCCCTTTTCCCATTCAAAACATGGCCAAAGAAGGGCCTCTCCACTATTTTGGAGGAAGTGTAAGATACTTTTCCCCTTTCCTGTTTCTGCCTGTGTTTTGTCCTCGAAGGCCCTGGAACCCTAGCTTTCAGAATTCATCTTCTCCATTAATCTGTCTAAAACAGAGCAGCCCCGTGATGTGCATAGCCTCCAACAGGGACATCCTATTCAATTATTATTATTATTTCATTATTTATACACCACCCACCTGACTGGGTTGCCCCAACCACTCTGGGTGGCTTCCAACATATATAAAAACACAATAAAACATTAAACATTAAAAATTTTCACTGCCTTCAGATATCTTCTAAAGGATTCCTTAGCTCAGGAATCGCATAACTCCATACCCTCCAACATTTCTCCAATGAAAATTGGAATGTCCTAACGAAAAGCAGGATATCCTGGGTTCAAATCAGAAACCAGGATGGTTTCTGTAAATCTGGGACTGTCCCTGGAAAATAGGGACCAATGGAGGGTCTGAATGTAGACTGTAGTCCATACAGAGAGAACGCCATCTCTGATTATAAGAGGAGCAAAGTGGCCATTCCTGCTTCCAGTCCTTTAATGAAGCTGCATGCCCTTCCTTTCTTTCTTTCTTTAGAGGGTCTGTTAAACTTGATAATCAGAACCCACCTATCTTTCGTTTACCATTACCCAAAAGTTGCCTGTACTCTTTATCTGCATTGGTGTCTGCATTCTAAGAGTTATGACAGAGAAGAAAAATCTGTGGGTCATTGTTTGCAGCTATGTTTGATTCTAAAGAGATGTTGCTCAAGAATTCCAGCAGCTTTTGTCCATTCCTCTACAAAATTGAGTTTTTACACCTTTACTTCCTAGATGTATAATAGAAGTGAACTTTTAAAGGAAGAAGTTTTTGGTTATAAAATTAAGGAAAAAGAAAAGGAGACATCAGCTTTAAATCTGGTAACCTGAATAGTCCCTGTTTGGGAATGGCAGTATCTAGTATCAATTCCATGCCACAAATCTTTAGAAAATCTGGATAAAGGATTTTTTTGCAGATCAGTAAGAACTGAATGTCACCCGCCTGTGAATGTCATTAAATCACTCTAGTTTTTCATCCCAGTCTCCTACCACAGATTGTCAAATTCTCCTTATTCCATGTTTTCCCTATCCTTTCCACCAACACATTTTCAGAGACTTGAGAAATCCTTTCAGAACAGAAACATCCCATGAGCTTACTGATGTCACTGGAGACTTTGTTTTCAGATTAGAAGAATTTGTTTTTCGTATTTTGCTTATTTCCATAGAATCCAAGAATTGCAGAATTGGAAGAGATCCCAGGGGTCATCTAGTCCAATCCCCTACAGGAATTTTCTTACTCCCATTCTGTTAGTTTTGAATCAGTCAATGCAACAGAGGTGAAATTTAGTGGAAGGTAATACTCAAAACTATTTTTAAGATATTAACAGATTCTTACTTGATCATGAGCTTAATGCTCACTGACATGATCAATTTGCATATAGGTTGTACCACTTCAGATTGAAAATGGGGGCAGACTTGGCTGAATGCTTCTCCTGCCCAGAAAAAGAAAAAGCATTTAAAGCTAGACTAGAACTTTTCTCCCTAGCCTGCTGATTTTCTTTGTGGTTGAATTTGTGTATGCATGTGCACATGTCTGTACATGTGTGTAGCAGTATTCAGTCATGCTAGTCCCCACCTGCAATCTAAAGTGTTCCAGTCCAGACCCAGGTCCCTTAGTGAGACTTTTATACCATTCTCATTTGAAAGATCAGAGAAGCCCTGGCCTTGTGAGTCGTTCTCTGTCCATTCCATGGTGTTCATTGTCTTTCAGTCTGTACGTGACCTGAGAGCACTGCAAGTAGAGGAGAAGTGGGGGAAAGTATGAGAACTCTCTGGGTTTAAGAAGGTGGGAGAATAAAAACTCCAGTGGCAAGCTTGTTAAAAGTCTATTTCACACTTGACTTTTTCAGATCCTTATTAATACTCATATCTTTATGTGTGCTGTATCTTTATATTGGAAATGGAACAAGTAAATGGAACAAGTAAAACAGACACTTAATCTGTATTATACTCTTTGCCTGGTATGTGTATTGGAATGTGTATTGTTCAGTTGAAACCTATGAATGAATCTGCCTTATACCCAGTTACCACTAGGGGTGAGCGCCTGGGTGGGTTGGAGAATGGAGGTGAAAGAAGTTAAGTTGCTCAAAAGTCACAGACGGTTGACCCTGTGAGAGAGAGGGGGGCAGTGGGCAGCCATAGATGAGAAATGGAGGAGGAGCTGTTGCTTGGACAAGCCGATGGTTCATTCCGTGGAAAGTTCCATTTGTTTTTACCCAGATATTTATTGAAGTGGAAACTTTAATTGTTGTCCTCAGTGTACTTTAGCTTTGTTTGCTTTGTGATGGAGCTGTTAATTTTTTTGTTGTTTATTGGACCTGTCTTTATGATGATGTAATGTTTGTATATATTTTTTCTGTACATCTTTTATTATTCAATCCCCACTCTGGGATTGAAAATGCTCAATTAAGGGCAGGTTATAAATACTTTTAAAAAACCAGTTAGACTGTTGGTTCAACCAGTTCAGTATCGTTGACACTGATTGGCAGCCACTTACTAGGGCTCCAGGCAGGGGATACTCCCAACTCCTCCTGGAGATGCTGTGGATTTAGCCTGAAATTTTGTGCATGCATGGCGGAAATGACTGGCAGAATCCGAGACCAGGGAAAAGAGTCGGTAGAAGAAGATTGGAAGAAATTTAAAGACTATTTACAGAAATATTGTAAAATTAATGAATGTTAGAATGATGTTGGAATGAAGCTAGGTGGTTTAAGCAGTAATGTTATAAAGGTGTAGGTAAAAAAGGACTGATAACAGATGAAAATTTAAAGTTATAGTATATTAAGTTAAAGAATCATGAGAAAACAAAGAGGGAAAGAAATTGAATTGGAATACAAAAAAGGGAGATATGAGGAGGTCAGGGAAGCAAGGATATGAATGTAAGCTATGGAAAGATTGATCCATTTTCCTTTTTCTTTTTTTTCTTTTTAAGTGTCTTTTACTCTTTTTCTGTATTTTGTATTTTGTATTTTTACTTTTTGTTTTTGTGTAATTCTTGTATTCTTTGAAATTTTAATAAATATCATTTAAAAAAAAAAAAAGAAATTTTGTGCATACAAAGCAGGTGTTCTGCCACTGTTCTACAACCATTCCCCATGAATGAAAGATCTCTGGTTCTCTTAGTTTCCTCCTGGTGCTGAGGAAGGGGCTTATGGGGGTAGGGGCACATCTCCTGGAAATAAATCAAGAGTCTGCTTCTGCTTTGTTATGTTACCAACCTGTACAAAGGATGCATTTCTTATCCCTTCATGTGAGAACATGGCATGACTAATCTTATCCAGCACAAATTTTTTAAAGTGAGGGAAAGTCAGAACAGTACAGAACTTGAAAAATGTTTGAAAACATTCAGGTAGCTTCTACTGGAGGCTTTTATTTTTTTTAGAGGTGGCCATCTCTGTGTTTGCATGGCTACTTTCCTGATTTCTAGTTTCACCTATTGTGCCTTGTTGATCCTGTTTGCCATACTACCACTATTCTTTTTTGCTAAAATGTTATAAGTTCTTCAGAATAGCCCAGCTGAAATTAACAGTGCCAAATTGAGAAGGTTGCTGCAAATTAAGCAAACTTGCAGGATTTAAGTGACAGTGAGCATTCTTTGTTTGTTTTTAAAAGTATGTGTTGGTCACTTGTGTTCCTTTGGTGGTGAGAGAGGTTGGGGTTGGCCTAGGGTGTGATTGTTTGCTTGTGATTGGCTGTGGTGATCTTTGTTTTCGTGTGTGAGTGAGGTGGGTGGGTGTTTTGGATCAGGTTAGCCATATTGATTTGTATGCTGTTGGTGGATTATTGTCATTGTCCTGTTGGGCTGTGTATGTGATAAATGGGAGCCATACCGGGGTGAAGGCGTCACAACACAAGCAACGCTGACACCAAACTCTACATACATTAAACATAATAGAAACACCGCCACCCGACCCCACCCCCATCCATCTTCCCTCTCTCCACCCCCCCTTTTTCTTTTTTCTTTTTTTTTTCTTTTCTTTTTTTTTTCTTCTCCCCCTAATGCCTCAACAAATGAAACGGATTTGTAAAAATGTTACATGGGGAAAAAAAATACGAGGCACTACACTTCTGTAAAACAAGAAAATCCTTAATAAAATATTTAAAAAAAAAAAAAAAAAAAGTATGTGTTGGATGTCCTCCCTGAAGCACGGATGCCACAAGTTAGCAGAGGCAGCAGCAAGAGTTTATGGCCTACCTGGGGAGGAGGATCGCTGGACTTGGCTTTGGCACAGTTAGATGTACAGTCCTGCTTGCCATTCCTGTGCTGCACTGGTGTGCCAACTTGGTGGCTCAGTGAATTAGGAGGACAGGCCACCCCAGGATATTGGAGGTGGGGGCAAATCTGCATGGGCTGGAGCTAGAGGCAAAGCTGACTTAGGAGGACACTGTTATAGCTTAGTTGGCAGAACATTAGACTCTGAATCTCAGGGTCAGGGTTTCAAGCCTCACACTGGGCAAAATATTTGTGCATTGCAGGAGGTTGGGCTAGATGACCCTCGTGGTCCTTTCCAACTCTACAATACTGTGATTTTATGATCTCATGTTGGCACACTTGCCAAAAAAGTTGGGCATGCAGTTGGATATTGAAGGTCCTTGTTTCAGTCCCTGGCGTCTCCAGTTAGAAGGATGAGGTAGCCAGTGATATGAAGGACCTATCTCTGAGACAAAGGTAAGTCTACCTGGCTAGATGGACAAAATGTCTGACCAGTATAAGGCAGCTTTCTATGTTTCCACTGTGAGCTCTTTGCAGCAGGACCTTGTGGAATCGAGCTTTCTTCCTTTCTGGAAATCCAGCTCCTTGGGCTTATTTCCAGAAAGTTCCAAAGTGCAATTCTCTGCAAATGAATTTTCTAATATGCTGCCTTCAATCACTCTCTTGTAGTGTGTGCTGTATTTATGGAGTTTAAAGATAAACCACCCCAAAACACTTTTCCTGCTCCGAGGGAACCACGAGTGCAGGCACCTCACAGAATACTTCACCTTTAAACAAGAATGTAAGTATGGGATGACTGGGGTAGGCTGTGCATCTGGTTAGGAAAAGCTATGGATGTTGGTGTGAAAGCATCCCGTATGTCCTTGCCCTCCTCTCCTTCAATATGCATGGAAGGGGAGTTTTAAATTCCACAGAGCAGAGAGGCTGTGAGCACTGTTCCTATGGCACTGTCTCCCCAGCAGTCTGACTCCATGCAAGTTGTCCCTCCCACTCCCATCAATTTAGGGATCCAACATGCTGTAATTATAGCCAAGAGCTTTCAGTTCCAAATTGTGCAGCTGGAATCAGAGTTGGATGGAAATTGAGGGCTTTCCCTTTTTAACACAGATTGAGTGAAACCCAATCACCTCATGTAAGTGTGTGTGAAGTTAAATGGGCAGACCTTTGTTAGTTTTTTATAGACTGAATGGTGATGGTGCAAAGGGGAGACTGGTCACTTTGCTTCTCAGTTTCAGAATGTCAGTGCTAAAAATTAGTTTTTCTCCATTACAGTTCCTCTTCTCATTAAATATGTTGTGCTGGTTCTCTGACTGTACGTATCAACTTCAAAGTCTGAGACTCTACATTTAAGGCCCTCATCCACCCACAACAGTATATCCTTTTTCTCTGTCATCCATTACTTGCCTTGTACCTCCTTATCACATTTGCCCTTTCTGCCTTGGAATACAAGTTCCCCTGTTTGAACTTCCCTGCTCCTTTTGGCTCCAGGCTTCCATCAGCTCCTGTAAAAGGAAATAGGAAGGGGCAACTGGCAGACAGATCAACAGCTGTTGTGTAGAACTTCTTGTTCATATTTCTTGTACTTACTTTGTTCTCCCTTCTCTCTCCTAATACCATGCCACATCTGAGGTGCATGTTTGCTTTTAGCTTTTACCCAGTCCATGTACAGTTTGCCTTATTCCAGGAAAAGCTGGAAGTACAGTGGCCATATGTGCAAGAGAGCCTCATGTTTTGGAAGTAATTGTAAAGATAGTCCATATTCTTATTTTAATCCTTCAGAAGCTTAATTTTCAAGAAGTAGTGGATTTTCTAAAAGGATGATGCCATAACCAAAAGATACAAGCCCGGGTATCTGGATTTGTATTGTCAATCATCATTATGCTTCTAGAGTATATACAAACTTTAATATATACATTATGCTGATTAGCCAGGTACTTTATGGGAAGAAATCTTTCTTTGTTTTGAAAGCTGCCCTTGGCTTTAGTTGCCTTTCTGGGTCTTATAGTCTACAGAAGAGAGTAAACAACACTTTTAACACTATTTATGATACCAATATATATTTCAAACAGTGAAAATCCAGACAAAAAAGTTGTTGAGCTTTTTTGGCAAATTCGCAAAAAAAGAGAGAAGCTTTTGAGCTATCTTCAATCTCCAAAAACGGCACTGCCAACGTGGGTTGCCATACGTCTGGATTTTCCCGGACATTTTTGTGATTTCCACATGGACACTGCTTTTGACTGCAGTATTCCAGATGTGTTCAGGAATTTCCAGACGTATGGCAACCCTACCAATATATTGATTTGTGTTATAAGAGCTGTAAGTTGAATAACTGGTGTCTGGACTGACTTTAGTAAGTCACTTGGGAAGCCTCTTTGTCTAAATGTTTTAAATAAATTTGCAGTCTTTGCAAGGGCTGCTTTTCATGACAAATTTTAAAGATACTGTCAGGGAACTGCCATCAGTGCCGGAGGGAGAGAGCAAAAGCCAGAGGGATTCCAGAGAGCGTCCAGGGATCGGGAGGAGCAGCCCATCTTCTGGGGAAGAGAATCAGTGTAGCACCAGTGGGGAAGGGGGGCAGATGGGGGAAGTGGCGAGGCAGTCCCAACACTCCTTGCCTGGGACCAGCGGGGAGAGTAGAGGTCCTCCGCTGCCCACGCCCTCCTTGCGCAGAAGGCTTTCGCGCAGAGAGAGTAGGAGGAGACTAGGCGTCAAAGAGCTTCTTTGCTGGAAGAGGTTTAAGAAACGCCCACTGACGGATTCTGCCAGCGATTGAGTCAGCCACGGGTGAGTGGCTGTCCGGACAGAAAAGGTTCACTTAGGCAACCCAGCCAGGTGTTTGCACCCAGCCGGGGAGATAAGCACCGGCTTACGCACGAGCAACCCCTAGAACCATTACAGATACTAATTCACCTAAACAGTTGTATAAAGATAATATAAGATGTATAATACATATCTAACTTAGAGCAGGCCTAGAAAACCCTAACTACTTCCAGAGCCTTGCCATGTATAGTTGCTTTCTGCAGGAAAGCCTTGCTCAGGACAGTGGTTTTGAAATTGTTTCTTGGAAGCTCATCAGATGCTCCTCAGTGGGAATCAGTCCAGGTAAGCAAGTTTTCCTGGAAGATGGCTTGTCCCATCTTCTCCTGCAATGTGCAGAAGCAGGACTAGAGAGCATAGGAGCTAACACTTAGGGGTCAAGATCCCTTTGCCCACCCAGTAAAATGTTTGAGGGGGCCAGGCACCCCCCCCCCAAGTTGATGGGCATTGCCATTCAAATGGTGGGTGTGTGCTGTATCATTGATTGATTGATTGATTGATTGATTGATTATGTGGGGCTTACCTGCCCCCCAAATATTCTATTCAAGTTGGTACCTGTGCTAGAGAGTACGTTCTGTTGTTCACTCCCAGTTCGGAGTCTGGAATTTCCAGGACATACAGTTTTCTGTCTAGATATTCACTGTTTGAAATATAGCAACTCTATGGTGAAGCCTAGCATAGATGGCTACAATTCTATGTGAACTACATGTACACCATAGAACATGTCCAAGAATCTTCTGCAATGGACAAGGAGTCTACAGGCGATGTACTGCAGTTCCTTGGCAGACATGTTGGTGTGGAAAGTCTCTGAAGCAGGAAAGGAGGAAAAGTCCTGGCTTAGAGAGAGGAAGAGGCAAGGCAGTTGTATTTCTTAAGTCCAGATGACTGGCAGTTTTCTGGGAGCCTTTTTATTTTTTATCTTTTATAGTTTGCATAAGTCATTGCAGTTCTCTTGCTTCTATTTCCTGCAGGTCGAATCAAGTACTCCGAGCGGGTGTATGATGCATGCATGGATACATTTGACTGTCTTCCTCTTGCTGCCCTTTTGAACCAGCAGTTTCTGTGCGTGCATGGAGGGCTGTCTCCTGAAATCACATGTCTAGATGATATTAGGAAAGTAAGTGGTGCCTCTTTCTTTTCCCTCCACACCTCCCCTCCATAAAACAACACAGGTATCGTCGTTCCGGTTAGGGTCTTCTTGTAGGCTTACCTGTCCCCATTCTGACAAGTTTCCACTCCAGGGTATGTTTCCCCACCACCTTTTCTTTTAAGGCATTCGCCCTCCTTCCTGGTAAGCTGAGGCTTACTCTCTGGTTCTTTTTCCTCCATGCACCCTTTTTCGTGCCCTGGTGAGATATATGCAGTTCTGTTATTTTCTGGTGTCTGCCTTATGTCCCGTCCCCGTCCCCCCTTCTATGTATAAAGCAAAGAAAGGTGTTACGGGGAGATTCCTGAAAGTAGCAGAAGGAGACTTGCAGGGACTCGGGAAAGCAAAGTGCCAAGCCCTGAATCGCTCCACAGGGGTGGAGAAACAGTCAGGGAGGTGGTTTAATTTTCAGGACGAATTAAATAAAATTGTGGTCTTCGTAGAATTATAGAATTGGAAGAGACCCCGAGGGTCATTTAGTCCAACACTCTATTGTAGCCAGAATCTGAACTAAAGCATACACACTAATTCAATGTACTGATTTTGGGGGGGTGGGGGTGGGAAATAATCACAATAAACACGAACAAACTTTAACAGTCACGGCCTTCCCGCCCTTGTTATGCCCAAACCCCACTTCTTTGACAGTGTCTATGAGCATGACTTTCTCAGATGCTTGTGCATTTTAATTTATGCATTATATATGTCGCCTTTTATTAGCATGGTCAAGGCCAGAGGAGTGGGGGGGGCAGACCGCCCAGGGTGTCATCGCTGAGGGGGGTGACATTCGGCATGACACACGCCATGACTCCCAAGCCTACCCCGAGCCATCGGTGGTGGTGGTGGTGGTTTGACAAAAAAAAAAATTGCACTTGGTACCACCTGACCTTGCTAGGCCTCTGAGGGTTGAACTTCTTTGTGTATGCTGGTTTATGAACATCATAAAGATTTAGATTGGATTGGAACTTCTTTGTTCTCCTTCAAAGACAAATTAAGCAGTTGGAAAAATGTGTGTTGCCTTTAATCCAGGGTTTCTCAAACTTGAGTCTCCAGCTGTTTTTGGACTACAACTCCCATCATCCCTAGCTAGCAGAACCAGTGGCCAGGGATGGTGGGAGTTGTAGTCTGGAAGCAGATGGCGGCCCAAGTTTGAGAAACACTGCTAATCCTTACAGAGATTGAATGATTAAAATTTTCTTATATCTTGAGGGGGGAAGTGGATTCCCTATTCGTAAGTCTTCCACACTTAGAAATCAGCGCTCATATAGGCAATGTTTGTTTCCAAGATGTGACATCATAAACTATGTTTATCTAGCACAGATGAATTGAGGTTTTTTTCTCATGCACTGTATTTTGGCATGCTCTTAATAATGAGTTCTCTTAATTCTGTATGTTTATATCAATTATCTTTTTTTTGGCTTTTCTGTGTGTGTGCCTTTCAGTTAGACAGGTTTAAGGAGCCTCCAGCCTTTGGTCCAATGTGTGACCTGCTGTGGTCTGATCCATCAGAGGATTATGGCAATGAGAAGACACTGGAACATTTTACCCACAACACTGTTCGAGGTTGCTCCTATTTCTACAGGTAGGAAACATTTCAAACATAACCCTTGGTTAAGTGAAAAGGTAGTAGTGTGAAGTCCCAGTTGCTGTGCTCAAACCACTCTGTTCCAGGGCTTTGAGTGGGACTCTGTCCCACTTGTGATTGTTGCTGTCTTAAAAATACAACTTGTATTACTACTGAATTCCCTATGAGTTTTCCCTCTTGTAAAACCGAAAAGCCATTCGTTTGTGGCTTTCTGAGTTGTTTACAAGGTCAAAGATGTGCCTGAAGGATTTCAGAAATACTAGAACAAGTTTGTGTGGACTTATCAGAACTTTAAAACTTGCCAAGCAAGTTTTATTTAGCAAAGCAATATATCTTGAATCTGAATGTTATTTGCTTCACAAGTCCCTCTGAATGTTTATTTGGATGGCCTCAGGATCACCACAAATTCCCAGTTTCCATAAATGTTAGTTTGATTTCTAGGTGCTTAGCAGCCCTAACAATAGTCAAGTTTTGTTGTAGCCCTAATTTTTTCAATACAAACATCAACCGCAAAAGACACATACCCCAAAAACCATAATAACAATAATAACACAATTTGACAATTCAGATTTGAATACACTGATATACCTATGACTACCCCTTTTTAAACAATATTTTCCCACCTCTCTCTCCTTCCCCTACTTCCCACCACTATCTGCCTTATCGCTTAAATATTTGTTCCAGATTTCTTCATATTTATCCATTCTTATTTTGCAACGACATGCAATTTGTTCGTATGTCCATATTATCAATCCATGTGCTCAATGGAATCTTTTTGTGGCTCTTCCATTTCATCAAAACAAGTTTTTTTGCTTCTAATATAGTACAGTACATCCATTTTTTTTGACCCCTTGAAATCTCCCATGTTTCTGGAATATAATTTAGAATTAAATTCAGTTCCCCTAAATAACAATTTATTTTTATTACTCTTGCTATAAATATCCTCGCCTCGCACCAAAATGATCTTATCGGGCAGTTAATCAGAATATGTACTAAGTTCGCATCTCCAGCATTAAATTTTATTTTTTTAAAAAGTTTTGTTGTAGCCCTCACCCTCCCTCAGGCTGTGTAGAAAGTTGGAGTTGGACTGTGGAGATGTAGGTTCAAATCCCTATTGAGCCACAATGGGGCAAGTCAACCTATCTTCAGTTCTTTCAACCTAACCTGTCTTTGCAAGGTGATTAGAATAATTTGGGGCAAAAGTGGAATATTCCTAACTTGTATATCCTCATCCCTCTTGGGAAAAAGACAGAAAACAAATGTGATGATGACTGCCTTCAGCATGTGTTAATATTGCTTTTTAAAACTTCTTTTTCAGTTACCCTGCAATTTGTGAATTTTTGCAAAATAATAATTTGTTATCTGTGATTCGAGCACATGAAGCCCAGGATGCTGGGTAAGTTCAGAGTCACTATTCTGGTGCTGTGTTCAACAGCTTTGTTGTCTTTATGTATTTTGCAAAAGCCTGCCTATCTTCTGCTCACTTTTCCAGGTACCGAATGTACAGAAAGAGCCAGACTACGGGCTTTCCATCCCTAATCACAATCTTTTCTGCACCAAATTATCTAGATGTCTATAACAACAAGGGTAAGATTTTGACTGTGCCCAGGATGCCAATGTGAGGTTATTATGAATTCTTTCCTGATGTCTTGATGTGTCCACTTTTAATAGAATCTCTAGCTCTTGCTTACCTTATCTTTTGCTTCTTAATACTTGGTTTCTTAAAATGGACGTGGTTTGTGCTTGGGCATTCTGCCAGAAATGTTGGGTCCCCACAGATTTGCAGGAACAATTCCATGTAAGTGGGGTACAGAAGATGTCTCATCTGAGAGGGATGGTTGGGATTTGGAGCAGCAGTGTCTGCATTCAAATCATTGCTCATTCAGAGGTTTACTGCGTGGCTCAACCTTACTTAGCTATCTTACTATCTTTTTTTTCCAAATAATTTTTATTAAGTTTCCATATACCATACCAATCAAATCATATTAATTATTCCAAATCATACCAATACAAATCATAAAATCCAAATCCAATTATTTTGCCAAATTATAAATTTTTGTGGGGGGTACCCATGCTTCGAGATCGGTAGGAGTCCAATCATCTTATATTTTCTGCTGCTTTGATGTTCACAGTCCCATCCTCTCATCTCCTTGTTGTTACCCTTTTTCTTCTCAGTCACCTCCGAGTTATCTCCACAAGTGAGTTGAAAGAAACAGTCTTGTTTATATTTCTGTGTGAACTTTGTAATGATCTCCCGTAATTCATCTCACATAGATCCAATAGTCCAAGAGTCCCATTCGAGCAGCCGTCGCCATCTTATTCAGTTCCGATGAAATACAGTCTAAATGTCCGCTCGTTAATTTTCTCAGACCCGTTGTATCATAAATCAGTCTTTCCAGGAGGGTGATTGCCCTTTCGAATTTACGATCCAAACCTCACACCAAAACAGCGGCTCATCCTCCCTAAGACTACCAATCTTACAACGAGGTCTGCCTCTCAATGGTGGATCACTTTTGTAACTACGCCACAAAGAAAGCCTCTCTTCTTTCCAGATCTTTTCACGAAGTAAAACCTTTTATATTTTTTTCTTTCCCACACAGTTTATTTTTCATCTCACTTGCAATTAGTTGTTGTGACGGTTCTTCTAAGGGGGAGGGTTGTTAGGTAATCATATTAAAAAAGAAGAAAGTTTTTCCCCCCTTTCCGTTCCGTTCAACATACCGAAATGTCTGTAGTTATTTGATGCTGTCTTCTGTTCCTTCCGTCCCATCATTCATCGTCTCAGTGGTAGAATTATTTAGCAGATAATACCCTCCTGACCTCGCACGAAGCATGTGCGTTTACTTCTCCAATTTTTTTTCCTTTTAAGCAACACAACCAGTTTCGCTCTTGAAAGCGGCATCCGGGAGCTCCGAGCCCGCACGAGAGCTATCCGCCCAGTGCCCCCACCCCCTGCTTCTTTCGAACTCGAGGGTGATTTATGGGCAACCGCGGGCGAGGCAGCATCTTCTCACCCCCTGGGAAGACGAGGGAGACTGATTTTACTCCCCATAATCAGCCTCTAATTACCTCGTGTGAGCCGGGTAGATGATATTGTCGGCCATCTTCCAAGGCGCCCCCAGCGGCCCCCCTACTTAGCTATCTTACTATCAATGAGGAAACAATTCATGTAACCCTCAGCTCTTTGGAACAAGAGTGGGTGTAAATGTGATAAATACAATCTTGGAAGGACTGAACCAGAATCAATTAAATGCAATTCCTCTGAAGCTTGTATGTTAGAAATAGTGTTTGTTCTAAAGTAGTTACTGACCTAGTTTGGATTTAACACTAACCCATAGTTTAGTGTAAAGTGCACGAGGCTGCTCCCCACTCCTCCAGTGGCCATGGGGAGGAGATAGGAAGCACCTGCTTCCATTTTCAGCTAACTGCGGTTTGTCATCCAATAACTGCAGTTAGTTTAACATACCGTGGCCCCCTAGAGTATAACCTCTATCAACCCTCAACACTGGCTGTGCTGTTCTACAGCATGTGGAAGCCCCAATCTGTCCAAGAAATGCAGACTTGTGGACCGTCGTCTGAATTGTGCTTGTTTCAGCAAACCATAGTAATAATTATTATTATTTTCCCCAGCCACTCTGGGCAGCTTACAACATATCAAAAAAACATAATAAAAACATCAAGATCAGACTAAACAGCTTGTCCTGCTTCAGATGAAATTACAAGCAAGCATTTGTTGACTACTGAAGGAAGTACTTCCAATCTATTGATCGCAGCTGTGCTGGAGGGGAAGCGACAGTGTATGAGTCTGAGGCCTTAAAGTCATGTGGCATTAAAGCATAGGCTAGTGTTAACTTAATAATAAAATAAATTTTATTTATATGATTTCTCCCCATCCTTCTTCAGAAGACTGCAGGATAGGTAACAACATTTAATACACATTCCAAAATTTAAAAACAACATATGAAATTCACTCTTAAAACTTTTATCAGAAGAAAAACAACACTTGTAACAGTAAATTTCACCTGATGTCTGATGGATATTTTGACATTCCTTACTGCCTCTCTCATAGAGGGTATCTGATTTTCATAGGGATTTCTTTACACAGCTGTATAATTGCATTTCCTAAGTTGTATAACCCTGGAGGACAAAGATAAAATCAGCACTCTTGTAATTTCTCTTTCTCCTTCTTGTTTTCTTCTAGCTGCTGTGCTGAAATATGAAAACAATGTCATGAACATCAGGCAGTTCAACTGTTCTCCACACCCTTACTGGCTTCCAAACTTCATGGATGTTTTCACATGGTCTTTGCCTTTCGTAGGGGAAAAGGGTAAGAAGGAGATTGCCCAATAAAATTATTGATAAGCAAAGCAATTATCAAAGGAGCAGGAAAACAGATCCTCCTGATGCAATAGGATTGACTAGGCTGGATATAGCCTTGAGCAGTCTGTTGCTGCCATAAAGGAGAGACATTTGTGGATTTTGCTAGCTTGCTCACTCCTGAAGCAAAGAATTTAGAAAATTCTGCAAAATTTGGCCTTCAGGCACTCAACCTTCTATTTTTTTAAAAAATATATATAATAAAAAATAAGCATGTTAGTGGCCATTATTGTGTCATAGGAAATTTTCAAAATATATTGTCTCAGGTTCAAAAATCAGGTACTTGTGTGTTTATAGCATTTATGTACTGTTTTCAACTTTAAAAATCCTTAAATCCCCATTCAGACATGAAGCTGACTAGGTAATCTTAGACCAGTTGTACTCTCTCAGGTTGTTGTGAGGATAGCCTTGGTGAAGAATTGACATTTTTATCCCCCCAAAAGTTTTTGATTTCAGTTTCCACTGAAAGGAGGCTGCATTTTAATATTTTAATGTTGTATTTTAATCTTGTTTTTTAAGTTGTATTTCAATCAATTGTTTTATATTGGGTGTTAGCTGCCCTGAGCCCAGTCTTGGCTGGGGAGGGCAGGGTATAAATAAAATTTATTATTATTATTATTAAAACGGAGGGCACATGGTATGTGCTGCATCAGACTCCTTGGAACAAAGATTGAACAAAAATGTAATAAATAGTTTATGGTGAATATTAAAATCAATAACAAAACAACAAAACAACTGCTTGGCTACCTTGGGAGGGAGGGATATAATAAATAAAATATTTGCAAATCAGTTTATAAAATGCAAATAATGGGAGATAAATCTGTGTAGATGTAGTTGTACATGCATAACCTTTGTTTCAGCTGAGAGGAGTAGAAGGATTAAGTAGCTGTTCTAACATTTGTTAGGTTTTATGTAACTGAAATTTAATTTCAGTTGAGTATTTTATATATGTGTGTCATGTGCTCCCCAGCCTGCATTTTTATACATGTAATATCATATTGGCATGGTTCACACCTAACACCAAACTGTATTGCTTTGTTTGCTGTGTAAGCAGTCCTGCTTGTACACTGTCTCTGGTTCTACTGTTCTCCAATAATGAATTGGGAATTGGGAGTTCGGATGGGGAAAATTGTTTGGGACTTTAGGTTATAGATTGAAGGAGTTTAAGAAGCACCATAACCAGAGAAAATGGTGTTCAGGGATAAAACAGAACTTTTTAAGCGCAAGGCGTAGTTTGCTTTCGGCATCTGAACCAGCAAACAGTATATGTTTGCCCTCCAAGACAGCATTGCAAATAACAGTTTGAAGTTGGTTTCCAATCCTACTTTGGCAGGCATTGAAACAGAGCGTGCTTGAGGAATAGGAAGAATACAAGCACAAGGTTTGTTCACGTAATAATCCATGATGTATCATCATATGTGAACAAGCCCATTCACATGCTGTGGCAGATACAGATACACACATAAACACGCGCGCACACAAAGTCTCTAATCTCTTGCCCATTTCTCATTATTTCCTGCAGTTACAGAGATGCTGGTTAACATCCTTAACATCTGCTCTGATGATGAGCTCATTTCAGATGGAGATGAAGCGTTGGACGGTAACAAAACCTTTTTACTTTTTCAGGGTGGGTTAGGTTTGGTTGCTTTCAAGCACTTTTGGAAGAAATGACATTCAAAGCTGGATGTGCTGCCTTGTTCTTAGCACCTTTTTGTTGCCATCTTTTTCATTCATAGTTTAAGCTCACTGTCTTTGGCTGTTTTACAGACAATTATTTCTCTAGCATAATAAGAGCCACTCTGCGCCCTCCCTCCTACCTCCCACTATGGCGGTTTCCTTGATCCAGCAGCAGTAACTTGGTATTTGTTCAGATGGAATGAAGGAGGAAAGGAGAGTTAGGAAGAGGAAGCCTGACCAGCGTGAGCAGCTGCCCTGTTCAGTTTTCATTTACATCTGCTGCTGCTCCTTACGCCCCAATACAAATGGATGGAGTTGTGAAATTGGCTTGTCCAGATATAATAATCAACTTCCAGTCCCCTCAGTTTCACTTCTGAAAGAAATTGCACATTTTTAACTGCATAAGTACATATGTAGATATGCACCCATCTTTTATAAGATTAAAAAAAACCCCTCAGTTCCAGAAATATTCTGAGCCTGTGGGTGGCGGAGCAGCTGATCATCATGGCCACTCTTTCGTATGCATCTGTGACAGTTGCAACAAAATGTACACATGTATTTTTGCAAAACTACTGGTCATGCTTCTGGGGGCTTTTGGCTTTCCCAAGGTTCAGCCTGAAGTGCTCGAGGAACCCACATAACTAGTTAATGCTGCGAGAGGGGGCACAAAGACGGAACAGGCAATGGCATCTCTATGATGCCAACTCTCTGGAAGGCTACCCAACAGTGTGCAGTGTTAAACTAGTGACAACTAAGTATGCAGGAAAACTGAAGACTACTTTTCTGATATTATTACAATTATAGGAATTTTTGCTGTCTTCCTTTGCTGCTTAATTGTTTAAAAAATACTAGCAATTTGCACTGCTAGATCAGTTCTTTTGATCATTGGTCATTGGATTGGCCTTTCCATCTTTTTTGCAAATCTGCAGAAATAGATCCAACCTCCTCCTTTTTGGCCCTTGCTAGTAGTTTATAGAATTGTAGAGTTGTAAAGGACCACGAGGGCCGTCTAGTCCAACCCACTGCAATGCAGGAATCTTCTGCCCAATGTGGGGCTCATACCTTATGCATCTGAGAGACAGAAGGAAAATTGATTTGTCCGTCTGGAGTCTGACAGCCACGTGAGCATGACACAGGTGCAGAAGAGAACTACCAGCTGACCCAGCGCTAACCTTCATGTCCCATTGCACTTAAAAAAGAAATGTTATTCCCTCCCTCCCATGGAAATTTAAATTTGTTTCTTCTATCTCTGTCTTCATCTCCTTGTTACTTGGTGTCTCCTCTCCCTGAAGATAACTACATTTCAAGCTATCCGAAAGGTACCCAGCTAGAATTTGCTAAAAGCTTAATTCTCACTGCCTGTGCCACCAGATTTCCTTGGAGTGGATTTTGAATAGCTGACTAGTTGAACAGTCTCGCCATTTCCCCCTTCTTCCCCATCAGTTTTAACATGAACGTGGTGCATTTGGTTTTTGTTTCTTTTTTCCAACCCTGTTGTGTTCCACCAGGAACCAGAGCGATGGGGGTCACGTTTCTCTTTGACGTTTGAATGCAGCCACCTTGTGCATGGCTGATCCATTGGTGCATGTCAGTTCTCCAGTTTGGCTTGTCCTGTTCTTAATGCATAGTCGGGCAATTAAAAAAGAAGATCTTAGCTTAGAGGAGATGTATTTATCATTCAGTGTACAGTTGAGCTCCCAGAACCTCCATGCTTTTCAGTCCATGTTTGGTCTGTGTAGTAAAAGGGAGTGTACTTATCCCTAGCACATTGTATTCGTTGAGGACTCAAGCAAAACCACAAGATTCCAGCCATTCCTTTGTCTGCATCTATGCCAAAGGTGGTGCTTGTGTGACCGCTCTCCCTTCTGCAAGCACAGCCCAGCATCCTGATGTCTTCACCCTCACTGGGGCTTGTAGTTGTGTTCTTGCCTTGCAAAACTGTGTCTCAATGGCTGAGTCATTCATGTTACATCTCATGTGTACTGTGGTCAAACATGTCTGGGCAGGCAAAGAGGTCTGCTGCTCCGATCAACACTTGTCCTACTACTTCTGGTGCTCCTACTTCCCCCTGTTTGGACTTCCTCTTTGTGTGTCATTCTGTCCATCACTTGCTGCCCCTTTCATTCAGTTCATTACCATTCTATGGAATTTAGCTGTAAAGTTGTAATCGGATTTCTCTTTCCTAGAGCCAAGCAGATGCTTCATACTGGCATTGCCTGAGCCTTAGTTTTCCTCCCTCATTCTTTTAAACCCTTTTTGATTTTTTTCCTAAGGAGGCACCACTGCCCGTAAAGAGATCATCAGGAATAAGATCAGAGCCATTGGGAAGATGGCACGAGTCTTTTCAGTTCTTCGGTAAGTTTGCTCGCTTTGGTGAATCTCAGCTTGAGAGAGAGGGAATATCATTTTGCCAGATTGCCCTGGCTGCACCAGGGCAGAGAATGGAAGGTCGGCAAGTCTTGGACCAGTGCATGTTAAGTGTTTAAAAGTCCACTGCTACAGGACTGATTCGTGTGGGACTATCACCTGGAATTTGCACTCTCCTGGCAGGGAGCCAATTCTGTGGGAAAGACCCTACACAGTGGTGGTCTTGTAAATGTTACAGCCAAGCTGCTCCCATTGCAGGACTGTTAGAGATGTAAAGTGTCAGTAGGGATTGTTCAGGGATTTTTTTCTTAGTACATTCATATTCCACCTTTCTTCTATCATAATTGGGGAGGGGGTACAAGACCTTTGTGGACTTTGGATTTTTGTTTTGATCAATAGATTCCAACCCCACCCCCCAAAAAAACCCAAGATTTGATTCTTAAATGCTGTTTTACACATGATTGGAAGCTGCCTTGTACAGTGTAAAATTGTTTCTCTCTAGCCCAGTATTGTCTGTCCAGAGTCTCAAGGCAAAGGTCTTTCCCATCATGTGAAATTGATTCTTTTAATTCAGAGGTGGGGAATATTTTTGGCCCAGTGGACCAGACTGTTATCTGTCCCTACCCTCATGGGCCAACTTCAACATATTGGTGGGATTAACCCACCTGTCAGTCACCTGATTCAATTATGAAGATATAAGAACAGACAAAGGACAGGTGGATGTGCCTGCACACCTGTCAAAGGTCCCTTGCCCAGCATCTTCTGAGTGCCTGACAGCCAGCTCATTGTCGCGTGCCTGGGAAGGGCAGTGTGAAGCTGGCGAAGCTGCTTTGTGCAGGGGTTGACTGCCTGATGGAGCTTCCCACAGAGAACTCAGTCATGCAACCGATTCAGCTGGGTCTCTTCCTGCTCTGCACCTGTTGTCAGGTGTGGGACAGGTGGCTGTGGTTTGAGGAAAAAGGCCTTTGGGGCTAAATTGGGACCCAAGGTGAGCCCAACTTGGTCCACAGGCCAGAGGTTCCTCACTTCTGTTTTTATGGGCGATGCCAGAGATGGAATTGGGGACCTGCATGCAAATCATGCTCTGTTGCTGCCCTGTCTACAGGCCAGCAAATATGTGCTCAACAGGGAGGTGTATCCAATCCCAGCTCTAAATGCAGCTTTATGGCTCACGTATTTACAAACGTAACAATTTCACGCACATTAAAATGTTTATCAGTTCCCTAAAAAGATCTTGAGTGTGCAGCTGAGGAAACCTAAGAGGTGGGATCAGATATAATTGGTCACTTTGCCTCTTTTTCTTGCAGGGAGGAGAGTGAGAGTGTTCTGATGCTCAAAGGACTGACTCCTACAGGTACTCTGCCCCTGGGAGTCCTCTCAGGGGGGAAACAGACTCTACAGACGGGTATGTATATGTCATAGGTGCCAACTCCCTGTGGGGCCCACAAAATTCCCCATGAAGGGCCTGGGCATCCACAAATTTTGGTGCCAGGGCCATGCACGCTGCATGGCACCCACAGCCCTGGGCACTCATGGTTGCGGGGCCAAGCTGGCACTCCTAGTATATGTGCAGGATAAGACCAGGTGTGACGTGTTAAGAGATCATCTAGGTTTTGTGGGGGAGGCACTGATATTTCCACTGTTACCTCCCCTTCCCCTTCCCTTCATAGTATCTGCAGTTGTGTCACCAGAAAAGATGGGCTTTAGATGTCCCCATAAGCTTACAGGCCTTTAACTCTGGCACTGAATGGGGGCGGGGAGAAGCTCAGTTGGTGGAGCATGGGACTCTTAATCTCAGGGTTGTGTGTTTGAGCCCCACGTTGGGCAAAAGATCCCTGCATTGCAGGGGGTTGGACTAGATGACCCTTGTTATCCCTTCCAACTCTACAGTTCTTTTATTCTATTATTCTGTGAATGAAGCTTAGAGGAGAATAATAGGAGAGGCTGAGAACACTTGGACTAATTTAATAGAAACCTGGCAATGGGACTTGAGGGAAGGATTTCGTCCAAGGCATTTGTATGATGTTGTCATAGCTGGTGATCTTGCTGGGAATAGAGACTTGAAACTTGCATAGTGTTCTGGAATCTGTTCTTTGAACAACTATTCAGATTTCATCTCTTTAACAGCAGTTGCCCTTTAGACTTCTGCTGCTGTGTAAGAGCATGTACAAATGCCATCAGCCTGCTTTTTTGTTCCCTCCTGTACTAAGCCCATCTGTTCTCAGTGCTAACATTGAAAACTAACAGCTGTGAGTTTGAGATTCTCTTTCTGGGTAGGTTTTTAATATGGACATTTATGCTGGTGTTTCAACTTGTGTGTCCTTCTCAGACAGCTTGGGCTGGGGCACAGGCACCAGTGCTTATGATGTGTGCAGACCACTTTTTCCTTGGCTTTTTATGTCATTTCATTCTTGTCCTTCATGGACTGGAACTAATCTGTGCACAATTGCCAGCTCCATATACACCCATTGCAGTTTTGATGAAGAGAAAACAAAACTTAAGTTTACACTGTTGCACTGAGGCACTCTCATAGCTGTATACCAGATGTTAAAACTATTAAGCTGTTTCTGGTTGTAGATCATTCTTTCCTACCCTCTAGTATAGTGCCACAGCCAGGTTTAGCATCTACTGAAAGAGATAAACTGATGAAATTAGATGGATGAGTGCAATAGGACAAATCCACAAACAACTATTTAAAAAGAAAGAAAGAATCTAGGCAAGGGGTACTAGCAAATACCAGGAAGAGAAAGACATCACAAGACTTGGGTTGAGATTAATTAGCTCAGCATTTTAGGACTCTAGCACACACACAGTTGATCTTAAACAGGCAACTTATGAGATGTGAATCTGAGATTCTGCTTGCAAGCAACCAGCCAGCCAGCATTGGCCAAATGTGTCTGCAAGGAAGCCCATGTGCACCATCAGGTCAGGGCAGCTTGGATAGTTCTACCAAATCCCTATATAGGCTTCCTGGTCAGACTTGCTCACAGGTCTGCCCAGTAGGAGATCCAGCTCTTACTGCTCTCTGTTGGCTTTGGGCTACAACTTCCTTGCTCTTGCTTGGCCTTTGCTTCATCCTGCCCTGAAACTGACATACACAAACATGTGTACAAATAGTGACTCATCATGTTGTGCAGTGTTGGAATTTGTCCCTTCCTTTTGTGAATATCAGTGGCAGATCATACAAACAGCAACCCCAAAACCTACCAGTCTGGATGCATCTTTAGGGAGTCTTCTTCATGCATCATTGTTTGCCTGTACACACTTCCCCATAAGAAAAAGTTTTAGAGAAGGCCATTCTTTTTCAATGACATTTAGTATTGTGACTGTCAATAGCTGATACAGTTCTGGGGTTTTTCCACACCTGCCAAAATCAAAGCAATCAAGAGATCCCAGCAAATCTAAAGAACTCAGCTTTCTTAATGTTGAGATAAAATTGCACACCCAAAATCTGAAGTGTTGGGAAATTGTGAATATTTGCAAATATTTTTTCAGCTCCAGTGTATACTTCCTGTTTTGTCACATGTACACTCTTCCAGAACAGCACACTTGCTTTTTCCTACATTAAGGTGATATTGTGTTAAATTTTGTTAATCTACTGCAGATAGCACTGAAGATCAAACTTTGTGGGCAATCATGACTGGTTGTGAGGTCAGCAAATGAGTTATAGCAACATGTCTCTCCAGAGCAGGGGTCAGCAAACTTTTTCAGCAGGGGGGCCGGTCCACTGTCCCTCAGACCTTGTGGGGGGCCGGACTATATTTTTTGGGGGGAATGAACAAATTCCTATGCCCCACAAATAACCCAGAGATGCATTTTAAATAAAAGGACACATTCTACTCATGTAAAAACACGCTGATTCCCAGACCGTCCGTGGGCTGGATTTAGAAGGTGATTGGCCCAGGCCTTAGTTTGCCCACCCATTCTCTAGAGGGAACCCTGTGATCTAGTGTTTTAATCCTTTTCTGCTGCCAGCCTTCATGTTTGGCATTGAGCCAGGTGATTTTATTTCTCATCAATGTTGGATGACTTCCTGGTGTACTGGAAAGAGACTTGCTTTGGCACTTGCTAGCCTAGATTTTAAATTTCTCACATGGAAGAATATTGTAGCAGAATTTTCCATGGTCAAAGGAGGTGGTGATTTCCCTTCTTTCTTGCAGGGGAAGGCTAGACTTAATTTTCCAGATAGTTGAACATGTTTTTTCTCTCTAATGGAATAGGAAGTTGGCAGATGAAGGTGTAGGTGTCAAGAACTCCCTTTCTTGAGCTCTGCAATAAATCAGGCTGAACCATGTGCTTTAGAGACTGACTAGGTGTCTAATAACTTGGCTGACTGTTTTTAACTATTGCTACATCGGATTTTTAAACTTCATAGAAACCTCCAAACATAAGCATCTAAAAGCTTCCACTGAAGCGTCATCACACTGAAATTAAGCATATGAATTTTATGAGCATTGTAACTTTACAGGATCTGTTTTGAGCTTCAGTAAAGAGAACACATTCTCCTGCTCATTTCCTCCTGTTTCTGTCACATTTAATCTTCACACATACCGTATTTTTCGCTCTATAACACGCACCTGACCATAACACGTACGTAGTTTTTAGAGGAGGAAAATCTGTAGGCATGCCACCCGTAGGCATTCCCTCCATAACACGCACAGACATTTCCCCTTACTTTCTAGGAGGAAAAAAGTGAGTGTTATGGTGCAAAAAATACGGTACTTTTTTTTCTGCATGTAGTTTCTCTTTCCTCATCTCCCAACCAATCCCTGACTTTACATTTCCCTGCCTTTGTCCTCATTGCCTGAAAACTCTCCCTTTATACATCAGAGCATCAGCTCTACTTAGGCCCGTATCCAAGTCAGTTTCATACCTCCATTCATTCCACCTTTTTTAAAAAATAGCTACTTAGCTAATATAAGCCAAATTATCTCCTTCTAGAATTGTCTCTGAGACCAGTGTTCCATCAGTAACAATGTCTTAGCACACCTGTTTTTTAAGGTTGTCCTCTCCCATGCAAGCCTCTGGTAATCCTGAGGCTGAGAGCTGGCAACTTTACCAAGGCTGCATAGAGGGATTTGTGGCTGGCTGAGCAGTGGTTTTCACTAAGGTCCAGCACTGTGTTCAGGGAGGCATTCAGTCTCCTTTAATGTGTCATTTGTTGCATGAAAAACAGGACTTGTTTCCTGGATCATGAGATCAGAGATCCTGAACTTTGTCTTGGTCTTCACAAACTTGCATGCTGTAGCTGTCAGGTAATGTTTTAATCCAGCTCCAGCCCAGCACAGAAACCAAGACCTCTTCGTTATGCCCCCCAAAATGAAGAGCCTCAACAGGGATGCTTTATCACCAGCAGTTCCAGCACTGAGGTGCAACTCAGATCAATCCATGTATTTCATATCAGAGAGTTCCAGTATGAACTCTCAACACTTGGAAAAAACGTTTGATGCCATCAAAGCCTTTGAAGATAGTGCCTGGATATGCCAGATCTTGAAAACATGGGAGCTGTGCTCTAGTCATGTATCAGAAAGGTCCCCACCATTACATAGTGCATGTGTGAGCAACAGCCAGCCAGGAAGCATGGCCCTTTTGCCATGGTGTGCTTTCACCAAGGGCCTATTGTCACAGCTGTTGCATCACCCCAAAGCACCATTCTTTTTGAAGCGATACTGTGGCACCACCACAAATCTCTTTCCCAACAAGTTAGGACTTCTGCTTCACATGGATTTGATAAAGGCCGCATTCAACTGAACTGGATTTTAACCAGTGCTCCATTGTGGTTTCATGATATTGATATATGTGTATGCTGTGGTTATCTGTTGTATGTGTATATGGTTATTTTGTTTAAATGGGAATTTAGTACACACTTTTATACACAATTTGGTCTTGTTAGTGGATGATCTGGGTTACTGGGACTCTCAGTGTGGTTAGAGTTCTATCCATTGGCAATCTGTCATGTACCTTTGGACAGACATAGGCAAACTCAGCCCTCCAACTCCCATCATCCCTAGCTAACAGGACCAGTGGTCAGGGATGATGGGCATTGTAGTCCCAAAACATCTGGAGGGCTGAGTTTGCCTATGCCTGCTTTAGAAACTCCCAGGCAAAGTGAGAAGGTAACATGAATATATATTTAAAGAAACATGAACTGTCATGGCAAAACACACTTTACAGTAGTCATATTATCTCTGGCAGTTTGGAACCACACAGGCCAACACGCAAGAATGGCCCCCTGACATTGCTCAGACATGATCTGTTTTATTTATTTTAAAAGTTAATTTGTTGTATGTTGTGCTAGAATGCTGTGAAAATACAAATCAAAGCTAGAGCGTCAAAGCTCAGCAAAATACATGTTGCTAAAGTGCTCCTAAATAAGAATTGTTCTGTATTGTTTCTGAAACAACTGCCACAGATCTCCTTGCGGCTGTCTGAGGGCAGCTGGTTCCAAAGGCAGGGGCCATAACCAAACCAGCTATTTGAAGGGGCATGCAGGAACACTGTGCAGATTAAAGTTTCTGTTCTATAGAGAGCTGCTTGCCTTATTGGAAATCCCAGTGCAAAGGTAGAGTGGGTGCTTTTTGATGGCAAAAGCAGAGGATCTTTGTTCATAGGAAATGATATGACATAGCTATAAAACCATTTTGGGAGGTGGGATTGATCTGGTGTTAAACAAAGCAGGTTAAGTCTGGGGCTGAAGCATGGAACAAGCAAGTATCCCTTCTATTATACTCTTTTCTGAGGAAAATATGTGTTGGTTCCAGCCATGTGCTGTTGATAGCAGCTGTGGCTATTAAATGCAGCTGTGTGCACCAATGGGGATATGTTGCTGCCTGGTCCTATCAGTCATGGAAGAAGCTACCTCCACGACATCCGTTGGACTCCTGGTTTTGAAAAACCAGTCCTGCCATTCTCTGTTCTTTTTCCCCTTGGGGCTTGGGATAATTAGGTTTAGGGAAGAAAACTATAACTCCCCTCTGTCTCTCTGCCCTATTGCCACCATCCTCTTCCACTGGTTGTCTTCACAATCCTCCTCGGTTGGGACTGGGAGGGTTGTAGATCTCTAACAACCATGGTTATGTTAAAGTTCACTCACTCTTTTCTGTCTTCATTTTTGCATGCCACTGTTCCTTCTGTATTACAGCCACAGTAGAAGCGGTAGAGGCACGGGAAGGTATGGCTAGAATCTTGCAAGAAGCGTGATGGTTTGTGTGTCTGCTGATCCTCGCCCCCCCTTCCAAGAGCTTTATTCTCAGCAGCAGTACGAACGCTTTTTACTCTTGCATCACCAGAAGGGGGAGAAGGGGAGAGGGACATGGCCTGGCACACCTCCCACCCCTGGGGTCCATCCACATGGGGAGGATGCACAGAGGCATCCGTCAAACTCTCTACCCTGCTTCTATAATCTCTCCTACATGGTCTTCATCATAGCGTTAGAACTGGGTAGGCTCAAACAGCCATGGAGATATAATGCTCCATACTGTGACATTATTTCTATTTTAGATGAACAAAGCCTACCATTCTATGTTGGCTTCAGGGCTACGGTGTGGAATTGGACCCATCCCTTGAGACTTCTAGCTGTGCTGAGTTACAGCAAGAGTATTGCAGCTGGCTCAACCATGGTAGGCAGACTTGGCAGCTGCCTAGAGTGGCACAACTCCAATGGGGCTCCTGCCTTGCCAGAAGCAGCATGCAAGTTGTGTTTTTGGTGTTCCTCTCGAAAGGTTTGTATCAGCTTCTGATGGAAGTTGTAATCTGAAACATCTTGAGAGTAGCCAGTTTGTTGGGCAAGGCTGGCTTATCTGTCCTGCCCCGTCCATCTAGCCCAGTATTACCTTCTCAAACTGGCAATGGATCCAGTATATCTCACTCCAGCAATCACCCCAGATCCTTTTCCTTGAGATGCCAGTGATTGAGCCCAGGACCTTTGGGCATGCAAAGCAGGCACTCTCCAGCTGAGCTCTAGGAATGTGGTGCACTCTCAAAATGACCACCATGAATAGGGCAGCAAAGTGCTTCCAACTGGTCCTGAACAAAGTCATAGAATGTGCCTCTTTGTGACTCTTCTTGCAGAGCATGAAGTTGTTCAGGACATATTGCTCTCCAGTAACCACCTTTGGCCTTCCCTGTGGGTAGGCTGGTCAGAGCTGTAATCGTCAAATGGCTCTGTCTCTTTACTTTCTCACCTCTGTGATCTGCAGACACAATTTTTCCCAATCTTTAAAGGAATTTGTGCTTTGCAGAAAAAATAACCATTCTAAATTCCTCTAGCTCTTTGCTTTTTCAGAAACAGTGTGCAAAAGGAAATGTGCTCTGCTCTGGAACTGATGGAGAGAACAAGACTATTCCACATGTGCGCCTTGTCACACTTGAGGCTTTTCTTGGCATTCCCTTCTTGGTCATGCAAGATTTAAAAAATATATCTACTGCTTTTTTTATCCAAAGATTAGTTTCATTCTCCCATTCTTTGTTGTGTTGTGAGTGTGTGGTGTTGTATGTGACTTTGATTTAGTCCTCACTATTATTTTTGATTTTATGTTTTTCAGTTTTCAAAACTATGCTGCTGTTTCACTGCACTAATGCCTCGATTATTGAGCACATATCTGACTTGATTCTTTTTTTCTTCCAAGATTAGGCCAGGAATTGTACTGAGAAAAAAGCAATACTAATGAAAGTCCCTTACAGGGGTAATTTTGCCTAGGAGTTTAGGCTGGAGAGTCAGTTTTAAGAGCATCGAATGTTGTTTGAGAGGGCATCTGTTCCTACAGTGTATACATGTATATATATTTTTGTCTCATTGTCACGTCTACTCAAACAGATGCAGCAGGCTTTTGAAGCAGTGCAAAAACCAACTGAATTTGTTTTTGAACAGTGACCAGTGGAATGAATGTACACACTGTGAACAGAAATCCTTCTTTCATAACATCTTCAGCTCTGAGAGGAAAATATTTCCAGCCTTACTTAAAGAGACGTCTTTTCACATCATGGGCATAATAGTTTGTCCTGTCCAGTGTAAAAAAAAACCCGTACCACCTCCCCCAAGTCAGACGCATGCTCCATAGTCACAGCTCTGCATAGTAACTGCAGGATGGTATGTGTGCACATTTGAGCAACCAGGCTTGGAAACTTGCTCTGATTCCTTTTTCTCGCTCTTTCTCCTCCACTCTAGCCATCCGTGGATTTTCGCCACAGCACAAGATCCGCAGCTTTGAAGAAGCAAGGGGACTGGACCGTGTCAACGAGCGCATGCCGCCACGCAAGGATTCCAAGCACCCCGACGGGCCGGTGAACTTAACCTCCACAAACTCTGCGGAAAAGAACGGGATGGGGAAGAAAGCCCAGTAACAGTTCAGGCGCCGCCCACTCTGTCTCACTAAAGGATCCAAAACTTAATGAATTCTATTTATTTATTATGAAGGGGGAGGGCAAGGGGGGGGAAACCAACTTAGCCTGGAGGCACATCCATAATCCAGTTTGCATCCATTCTGTAAGAGAGGTGACCATTTTGTAAGTTTTTAAAATTTTATGTTCAATATATAAAAAGTCATCTTTTTTTAATTTAGGAATGGGTCTAAATACTAGTACATATATAAAGTGTTGTTTTGTACAGATTGCCTGTCCCTGCCAGAAGGGAAGGAGCCTGTGCGTGTGGCTGGGGGGGTGGGAGGAAGGGAAGCAGAAACAAGCCAGGGCAGCTCTGGGATCTGATTTTATAATGGAACCGTTTCAAGTTATCCTTGTTTTTTAAAAGTGGCAACTTTCATTTGAAAGCAACATTTTTCTCCTCCCAGATTTTGCTGTGTTTCTTCTATTTCACACTGCATCTGATGCTCCAGCAGTTGACTTCCATTAAAGGCATGTTGCATAGGGCAATTGGTAAACTTTCTCCTTTTTGGAACCCTGTGTCACAAGGCAAATGTTGACATGCGCAGGTCAGCTCCAGCTGAATGTCTGGAACTGGAGAAAAGGATCTACCTAATCCTGCCTCTGCCCCTTCAGATGTTGCCATTGATTTCCCTTCAGGAATCCAGTTTCAGGAGAGAAATGAATTCTCTTGGAATAAACCAGTAGGTGGGCTTTGATGAATGTGATCTTGCAGTCTCCATTCATCTTGAGTTCACCCAGCTGGTTGCTCATGTCGTTCCATGAACATAACCATATTTGACATCACACAGGTGGGATTTATGTGATTTTCTCTGACAGGAAACTAACCTCCACAGATTGTCATGGACTCATATTCTTAATGTAAAAAAACTGTACAAAATTAGTATTTTAGGAGTGAGATACTTTCCCTTCTTCCCACATAATATTCCTCTCCCACGCTCCATGATGTGAGCTCCAGCACAAAATCTCTCTGTGATATGTCCCCCAGGAACCCGCTTCATTTCCAATTCATGGCTTTAGCTCTACCTGGATAGTGTGGGAAACGTGAGGTGTAGGAGGAAAGGTAAAGTTTTGTGCAGAGTTCTGCACATCAGCAGCACTGCTTCCTTTGTCTTTGTGTATCCTATGTGGGACAAGTAGAAAAACCCACAGTGGTTATAAATGGGTGCTCACTTGGGAGTCTCCCTTGAGGGGGGAATGGGCAGAAGTAGACCTGTGAAGGCTCCCACGTTCGGCTCCTGCATACAACTGGCAAAGCTCTCCTGGGCTGACTATAAAGGGCTTCTTGGTATCTCAAGGGCACAGCCAGCAATGAACGGCTGATACTCCGGCCCCTGTAATTAGCGTCAAAGTGATGCTACAGCGTTTTGTGATCAACAGCGTTTTGGACCAAATTTTCACAATCAAAGCATTTCCCATCAGCATTGGCTCATGGTTCTGGGAGTGCCTAATCCCACTATTTTCTGGTCAATGCCAGGCTGTATTCAGTTTAATTCTGCCCAGAATAGACCCACTGAAATTAATGGACCTAAGTTAGTCATGTCCATTAATTTAAGTGGATCTACTCATCGAGTGTGACTAGCTTAGGGTACAGCTTCATTGAGCTCCTTTTAAGAGGCAGCATGAGTGAAGAGGCAGGTTGTTTCAGCTTTGTAACAGGAGACACTACTGCTTCCTTCTTCCTCATTACCCCAAAACCAACAGTAGCTATATGTGGAAAGGGTGTTTGCAAGGAGGCTCACTCGTGGCCAGGAGCCCTGATGGGCCACAACACATGCTAGGGAGCTTCACAGTGCCCACCTGCCATCATAACTTTGTGTTTACTATGGAAAATTCTGGCATACTTGTGGCAAGCACTTTTGCCATGTAAAATGTGCAGCTCCCAGGTTTGCATCTGGAAACCCTAAACCTGTAACTTTTGCAAAGGGCAGGAGACCTTTGGGCAGATTCCTTAGCACTTCTCTTGAAGTATAATAATAACATGATTGATTGTTTGACAGAATGCGTCAGTCTTGTTCTCTGCCAAGTGTTGCAAAAACCACTAAGGGCTCTACAGATGTGTGCAAAATGTTTACTGCAAGCTGAATAGGTGACCTGTGAGTATAGGGGTAATGTACTGTGCCCGTTTTGTAATGAAAGCAGTACGTTTTCTCATACTGCCAGAAAGGAAGTCACAGGCAGGTCGGCTTTACAGGTTGGTGAGAGGGACAAATCTTAAGAGAGAAGATGCAATCCTTTTGGCTCTTTTTAGTGTGAGTGAATAGCCAAATTACATTGTATGGAGAAACTTCGGTAGAACTGAGTGGGGTTTTTGAGGAGAAACTGTTTAGTCAGCAGCTTGAGCCTGAGGTCTTCATTCTTTGAGGGATATTTATTCAAGTCAGAGTTGGAAGCAAGGGGATTATGTTCTAATGTGCCAAAGAATAGCAACCAAACAGATGTGCTTGGAAGAAGGGAACCCTGTGTGTAGAATTGAGCCTGTTTAGTTTTTTTTATCCTGACTCTGATGGAAGCCAGGTGTCGGTGGCAACTGTATTATTATTATTTAAGCCAAACTTGGTAATTCATTGGAAAGTGGTGCAGATACCTTCCTCCTGGAGTTCAACCATTACCCTTCCAGGCACTGTTTGGGGTATGTCTGAAGCAGTCTTCCACAGGGCCATTCTTTCTTCTGCCCTCTTGTAACTTAGTGATGTTACACAATCAGACAGCATAGAGGTGTTGCATAAAAGGATGCCTCTTAATCACAGTGCTGCTGACTATTTTTCACTTTGAACATAGGCTTTCTCCGTTCATAATTATTTCACATCTTGGTTGAGAATTATGAAACGGCTTTGTTTGCATTTTCAAGCAGATGCAACTTTGGGATTATGTACTCATGACTATCCTTTTTAAATGAATGGGTGCTTTGAAACAGTGCAAACATTTGTTCCTCTTGAAGATGAAGGGATTTTATTTATGTTAAAGCTATGCACACCTCTTATGGCTTCTGTTGGAGAAAACCATGGCACTTATTCTTTCAGAACAACACTGATAGCAATCTCTTCCAGAGAGATCTCATGTTTGCTGCTTGGTAGGATGCAGACAATCTGGCTTTAAGTGGAGTGTCTTCAGTTTAAGAACTGCAGATTCTTACAATTCAAAGGGAATTAACACCTTTGCATCTACCTGGCTTGACATGGTTGTTGCTGCTGCTGGCTGCTCTCATGATGTTCCCAGGAACATACAAAAACTTCCACCCATGTGGTTGGGCTTCCTTGCATGTGTGCATAACATGCATATGATAGACCTTCCAAGCGAGGTGGGCATTACATACATGTTGAGTGAATATGCAAGCAAGCCCAGCTATGTGAACAGAAGTCTCTATATAGCCCAGGGAGCCACGTGGAAGGCACCGCTGGGAGCTCTGGTGTCACAGGACAATTTCTGGGCCCTTTGGTGTAACAAGAATAAAGCTTGGCTAGCACAATCCTATCTCTCTCTCTTGGGCAGATAACAGCCATCATGCTTCTCCCATTCATCAGCTTTTGGAAGTTTAAATTCATGGCAACAATACATGGCCCCTCTTCTCTCACTAGACACAGTTGAAATGTTGCGCTTGGACTGCTGATTTGTTAAAGCGAGAAATATTTGGGCCCTTCTCTTAGCTGATTCTTGCAAAATAGCCAGGTATGTCCTTCCTTCACCTCTTCCTGCATCTCTTTGTTCCCTGTTTTGATTTTTCTCCTCTCAGGTGAAATAGTAGTCTTAAAAATATGTCCATTTGGTGCCCCTTATGCCCCCAGAGTTCTGACAGGATTCCATTTGCTCTTGGAGGAAAGGGAGGCTGCTGAAACAGCCAGGCTGGGCAACTGTCCCAAGGAGGGGCAACTCTGAGGCAGGAGGGCCCACTTGGGGTCTTTCCTGTTCCTTCAGAGTTGCTTTGACACTAAAGAAAAATGTATTCCCTGTTCCATGTACAAAGACATGACTCGCTGGCTGTCAGGCCAAGCCTATGCTCTGGTTGCCAAGGGAACGCTGGCTCTGGGGCCTCTTTGCTTCCTGCTCACAGCATGCAGCGTTCAGGGGTGGGGAGCTGGAGGGGAGAGTGGGTGTTAATTTACCCCCCCCCCATTAGCTCGTGCGCCTTCTGTAACATGCTCTCAGCTAGCTTCCCCAAGTTTTCATGGAAAGAGTGAGCTAAATTCCTGGTACCCTGAAGACACAGACAGGCACAGTGTCTTGTGTGCTGAAGTCCACCCTTTCTCCCCTGGAGATCCTTGCTGCTTCTTTCCCCCCACCCCTGTGCTAGCAAACTAGAGTTTGAAATGCAGTGTGGAAAGCAGCACTGAAGCCTTGCGCTTCCCCTCTCTCCTCTGACTTGGGAAAGACAGCTGCCAGCCAAGGCTACCACCCCTTTCTGGCATGGACGTAGCACCAGCTTCTCTAAGGCCCAGTGCCAAGGAGACATTCCTTGATCTCAGCCAGGGCTCCCTCTTAACCAAAAATGTGAAGTTGATGAGAACCCAGATGAGAACCATAATAAACGCTGGAGACCCACTTAACCCTCAAACCAAATGTTCTTGGACCCCAGCTCCCATCAGCCCATGGTAAGGAACGATGGGGCTTTTAAAATCCTAACATCATCAGGAGGGGCACAGGTTCTTCACCCCTGCCTTGAACTATGCATGTGAGGTGGCAAGTGCTTGAGAGGTAGGGAATGTTGCACCCACAGCACCCTTGGAGGTCAGAAGATGACAACCTAAGAAGCCATACTCTGAAAGGAGCAGCCATTAACCACATGAAAACGTGACGTCCCAGCAGGCAATTCCAGCTGTCCAGTGCTATAGCTTTACATGGGGGAGTGGGGATTGCTGACCAGAGCAGTGGTGGGTTGCAGGGCAGGAGGGGGGCTTAGATATGAGATGGCCCTCTCTAATTCCCCCCACGCCCAAATACTGGGGAAATGCTCCTGGGCCAGCTGCCCCATCCCACCTGAAAAACCAGCAGCGAATCTGTCTTAGAGCCGTGAATGCTTCAAGAGGCCTTGCCTCTGCTCATCATCCCACCCATTCTCCACCACTTTGCTGTCGTTGTTGTTTTGCTTTTTAATTTCAGGGACAACCATGAGCAACGAAAGCAGAAAAAGAAACATTTTAAAAGCCAAGAAAGCCCGCCAGCCCATGGGACTTCAGTGTATTAAAGGCTGTGTGTGCTACCCCCTTACTGTGAGGTTGCCTATAAGCACCCTTTTTAAAAAATAAAAATAAAAATTGTCTTGCATGATTTTAAAAAGCAAGAAAAAGCAAGGTGCATGTAACAAGGAGGGGAGTCAACAGTGGGTCTTCCAAACTTCAGGACAAAGGTGCTTTCACCTTATTGAAGAGAACCTGCCCTGTCATGGTGCCACAGCCTGCTTGCACCTCCCCAGTTTAGCTAATCTTGATTCTGCTACCAGAGCCTCGTGTCAGCTTGGCTCCATCCCAGAAAAGGTGGAATCACAAACCCCAGGAAAGGTGTGGGTGAGGACTGAGGTTCTTGATTCTGAAGTCGTGTTTGCCCATTGTCTGGAGGCTGACTCCTTTCTTTTCTTGCTCTTTTTTTAGTTGCGTTTAAAGAAGAATGGTGAAGAAATGTTATTTATTGGCAGAAATTATTAAATATAATTTCTCTTTTGTGAACAAGGAATGAATTTGTTAGAACTGTCTTACTGTAAATTGGAAAGTCATCTTTAAGGGGGGGGAGTTAAAAATTAAATGACAGTTGTTTGGCTCTGGTGTCCTTTTTGGGAGTTCTTGAGTGGCAGCGCACTTCAGACATTTGCAAAGAAGGCTCTGAACCCTTTTTATATTTCTGACTTCTTCAGGGGTAGCGGGAATATCCTTTGATGGTACATGGCAGACTGCACTTCCTGCCTTGTTTTGAAGTTCTCTTTGTCTGGGTTAAAGTAGTAGTGGACCAGTTGAGAAATGAGGCACTAATTATCAAAACATAAAAAGTTCTACCCTCAGTCAACTTTGTAAAAATTGCAAATGCAGTTGGCACACCTGCTGAATAGATACCCAAACCGTGGCTTGGTTTGTTTTGATGTCTTCTCAATGGAACACCCCTGCAAGAATTAGTAGGAACTCAGTACAAACCATGCTAAATTGATTCCCTTCTCCTCCCTCAAGACAGTCTACACCAGTCAGGGCTGAAAGGTGGATAGCAAATAGAATGTCTGGATGCATCAGAATGCCTCCTTCTCGCCTGGGTGCCCATCTGATTTCTCTGCTGAAGAACGCCTGTGCATTGCAAAGTGTTCTGGGGTATAATTCCAAGGGGGGCTGGCCTCACCACAGTCCTGTACAAATTAAAGTTGATGCCCTATGCATGTCTATTTGAGAATGTGTCTGGGTTTCACAAATTACCTACAATTATTGAGAAAGGGTCGCCATATTATTATTATTTTTTCTTCTCATTGCGCCAGGAGTGCCAAACTGCCTTGGTTCGGCCCTGCTGGCCAGTAGAAGAGAATAAGCTTGATTGGCAGGCTTGAGACATAAAATGGTGGTAATTGGTTAGGCCTGGGGTGGAGGTGAGAGCAGGTTAAAGGGTGAGACCTGTGACTTTTTAATGGATATTCATTTTAGATGAGAGACTTTTTTCTTTTTCTTTTTTTAAGTAGCTGGGGTGGGGAATGGAAACTGACCTTGCTTTTCTAGATGCAGGACAGCTAGCTCGGCTTTTTTGCTCTAGTAGTTGATTGACAGCCATAGACTCATGTCTTGGATAAAGATTATCTCCATCTTCCAGCAGTGGACAGCAGTGGTCTGATTTGCTCTGGACTAATGACCGCATCTGAAACGATATGTTCCAGAGAAGTAGCCAGGTTAGGCGGCGGCGGCTGCTGCAAAAGATGCCTTTGAGGATACTGCATTTCTTACCATCCAACCTAACCAGTTCCTAAGAAGTTCCGTGCTGCAGGTTGTCGACTGCTCTTGCAGCAGTTTCTCAAGTGTTCCTGTCTGAAACCACAATTCAAAATCATTGCAGGGCTCCATAAAGACTAGGCATAGATGATGAATGCTCAGTAAAGAGCCCCAAGAAGAGGGAGGGAGGCTGAATTGTTCTTGAAGGGCACTGCATGGTTAATTCACTGTGCCTGAAGGCAACAGATACCTTTGGAGCCCACAGCAGCAATACTAAAATATCACCAGCAGGTGGCGGTGATTCCTTGAAGATGAAGTGTGAGAAAAGCTAATCAATTGAGTGCATTTAAGGAAACAGAAGACAGAACAGGTGAGAGAAGGAAAGCCACTACCTGTTTGAGTGGGCTGCGCTAGGCTAGGCTACATGCTCAAAAAGGCAATCCCATAATAGAATCGGAGAGTTGGAAGGGACCCCAACGGTCATCTAGTCCAACCTCCTGCAATGCAGGCATATGCAGGTGGCCCATATGGGGATTCAACCCACAATCTTGGTGTTATCAGTACCACACACTAACCAACTGAGCTAACTGTCCATCCTGGCAGTGCTTCTCAGAACAAGTGTAAGACTTCTTCTTAGACCACGCAACCTGAGTGCTGGGCGCTTTTGCTTCTGAATCGTAGGTGCTGAGTAGCAGGGGGGCCAGGGCCCCTCACCAATATTTCTGATGAAATGGATGAGCATCCCCAAAGTTCTACAGCGGCAAGCCACGGAGCGTCCACACGTCAGCATGCCTTGCACCATGCGCAAGGGATGTCAGCACACCGTGGAGCATGCTGGTGTCATGCGTGCCTGCTGTGGGGTGTGCTGAAGTTGCGTGGCTCTGGGCCCCCTCAATTGGGGGGGGGCAAGGAGGCGCGCATGCTCTTAATAGTATAAAATGTTGGTGGCATCCATCTGCCTCGGGAGACCATGGAGGAGTGCGCCATTCAGGATGAAGTCTAACTATTGGAAGGAGACGAGTTTTGCTGCAGCTGGGGCAAAGGAGCGTGGCCGCTTGTGCTGCTGCAGAGGCACCTGCTGTTTCTTCTCTCTGCGCTCCTCCCAGCGCTCATTCCTCTTCTGGTCACTGCAATGGAGACACGTCCTGATTGTCTGTCTCCAGGAACTGCAGTTGTCTGCAGGGGATTCCACAAGGCGCATTGATGGCGAGCTGGACAAGCCTAGTGGCAAGGCAGCTACGGCAATGGCTGGCCTCTCCAGAAGGATATGGGAGAATGGGATGCTAGGTCTAATCCCAAAAAGGAGGTCTACCAGGTGTGCATGATGGGCACGCTGCTTTGTGGAAGTGAGTCATGGGCAACTTACAACCATTAGGAGTGACACCTCCGTGCCTTCCACATGTGCTGCCTCAGAAAGATTTTGGGTATCACATGGCATGACAGCAAGCATGAAACTGCCATTTTAAAATGTTTTGTTGAAATATTTATCTTGGACTATTCACTTCAAAGTGGGGGGATGGTGTTGGCATGTCAGGCCTGCAGAGGAAGATGTGGGGAGCAGCACGACATGCCCCTGGGGAGGGCACAGTACTTTTCTTGGGGGGGGGAGTTGCCTCAAGTGGCAAAATGGCCCAGCACTGAAAAGAGGGGTGTTCGGATTATTCTTTTTGACACTGTTGATAGTTTTTTAAAAATATCAAACTCCACACTTGTATACAGATTTTTAGCAATGAAGCAGCTTGGTCTGGGACTACTGAGAATACCATTGTATTATGGAACACCTTGTTAAATACAGAGGGTTCTCACTGGCAAGGGAGGTGCACTCTGTACATGCCCATTCCCTTTATTTATGAGGCCCATAGTTCCTAAGTAATTTTCTTGCACTATACCTCGTAAACTCCTTTTCTACCCATAGGCCTTTATTTACCATCCCGTGCACAGTCCCATTGACCCCAGGGCCAGGGGGCCAACACTGACCACTTTGGGAGACCCTCTTTAGAGTGGAGCCTAGAATGGGGTGACCAGTGTGTGCCTCAGTAGCTTCCTCTGGTATGAGCAGAGCCTCTGAGCCCACCCCCTTGCTTACTGCCCCCTTTCTCATGAGGAGGTGAGGTTAGTCACCTTATTTCCCCACCAAGAAGGAGAGAGAGCTGAAGGAGTAAGAAGAGCAGCTTTCCTTCTGCTGCTTTCAGTTTTATGCGCTTTTTAAGGCTCTGTGCATCATCTGAGCAGCTGTGAAGGGAAAGGAGTGGCTGAGAGGATGGGAGAGGAAGGGGGGCAATCTAGGAGATGGCTGTGGGGAGCCAGCAAAAGAGAGTCCATGTGCCCATGCATGTGCGTGCGCATGCACACACGCTCCTACACCCCTACATCTGATCCAGTGAAATAAATACAGTGGTACCTCAGGTTAAGTACTTAATTCTTTCCGGAGGTCCGTACTTAACCTGAAACTGTTCTTAACCTAAAGCACCACTTTAGCTAATGGGGCCTCCCGCTGCCGCCGTGCCGCTGGAGCACAATTTCTGTTCTCATCCTGAAGCAAAGTTCTTAACCCGAGGTACTATTTCTGGGTTAGCGGAGTCTGTAACCTGAAGCGTCTGTAACCTGAGGTACCACTGTACTCCTTAACCTGCCTACTCTCCTTAAAAAACAAACTCAGATCACAGATTATATCTATCTCCTTCAAATTAGCGGTAAACAATGACAGATCCTGTGCTTTCTTGCATGGCCGTGCTGTAAAAGCAGAGATCCGAGACATGGATCCTTATTGATCCTCTTAACCTTTACAACGGATTCCCTCACAACCACCATCAAATCATAGAAATCATAGGTCATTCCTGAGCCCACAGGTGTGTTCTGTGATTTATTGGAGGTTTTATTGTCATTGCCCGGGCAAAAATCTTAAAGGTTAAAGTGGATCCTTTATTTGGATCCATGTTTTTCTGCTGCTGGCAAGTGCTGCCTCTGGGACGCCCCCTCCTTGCAGTCTACCAAGGTATGTTTTAATTTTATTGGGTGTGGGGTGTAAAAATCATACAAATTCAAGCAGATTCTATTTAATTCTATGGAATCTGACTTTTACCCAGATTCCATGGTTAAGAAATGAATATTGGGGGCAGGGGCGGGTATGTGTGTCTTTCTGCACACCTGCCTGCTTTCAGTGACCTTCTCCCCCTCCCTGGGAGAAGGAAGTCACCCGGGGTGAACTCCCTTAAAATTAGAAACCTACCCAGGGTCCAAAAAACAATGGCACCCCCTGCACATTGCAAGGGAATGCTGACGTTTTCTCATGGAAGCGCAGGGAGTTCTTCCACAGAAACTCCTGGACTTTTCAAGGAGACAGTTTGAGAAATCCCTGGTTTATCACCAAGCTGCAGAGAGTTTCCCCCCTTCTGATGACACATTCTCCTCCTTGCATCCCCGGGAAGCCTGTCTGCGGCCCTCTCACAAAGGCAAAGCTTAACCCTGGAACTATTCCTGGCAAGAAGGCTTGACTAGCCAGCTTTTGTTATGCAAAGTCCTTTCCTTTTCCCTTTTCTGCCTGTATTTGGATCAGCCTTACCTAATTGATGCTGGCATGGTTGGCAGTTTGTGTTTCAGACACAAAGGCTAAAGTCCATGTGAGTCATATTGCAAGTTCTAGGAAGCAAGCAGAAAACAAAAGGTTGCCGTGCCAGTGGAAGGAGGCAGGGATCTGCTTACAAGGTGGATGAAATGAGGACACCACCGTCCGCTGAGGCTGCTCTGCTGGAGGCTTCCTATCAGCTTCAATGGGCCTTGCATCGGAAAGCTCCCCAGTGGATTGTCCTATGTTAAACAGCAATTTCTATTTTTCAACCTGACCAAAAAACCAAAAAGAAAACCTTTAGCCCAAAGGATATGGCAAGTTTTGGGTTAGAGTAACACCTAACTTCTTCTTAACCTCTACGCTTGAAGACCGTATTTTATCCAGATGGTACAGAGCAATTCAAGACAAAATCCATAGTTTAGGCATTGCCCTCGAGAGCCTCAAAGTATGTGACGAAAATCACTCATTCCAATTAATCAAGCAGCAGCACTATGACCACGAAAGACAGCACTTGTTACCTCATACTCCGAGATCTTGTTCTCCAGAGGCCTTAGGTTTCACAACACCCTACGGAACCTGTGCCAATTATCTAAAGGATCTACTACTCCCTTCCCATCGAAGACCCTTTATGCTTGCGAGACTAAATGCTTTCCCCTCTGCAGTGACCAAAGGCAGATTCTCACACATTCCATTTCAAGCCCCTTTGTGTGCCTGCAATCAAGAAGTACCCGATTCAATGGACCACATTCTCTTTAAAAAAAATAAAAATATTACTTTTCCAACAATTTAAACACAGAGAAAGATAAAAGGAAAAAAGAACAATACAATACAATACAAAAACACTACATAACACATTAAACTAACAGAACAAAACAAAAACAGTTTAAAAAACAAACAATTTCAATATCTTATCTTTCATTCACTAATTTCAGCGACCTCCTCACACCTCCCTTTTTGTATTCCACTTCTGTTGATTGTTTCAGCAATTCCTTTCCATCTTCCTCTGCTTTCTATCCTTTAATTATCTTAACAGATTCTAACCTTATTTTTCCCTTTAATACTCTATTAATCTATTTATACTTAATTCCTTATAACATTTCTACTAAAGCCATATAACTTCATTCCAACATTTTTCTAACATTCATTAATTTTACAATATTTCTGTTAATAGTCTTTAAACTTTTTCCAGTCTTCTTCCACCGACTCTTCTCCCTGGTCTCGGATTCTGCCAGTCATTCCCGCCAGTTCCATATAGTCCATCAACTTCATCTGCCATTCTTCCTGAGTGGGTAGATCTTGTGTCTTCCAATACTTCGCGATGAGTATTCTTGCTGCTGTACATAAAAAAAGTTCTATCCTTCTTTGACACCAATTGGCCAACCATGCCCAGGAGAAAGGCCTCTGGTTTCTTCAGAAAGGTATATTTAAATACCATCTCCCAGAATGTCTTAATCTTTGGGCATGTCCACCAAAGGTGAAAGAATGTACCTTCAGTCTCATTACATTTCCAACATTTATTATCGGGCAAATGATAAATTTTTGCAAGCTTGACTGGTGTCATATACCACCTATAGATCATTTTCATTAAATTTTCTCTTAGGACATTACATGCCGTGAATTTTATACCTGTGGTCCATAACTGTTCCCAGTCAGCCATCATTATGTTATGTCCAACATCTTGTGCCCATTTAATCATAGCTGATTTCACCATTTCATCTTGAGTGTTCCATTTCAACAGCAAGTTATACATTCTTGACAAATTCTTAATTTTTGGATCTAACAATTCTGTTTCCAATTTTGATTTTTCCACCTGGAAACCAACTTTATGTCCAGATTGTATGCCTCCATTATTTGATAATAATGGAGCCAATCTCGCACTCTATTTTTCAATTTTTCAAAGCTCTGCAATTTTAATCTGTCTCCATCTTGTTCCAGAATTTCCCAATATTTCGGCCATTTGGCCTCCATATTGAGTTTTTTCTGTGTCTTCGCTTCCATTGGTGACAACCATCTTGGGGTTTTCTTTTCTAAGAAGTCCTTATATCTTATCCAGACATTAAACAATGCTTTTCTAACAATATGATTTTTAAACGCTTTATGTACTTTTACCTTATTGTACCACAAGTATGCATGCCAACCGAATACATTATTAAAACCTTCTAGATCCAACACGTCTTTATTTTCAAGAAGCAGCCATTCTCTCAGCCAGCAAAAAGCAGCTGATTCATAATAAAGTTTGAGAAAGAAAGAAAGAAGATTCCACCTAAACATTAGGAAGAACTTCCTGACAGTAAGAGCTGTTCGACAGTGGAATTTGCTGCCAAGGAGTGTGGTGGAGTCTCCTTCTTTGGAGGTCTTTAAGCAGAGGCTTGACAACCATATGTCAGGAGTGCTCTGATGGTGTTTCCTGCTTGGCAGGGGGTTGGACTCGATGGCCCTTGTGGTCTCTTCCAACTCTATGATTCTATGATTGAGGTCTGGCAGGGCAAATCCACCTCTTTCTTTGGCATCAGTTAGTATCTTATATTTTATTCGAGGCTTCTTGCCCTGCCAAACAGATCTAGAAATATCTTTCTGCCACTTCTTGAAACAGTCCATCTTATCCAAAATTTGCAATGTTTGAAACAAAAACAACATCCTTGGCAGCACATTCATTTTTATCACAGCAATTCGGCCTAACAATGATAACTTCAAATTTGTCCATATTTCTAGATCCTTTTTCACTTCAATCCAACATTTTTCATAATTATCCTTAAATAAATTCACATTTTTAGCAGTCATAGAATCATAGATTCTCCTGACATATGGTTGTCAAGCCTCTGCTTAAAGACCTCCAAAGAAGGAGACTCCACCACACTCCTTGGCAGCAAATTCCACTGTCGAACAGCTCTTACTGTCAGGAAGTTCTTCCTAATGTTTAGGTGGAATCTTCTTTCTTGTAGTTTGGATCCATTGCTCCGTGTCCGCTTCTCTGGAGCAGCAGAAAACAACCTTTCTCCCTCCTCTATGTGACATCCTTTTATATATTTGAACATGGCTATCATATCACCCCTTAACCTCCTCTTTCCAGGCTAAACATGCCCAGCTGCCTTAGCTGTTCCTCATAAGGCATCGTTTCCAGGCCTTTGACCATTTTGGTTGCCCTCCTCTGGACACGTTCCAGTTTGTCAGTGTCCTTCTTGAACTGTGGTGCCCAGAACTGGACACAGTACTCCAGGTGAGGTCTGACCAGAGCAGAATACAGTGGCACTATTACTTCCCTTGATCTAGATGCTATACTCCTATTGATGCAGCCCAGAATTGCATTGGCTTTTTTAGCTGCCGCGTCACACTGTTGGCTCATGTCAAGTTTGTGGTCAACCAAGACTCTTAGATCCTTTTCACATGCACTGCTCTCAAGCCAGGTGTCCCCCATCTTGTATTTGTGCCTCTCATTTTTTTTGCCCAAGTGCAATACTTTACATTTCTCCCTGTTAAAATGCATCTTGTTTGTTTTGGCCCAGTTCTCTAATCTGTCAAGGTCGTTTTGAAGTGTGATCCTGTCCTCTGGGGTGTTAGCCACCCCTCCCAGTTTGGTGTCATCTGCAAATTTGATCAGGATGCCCTTGAGTCCATCATCCAAGTCGTTGATAAAGATGTTGAATAAGACCGGGCCCAAGACAGAACCCTGTGGCACCCCACTAGTCACTCTTCTCCAGGATGAAGAGGAACCATTGATGAGCACCCTTTGGGTTCGGTCAGTCAGCCAGTTACAAATCCACTGAGTGGTAGCATAGTCAAGACCGCATTTTACCAGCTTCTTTACAAGAATATCATGGGGCACCTTGTCAAATGCCTTGCTGAAATCCAGGTAGGCTACATCCACTGCGTTCCCTTCATCTACCAGGCTTGTAATTCTGTCAAAAAACGAGATCAGGTTAGTCTGACATGACTTATTTTTCAGAAATCCATGCTGACTATTGGTGATCACAGCATTCCTTTCTAGGTGCTCACAGACTGTTTGCTTAATGATCTGCTCCAGAATCTTCCCTGGTATTGATGTCAGACTGACTGGGCGGTAATTATTTGGGTCCTCTCTTTTCCCTTTTTGAAAATAGGGACAACATTTGCCCTCCTCCAGTCTGCCGGGACTTCGCCTGTTCTCCAGGAATTCTCAAAGATGACTGCCAGTGGTTCTGAGATCACATCTGCCAGTTCTTTTAATACTCTTGGATGCAGTTCATCTGGCCCTGGAGACTTGAATACATCTAAACTAGCCAAGTATTCTTGTACTATCTCCTTAGTTATTCTGGGCTGTGTTTCCTTTGCTGAATCATTTGCTTCAAATTCTTCAGGTCGGGCATTGTTTTCTTTATCGGAGAAGACTGAGGCAAAGAAGGCATTGAGGAGTTCAGCCCTTTCTGTGTCCCCTGTTTGCATTTCACCATCTTCTCCTCTGAGTGACCCCACTGTTATGTTAACCCCTAAATATTTCACTTTCTTAACCAATGTTAGTCCTGTCTCCTCCTGAAACTTCTCTTTCTCATTCACAGTTAAGTTTTTCTCTAACACCTTAGTTTTCATCTTGTTCAACTTAAAACCTGCTACCTGTCCAAATTCTTGAATCAGTTCCAATACCCTTTTAGTACTAGATTCTGGCTCCTGTAAAGTCAATACTAAGTCATCAGCAAATGCTTTCAGTTTGTACTGTTTAGCTCCCACTTGTATACATTTAACCTCTTGGTCCTTTCTGATCATATTTAACAAAACCTCAAGGACCGATATAAAAAGCAATGGAGAAATTGGGCAACCTTGTCGTGTCCCTTTCTGAATCTTAAACTCTTCCGTCACCACGTTGTTCACAATTAATTTTGCCTTTTGTTCTGAATAAATTGCACCTATACCATTTTCAAAACCTTGACCTACCCCCATCCCCTGTAGATTCTTCTTCATAAAGCTCCAAGAAATGTTGTCAAAGGCTTTCTCTGCGTCCACAAATATCAAAACTGCCTTAGTATTGATATTCACTTGAAGTTTTTCTAGAATATTAATTATATTCCTCATGTTGTCAGACAAATGTCTGCCCGGGAGAAAGCCCGCTTGGTCTTTATGAATTTCTTCTACTAACACCTTTTTTAATCTTTTAGCCAAAATATCTGCAAAAATTTTGTAGTCCACGTTAAGCAGTGATATGGGGCAGTAGTTCTTGAGCTGTGTCTTTTCAGTCTATGTTTTCGGTATAAGTGTAATGTAAGCTTCCTTCCACGACTCTGGTGCCTTTCTCCCTTCCAATATTTCATTGCAGACTTCCTTCAATGGTTGTATTAACCATTCTTTCAAGGATCTGTAATATCTTGAAGTCAAACCATGAGATAAATTCTTGGCCCAGTCTTTTATTACTCAATATCTTTCTATGTAGCCTTATCACATGTGTTTCTTGTAAACAAATCAAGTCCAAATGTTCTTTTTTCAATAAATGAAAGACTCTCCGCCTTTTTTTCTGGGGAATTTAGTCCATTCACATTCCAGCTCAAGACCTGCAACCCCATCATGTATTTACGCTGATGTTCCTCCAACTGCACCCAATGCTTGCTCTTCTTCTGTTGGTAGTGATGGTAACACGTTCACTGGGGGATCCAATCCAAAGGATAGTGCTGATATATCCAATATTCCCCTGTTTGGTGATCTTCTATCCAATGCTCTTTGCTCTAGTTCTCTATCTGGTGATCTTCTGTCCGATGCGCTTGGCTCTTTTCCAAGTCCCTTCTGCAAATC